AAGTAATCGGTAATGTTCACGCTTGAGTGCAGCATTTAGGGGTTGAGGATCAATACAAATGGGTAATTTACCATTGGGTTTATGTACACGGTCACTAGAACCAGTACGCCTTTGTTTACGAGTCGATCTGGTTCTTCCTTTACTGCGTCTTGAATGGCAATAGGAACTTTCCTACAAGGCAGTACTTTGGGAGGAACACTTTCATCAATTCTGAGGGTGGCTTCACCCAGATCACCAAGTTGTGGAGTTGATACTTGTGAGATGAAACATTCTTTATTCATGGTTATAAAACCAAGTTCCTGAATAGTGTTCAGACCTAACAGGTTTGTAAAACCATTTGGGACCACGATAAACTTTATTTCTGATTCAGAACTAGTGCGAGGATTTTTAACTTTCAGGCGCGTTTCTCCAAGAGGTTTCAGGTTAGTTTTATTCCACATGTTAAGGCGAAAAGTTGTAGGAGACACTTGGTGTTGTGTTACGTGCCTCTGACAGATGGCATTCACATCAGCTGCAGTGTCAAGTTGGAATTTGACATCAATATCATTTAAAGTAAGTGTTGCAGTAACACTGTCTGTCCCATTGCTTACAGCCATGAGCCATTGATCATCAGGATCTTCCTCATTATCATTGGATTGGTTAAATGCATGAATATTCTTGCATTTAGACTTGAAGTGGTTAAGACCTTTGCAGATGTCACATGTCTTGCCCCAAGCCGGACATTTGCCTCTTTGTTTCTCATGTTTGTATCCACAAAATTTGCAGTTGAATTTTAACTTTTCTTGCCCTTTATGTGAGGTTTTGTTCATTTGGGAACCTTTCTTACCACCGGGCGTTTTAGTTTCAGAGTTTTGAGTTATTTTCTTCACACTTGTAGAAGAACTTGGGAGGGTTGCACTTTCTCTGAATTCTTTGACTTGTCTACTTGACTGTTCATGTGTGCTACAATACACTATCAAGCAACAAAAAGCAACAACAACAACTTTATTTCATTATTCCCACGTTAGTACGTGGTATTACGTTCTATTCTAAACAATTTTCAATACATACGTTTCATTTATACGATACCCTAAGCTAAAAACACACAATTGAAATATCGGAGTTCATACTTTTTGTCTGGATTCTTTCATTTGGCTCGTAGGTCAATTTTGTCCATGTAAAGCTCACTTACGGTTTGCTGTTTGCCATATTGGATCAGATTGGATCTTGGCTCTGTGACATGAAACATAGAAACATTATAAAGATGTAAGTTTAGATAACAGAGCTTGGAGATCGAGCTTGAAATGTGACTCAAAGAAAACAAGGACCATTTAAGAACGATAATCTGCAAAATTCTGGTTGCTAAACGCAACAAACATGATTGAAATGAAAGTTAAAGACTTATGTTCTCGCCACAACGCCAAACAGACCAGTTTCACGTCGCCGACGGGAGTACGACAGCAATGCGTTGAGTAAGAGCATGCGCAATATTGCACAATCATGACGTCACGTCCGGTTGAAGTTGCCGTCGCCCCGAAAACTTCTCCATCTTAAGTTCCCTAATACCTTGGAAATGGCAATGATTGGTATAAGATAAAATTGGACGTGAGAAAACGTTACTTAACTGTACACACAGAAAATTAAAATACAATAACTAACTTAATGAACAAACATGGTAAGTTAGGATCAAAACAAGTTTTCATAGTAACTTAGGGCCTGTTTACATGGAGGTGGGGGAATCCAAGTACGTGAGGTAACCCGCTTAGGTGGGGTAGCCCTCCTGTGTATGTAATCTTTCATTTTAATTTGATCACGTTTACATGATAGGTGGGGTGACCCACCGTATGTTACCTCACCTATCAGGGGTCCCCCATCTCCATGTAAACAGGCCCTTTGTGGTCATAATGAAAATCCAATGGCGGCTGTTGGGGATAATAGTGTTATTTACTATGACGTCATTAGGGAATCAACCACGGGGTCTACGGCGAGAAAAACAATCAAAACCAACACTTTTGACAACAGAGCTTTTGCACATTCTTTTTAAAGTTTGAAACATTTTTAGTGTGTTTCGCCACTTATCCGTAAAAGTTATAATCATCACACCCCAAAAAATGTTGATAGTCCCTAACCGGAAAATTGAGCAGGCGAGCATTGGCGAGCTGTAAATTCCAAAATTTTAAATTAATTGAAGAAGAAGTTAAGAGCCGACGACAAATATTGGTTCCTTTCTCGCCGCATCACTGGGTCAACTTCCAGTCTTTTGGCGTCTTTCACTGACAAAATTAAAGAAAATTACAAGTCGTCCACCTTATCATTACTTTTATTTTCAGGGTGTGCTGAGGGTGCGCAAGCGAGTCACATTGATGGTCATAATTGTGAGTGCCATTTTTGGAGTAACCTGGCTCACCAACTCTTCTAATTACCTCCTCCACCATTTTCTCAAATATTCTTTTCTGACTTACGCCTCAGCTTCCCTTATGGTCTTGTTCAACTCGGCGATCAACCCAGTTTTGTATGCATTGATGAGTCAACGATTCAGAAATAAAATGAAACAAATAATACGTTGCACGTACCGCTTAGGAAAGTTCAGCGACCGCTCTACGGACGGTCACGAAATTAAAGGTAAACGTGGAAACACTCAGGTTCCCACTTAGTAAAATTATAAAGATCCCACTAGCATAGAGTAATGTAAACTGAAATACATATGGTAGCTTTATTTTAAGGGAACAAGCTCTAGTCCTCGTGGGAAAAAACGCACACGAGCCAGAGGCCAAAAACGGCCGGAGCTTATCACGGTTTCCTTATGAAGCCCTGCCTAATAGTACTGTTACTCCTAGTCCATCGCCGGGTTAATAGTTCTCGAAGAATTTGCTTTACCGGTGTTAAAGTTTGTTGTCAGTCTGTGGATATAAATATAACGTTCAGAATGCATCTTTATTTGTCACGAAGCTGTGGTTTTATTATTTACAGGTAATTTATTCTCTAGCGTTGTGCCCCCCGCTTGCAACAGGCCCTTAGGGTGGCTCGATAGGGTTTTTGAGGATCAATGCCTTCCAAGTTTGAGCATTAACTACGTCGCCATTCAGATAAATCGGCTATTGGAGAAAAACGTTCCCGTGAGCGATCTTGGAAGAACAGTTCCCAGTGCCGAGAAATACGGCTGCAAGTAAAATAGGTAATGGCGTCATTTCGTTGCTATGACAACTCCGTTGTCGTTGCAATCCTTATCATAACAAATCTTTTTCTTTCGCTGTGGTCGTAATTTTTCCACATGTTTATTAACGGCGACGCAGTTTATGCTCAAACTTGGGAGGTATTAACCCTGAAAAATCCCATCGAGCCACGTTCATTTAACCTTTTCAACCTTGCATTTTATTTAATTTTCGATGTAAGAAAAGGGAAATTAGGAGGAATATAAACCACATTCTGTTCGTCTGCTTCTGACGAGACAACGATTGGATTTTAATTTTAAAGTTCCATATATACAATATATACACAAGATATTCTTACTTTCATGTAAACATTTTAACTCGTCAGGGGCACCAAGCGACTTTTTTCTGTAAAATAACTGTTCGAAGGAGCAAATATTGCCTAGAATTTTTTCTTTCTGGATAACCGTTCCATTCGTCTAAGATATTCGGACATTTTCTGATAGCTTAACTACGATTTTCGGAGGTTGTTTTAGTCACATTTTAATGCCAAGATATTGCGATTGTTGTTAAAAAAGGTCTCCTAAAACGTTCGGTGTAAGGGACGGACCATTAGAAAACTAATGGGGGGGGGGGGGGGGGGGACGAAGTCAAAAAAAAGTTTTCGCCCAGGGAAAAATAAAATGAAAAAAAAATTTTGCCACCCAAATTCACCCAAAAAAAAATCAAAACAATGGCCAAAAATAAATTCATACAAGAAATTTGAAACAAAAAAAAAATTCCGCGGCGCCGAAAATTCCCCCCCCCCCCCCCCCCCAATAACTTTTCTAATGGTCCGTCCCTAAAGACAAAACGTCCCCTAAAATTTTCTAATGAAAGCAAAGCTACTTCGCGTCCACGTACTTTAGACCGGACCCATAAGGGTAGCCTACACTTTCGGATGAGACGAAAAAGCCACCTAAAACTTTCGTGACGACCAAAGTTCGCCTAAGACATCCGACCAGATGAAAAGTTTTTAGGGCAACTCTAAATTACCCAAAAATGCTTCTAAAGCACAGAAAAAACCATTTGAGACACTCCTGGTGTATTCGGAAACATTCGGTCGTTGGGAGCTCCTGACTTGTTATATATATTTTAGATAATTACACTATAAAACAGCCAATGCATTGCTGAATGCATTTCTTTATAAATATGATCCTTTACCCACTTTACTATTGAGCTATTTAACAATCATGTTTGTCATTTCCTTTAACTCCTTTTCCAGTTGGTTGAAATAAAAACTGGAAATCAATTTTAAGCCTAAGAACTGACTGGTATCAACCCGTGCAATCAGTACCAACCAATCATCATTCGATTACTTGGGGCCTCTTCATACATTGAAGCCCGATTTTCCGAGATCGTGCCTTGACCTGTTTCCTTTGTTAAAAAAATTCCATAATAGAAGGCGGGCTAGCCAACATACTCTTTCTAGCTGCAAGACACATCCGCTGTCCAGCTTAAGAACTTCGTAGTTTGACTGGCTAAAGAAATACAGACTGGGCCCGTTGTAGCTCGGTTGACAGGGCACATATGAAGAGACCCTGTTAGCAATAATACTGAATTTCATTTCATTATTTTTAGTTTTTACTCATTGCCAAAATTAGAGTGTAAAATAGCCTCTTTGATTCGCGAAATAGAAAAATGTATTGGAAATGGAAAATTATAACTCAACACTTAAGTAGCCAAGACTCGTAACTATATGTTCAAAAAAAAAAAGACTAAATAAATAGTGCGATATGTTATTATGATAACATACCAGTTTTGTCATAGAGTAACATAGCAAGATAGATTGTCATATTTTACACAATTTGAATTTTTTTAGGAGACTGGTGCTCCTAATTGTGGTTACAATGTTTATACAATCTAATAGCAATAAAAAAAATGTACACTTTGAAGCCTAACCAAGTGTTTTTTCATCTTTGTTTCTTGATACCTTGTGCCATTTTACGGCCATAAAGAGACAAATGATACTGAAACCTTGCAGTGTATCGGCTTTTTCCAAGCGTAGTATAAAGTATCCTTTAGCTTTCGTCGTCTCAACGAAAACCCAAAGGTACAATCAGGAGGCCCATAAACAGGGATTAAGATCAAGTCGTAAACTTGGTTTTGGCTTTGCACACATTGTTTCCAAGCACAAACCGTTCCAGTTTGATTTAATCCGCATATAGGAAACTATTTTAATTTACGTAACTCCTTTTAGTTCTCCATATGGGCAGTCACATCTAAGCGATTGTCAAAATAGAAATTTACAACCTTGTAATTCTAGTTCACCTCATACCGCAGGTGTAGCCCTCGGCTTGGCTCAAGTCTTGAATGACAGCCTGTTTGAATTGGCATCGAGGCATAGGTGATTCCCCTGGATGAAATCAAGTTTCTGAGGCAAAAAGACAAAGATAATTCTGATCATCAGCCTGTTATAGATCTGGATCTATCTTCATGTGGAAGCTGTCTCTTGAAGATTGCCTTGGGGGATCTTCGAGCTTTTGCCACCTTTTAAGAACTGGCGATCCCTGGGATGTGCGGAACTGACTACGGCGAAGTGACGGGGATCGTCTCAATGAAGCAACTAGGGAGGAGGCAGACCCTGTGCTGCTACTTTTGAATCCCGGAAGAGATAAGAGAGGGGAATCTGTAGGGATGCCATTTGGAACTTTTGGCAAGCGACGAGGCTTGTAGACAGGCTTCTTTGAAGCATCCAAAAGCCAATAAGTCGTTACGTTTCCTTTTCCCTAGTAAACAAAAACAAGGATTCAAAAAACAAATTATAGCAAAGCTTTCTATATGGTAGGCAACATTCAAATCAAGTGAAATCCCCACAAAAATGATAGGTCTATCTTCTAATCTCTATTCTGCGTTATCCACTTAAAGTGGAACCGCGAGCCGCAAGCGAGTCTTTTCACATCAAAGTTTCCAACATTCTGACGTCTTTTCTATGGTCGATTAAGGAACAGACCATGGAAAATCGTTGTCGATTTGTTCTTTACAAAAACACTTACAGTTTTTGACGTCCATTTTTGTTGAAGTTTCTTGGAAAATCGCGCGCGGTAGAAAAGGAAAAAATTGTGCCCCCATCAAGTCATTTCTAACGGGTCTTTACTATCATCCACCAAAGCTCTTGACCAATCAGCGGGCAAGAAATCACGCCGTTATTGTAAAAATTACCTGGACTAGACTAGACTAGTAACGTGCAGTTACTAAACTTACCTTAAGATAAACCTCGCCTCTGCTCTCGACAACAAAGCCTCCTATGGCTTCCAGTATTCTCTTCGTAACTTCGCTTATGTGGATTCTTAAAGCTAAAAGTTAATTGGCAAAGAAAAAGGTAATAACCAACTAGAAATAAGTTAAATTCCGTGCTGTATAAAAAAAAGGCTCTATTGGCTTGCAAACAGATAACGCACGCAGGAGCCGACCTGACGTACGACATTACTCTACCTCAGTCCCCTTCATTGCAATTGTGGGTTTGCTATTCTGACAGACAAAGACACAAATTCAGTGACTATTTCTTACGAGAAACGAGCAAATCGCTGGCAAATTCCCTTTTTTTTACTGTCAGTAGTAATGATTGTTATTATTATACATTTTTATTTTTGTTATCGTGATTAATAAGAAGAACAGCAATACCAGAAGAAATCATCATCATCATCATCATCATCATCGTCATTATTGCTATCTTATAGCTGCTGATGATGTTTTGAAAAGTAGTACAAGATGAAAGAAAGTTAGAAGAAGAAAGTCTAATTGAACTCCAACCTTCCCCATTCGATTCCATTCTTGACGCAGTGTTGACAGTATCACCAAAAAGGCAGTACCGGGGCATCGTTATACCAACCACACCGGCTACAACGGGACCTAAGAGGAAAAAAATCATTAAAGTGGTAATCAGTAGACCTCGATCGTTCGCTTTGTTGATATGTTGCTCCATTTCCAAAACCAAGTGACGCCATGTATCGTTTCAAACCTGCTTATATGCTCGTCTGCTTACATTTGTTATTTCAACAATGACAAGGGTAGAATAGTCATGGGAATTGATTGTTCACGGGAAATTAACAAAAAAGAACGAATAAGGTTTTCTGGATCACTTTTAAAAACTCGCTTCCTTTTTGGTGATTTTTTTTTTTCATACTTTCATTTACAACTGCCAAAGTTGCATGTAAAACTGCAATTGTCTTCCGTCCCTTCCGTGTTTTATTGCCACTTTTGTCCGTTTATTATCGATATTATATATTATTATCATTATCATTATTATTTTTATTATTATCATTAGTGATTCGTCAGCTGGAAAAAAAGCAATGAATTCATAACATTTTTCAGCAAAAGACACCGTTCTTCAGTAGTGCTTTGACACTTTTTTTGTTCCTTTATTTTTATTGCCAAAAGTTTTGGTTATATCTTAGGTGAAACGATGCTTAATATTACCTGATTAATAAAAGACCAAAAATTCTAATTTTTAAGGATATTACAGGGTAGCCTCATATTAAAATTATTAGACGGTGGTATATGAAAATGTAATAAACTGACTCAGTTATGATTTACATCACTATAGACAACGAAGAATTACCACTGTGTATTCCAACGCGTAGCTTGAGTTTGTAGTCACTTTTGTGTCGAACTGTAAAGTCTTTCTTCACAGCGTCGACCAGATGTAACGCCATGCGCGCTATCTCTCCTGCGTGATCGTGCCCATTTCTGATTGGTAAACCTGATACCACCATGTATGCGTCACCAATTGTCTCCACCTGCCGGGCAGAAGGAGCGCACTAGAGTACAAGCAAACAACGGCACGAAATTGGAGGTTGAACGAGCCCTACGTTTAACGTTTATCGCGAAGTTTATGCTTTTTTGCGATATTTTAATATAATAAAATTAAAATATAAAAAAATATTGACACTGAAGACAATTTTGTTACAAGGACTAGCATTGGATAGGTGTTTTATAATTTTAAAGAAATTTTGCTATGAGGTTCGGGCTATAATTTAGGTAATTTAGACTAGCAGGCTTTGCTCATCGGTTTCTACATCCAGAAGCCCTCCCTCCATCACAAAAAACCAGCCCATTTTATTGTGACATTGCAAAAATAAGTAGCATTATCCCGTTAAGCAGCGAAAAAAAAAAAACAAACAAGCTGAGTTTGAAATTGATCGTAGCAGTCGCTTTGTGGATTAGATGTTTACGTTGTCATTTAAAACAAAATTACAATTTAAAGTCGATATGATGTGTCCTTACCCCTGAGTTTTAATTTGTGTTTAACATTTCAAATTAATGCCTAACATTTTCATTAATTACAAGTCGAAAATTTAACCGACACATTTTATAATACTAATAAACAGTATTACTTATATAAAAACGATTTGCAGGGTTGAACAACATTTTATAAGTACTAAAAGGCATAAAATTTCTCACAGCTATTTACAATTTAAAATGAACAATTGTATTTTTTAATCAGAGCTACATAATACGCTAACTAAAAACAATTGTATTTTTCAGTTTTAATGGAATAAGATGTTAAGTAATTAATTTGCCTATAGCAGCCAAAACTCAGCATTAATTTCTGCCCAAATTATTACAGTTATTAAACCATGCAGCTTGCGTTATCAAGCATCATGCTTTAAGCTTTAGTTCTGTCCAACCTCCTTAACATAAATCAATAAATAAAACGTGATACTGGGAAAACAATTCGTTTGGTCCAGAAATGACCATGCTACCTTTCATTTGGACGCATGAACCTACCTGTCAATTTTTTTTTGTGTGAAGTTTCAGTTTAACCAGGAGAGGGCGTCGAAAACGCGCAAAAATATATGAAGACCGAACCCAGATATGGTTGCGGCGGGTACTCTATGAAAACTTTATGAACCTTACTTTATATTACCAGTTGAAAGACTGGTTGATTGATCATTTCATCTTGACATAAACTCCGTCAAAGATAATGAAAAAAAATAAGAGTCTTGCGTACAATATCATTTATCTCTGCATATAAGGTCCTTCTTATCTCAAGCTGACCTCCTTTCCAATTCTCCACTTTATTCTGTGTTAAAGCGGTAGTAGTGGTTCCTTGCAACCAATAAAATGTTCAGAGAGGAAAAGGAAAAACTGTTTACCATTATTTTATCAATAAGACAATAATTCACAAATCTTACCTTGTATACATCGTATTCACTTATTATATCGTCAAATAAGGTGTATAAGTCATTTAGTAGAGTCACAACCTGCAGACATTGTTGAGAAAATGAAATGTTTCGTTGATGTATTAAAAATACTTGTTTTGCATGTGCTAAGGGCTTCCTCGAAACCTACCGTGGCCACCAAAATAAAACAAATGATCAGCGAGAACGACAAAGAAATATCTAGTAGAAATATTAAAAATGGCAATAAGTAAGATAAACACGACGGAAGTGATAATGATGATGGCCGACAATGAGAACTAAGGCGATTGGGAGGATAAGGATTAAGGCAGGAGAACGAAAAGCGACGAAAATAATGATGATGATGATGATGATGATGATGATGATGATGATGATGATGACGATGAGAAAAAAAATGATGACGATGATGATAACGATGATGAGGATGATGACGGTGATGATGATGATGATGATGACGATGACGATGACGATGATGATGATGATGATGATGATGATGATGATGACGATGAGGATGAGGATGATGACGAGGATAATATAGAAGCGGGATGGAGAGAAAGTGCAAAGGGAGGAGGACAATGGTAACAAAGACTACATGACCACGATTTTCATTGCCTACTACTTGGAAACTTAACAACGTGGGTAGACTTCATAAGTTAAATGGCTCGATACAGGCGTAATATACTCACTTGAAGGGGAGTACTCTCTGCCGAGAGTTCGGTAAAACCCACAATATCACTGAAATAAATTGAAACTTCATGGAAACTCTCCGCTTCAACTGCTTTGCCTCTTTTGAGCTGTTCTGCCACCGGTCTGGTAGAAAAGTTTAAAATAACGATGATCAACAATGTTAACAAAAATCTACTAATTCGTATCAAACATTAACCTTTCAAGGCGCCCCTAGTGTTATTGGGATGGCTCTTCAGCTTTTAATGCTTACAATTACTAGACCAATCAGGTCAATAACTAGATTTTAAGACCATCGACTGACGTGATACAAGTCCCTTTAACTCTAAAGATGGCTACCGCACAGGTTATCGAAACGTTCGTCACTGTCAACAACAGTCCTGTTCAGGACTACGGTAATCACCAGAACGTTCATACTCCACCTACTTATGAAATGACTCCATAGGTTCAAACCTTTCACAGTTTTAAAATTAAAAGTAAGACCAACGCTAGCCTGCTTAGCAGGCAGTTTTTTGGTGCGTTTTTTGTGTTTCGTAAAATAAGAGGTCAAAAGAGAATAAAAGAAGACAGATTAGTTCACTCTGCCTTCTTTCTCTCACCCCTCCCCCATCGCTTTCTCGTTTGAGCTCTGTTTGGCTTTCGTGCGGCTTTGCATCTCACTTTACGAACCACAGACAAAAAACACACCAAAAAATTGTCTCCAACGCAGACTAGATGAACGCACCTTGGGAGCATCCTTTCCAAAAGAGCGTCTGTCTTTTTCTTCTCCTCAATTAACTGTCCAGTTCTTTCGATCACGAGCTCCTCCAAGTTATCCGCATACTTCTCCATCATGTACACCACATTGTCAAAAATGTTTGTCTTCCTTAAAGGAAAAACCGAAACGAAGAAGGTAATCGCCTCTTGTGCGCGAATGAATCACTCTTTCTTACAAGTCGGATGCAGTAAGTCTCTTTGACTTTTCCTACTCAGTTGTGTGTTAAGTCTCGTTTGGTGACAATTGTTTATTGAGTGCAAAAAGAAATAACAAAAACGAAAGAAACGTCTGTGATGTCATTAACAGGAAGCTAACAAGGTTGGTTTAAGAAGCGTTCTTTAAATTACCGGAAGCAGTAAGAGTAACAGTAGCCCCGGTAATGTTTTTATCCCGTAAATGCTGAAGCGCATTTTCCTTTTGATTACTAAAATTATCTTCCTTTTGATTGTTATGTAAATGTGAATGTCGTTAAAAGTAAATGTTCTCTATTAGAAAAAAACAATGCTTAATGACAATATTTGTAACAAACTATATTACTAAAACGAAGAACGGGAAACGGAACTGATGTGCACGGGAACGTGGAAAGTGGAAAGTGGAAAATGGGAAATAATAGATGAAACCCTAACCCTATCAGTAACTTCGTTTCACATTCTTTCTTTTCTCCCCGTGTTTTCATCACCGCGTTCCCTGTCCTAGGTCCCTGTGCTCGTTCTTCGATCCCTGTTCCCTGTTCCTCGTTTTAATAACATCATTCCATCTACACTTTTTGATGACGGTAACTTACATTCCGTTGTTGGTTAAGATCTTGTTCATGATCTTCTTGATCTCGTGGAAGTCCGGCCGTAAATCTGGGCTCTCCTCCCAACACTGTTTCATTAGTTCACGCAGCTCTTCAACTCCAGTTATCAGCTCTGATACCGTTGGACGGAAAGGCGGAAATTCTCCATTCTGTACCTTGTCCACGATTTCTGTAAGGTTTAATAGCAGTAGGAATTGATTAGCCTTTGTTTACCAAAATCAAGGCGCTCTGTAGCCTGCGTCGAAGAAGTAATCTAACTCCGACTAGTCACGTGTGTGAAGCCGTAGCCTGTGCAAGGCTCTCAGATAGTAGTAGGGAGCTTCCGAAAACAAGGTTCAGCCTGAAGGGAAAAAGAAGACGCGCACGAACTCTGCACATTGGTATCTTGGAGCCTAGAACAGGCTTGCAAAGCCACGGCGCCGAGATCCTTGTTCTGAGCCCCCGGCGGACTCGAATTTGACCAATCGAGCAATGGCTTTTTATACAAGCCCAATCATAGTGCGTACTCAAATCCTGGTACACAGCCTGAGGCCCAGAATAAGGATCTCGAAGGTGGCTCCCAGACGGACCTAACAGGAGGTCAAGTTTTCTCTGAGGCGCAGGTTGGCTCAGAATCCCAACTGTGGTACCCAGTTTCTTCTATTAACCATTAATTTTCCCTGGGAAAACATGTCTCGTTTCAGTTCTTATTAAAAAAGGGTCTAATATACCAAATAAACTTCCCAACCCATCTTTGTTATTTTGTATTGTTATTGCAATTACAGGGATGTAGGCGGGGTAATGTAGACTCTAGTGTTCTTTCATTTCACAAGCAACGTTGTTCACCTTCTCGCCACCCAGATACATCAATCGGTAATCGTGAATTAGATTCTTGTAATTAGAACTTTAGAGTTCAAGATCGGCGTAGCACTTTGTAAAAACACAGAAATTGTTTAAAATGTGAATGCCAAATTGTTGTTTTCAATGTCTAGACGCTTCGGCCCTTTATTTTGTAGCTGCGACGTCGTTTTGCGAATTAAAAACAAAGGGAACACGCCCGTGCTCACGACTCTTAAAGGAAATGAAAGTCACCGTTATGATCACGGGGCTGACATGTCCCAACTTCATAAATGAGGCGCAACTCCTAACTTTTCATTTTCTCGTTAATGCCGCAGAGCTTAAAGCCACGTAACTCAACGTCATTGATGGACTTGCCGAGAATGGGGAAAACTCTGGAGTACTTAATACCTCAGAACCCATTTACCTAAAACTCAACGACTGAAAGCACCTTAAACTTGTAACCATTACGTAAATAACCGAGTTTTCGTTTATGGTTGACACAAAACAAACATAATTTACAACATAAGAACCACAACTACTAATCTATAAGGAAATTTACTGATACCTTTCGGGTCCATATAACTTGAGCTGTAGGGTCCTTCGCGGGTGTGAAATTCTTGTAGGATAATAGCAAAGCTGTAAACGTCACCCTTTTGGGTCCCTCTGATGGGTCGATTTGGGAGTCGAAGAATCTCTGGCGCTACCCACAGAAGATCTAAAACAGGATGAAAAGTAAATGTGAGAAAATTAATATAGTCGAGGATAGATAGAGATATTCAGCAGTTAACTTGTGAAAGCGTGCTCCGGAAATGGAATTTAAAAACGTTTGTAGAAGTTGACCAAGGTTCGTTGATTTTGGCGGAGGAGCATTTAAATGAAGGCGATAATATGACATCGCTGACCATGATTGAAATCGGGAGTAATGATGAAATTGATGATGACGATGATGATGATCGTAACATTACAATAAAAATTACTTTAAGAAATTGCATGGCCTATTGTTTTGCGAAGCATTTGCAAAGTTAACAGGAACTGGGGATGTGCTGAGGTAGATTTGATCTCGAGCTTTCGGGTCTTTCATGCACTACTCAATGGCATTCGTGATTGCGATCTAATACTTCACTTTTACCTCTGTAATACGCATGCTCAGATGGGTAAATTTTCGCTTGTTTGTCCCTTAAAGTTGGGAGTCCGTAATCAGCAATCTTAAGTACCCAGCGGTTATCCACCATGCAGTTGGAAGATTTGAGGTCTCCATGTGACTTGATGTCAGTGCTCTGGAGATAAGACATACCCTGCAAACAAAAAAGGCCGGGTGAATAAACTCTTTAACTTTTGTTATTTCACTTGAAACTCAGAAAAGCACGAACACCAGAAGTATGATCTTCGATTTTTGATTGGTCATAACACAATAAACAATCCTGAAATATTTTGGAGTTGACGTTTTTGGAGTTTTGGAGTTTGACAGTAACAAATTGGGACGTTTTCTCAGAGAAAAAAATAGCTTCTCTCGGCTAATGTAACGGCAAGAAAAGAATTAGGATAAAAACATGGCAAGAACAACAAGAAGATAACTCAAAGGGCGACATCTGCTATTTGGAGAATATTTGCGGAGCTGGACAAACCTAAACGTACACTATCGAAGATGAACTGAACATCGATGGATCGATGGAGGTAAGCATATTTTAGCTATGTTTTTAAACTAGGACTTATCATATGAAGAATTATGGAGATCTCGGAGGGTGTTATCCGCCTCGGCCTACGGCCTCGACGGATAACACCCTCCTCGATCTCCATAATTCTTCATAAGATACTCAGCCTCATTCATTAACTGTTAAATAGTTAAAAAGTTTACAACCTACCTTTACTATATCCGACACAAGAGACGCAATAAACATGTGATCCAACTTAACATCATCGTTTTCTAAAATATCCTGCAAATCATTAAATCAGCAGTTACCTAAAACACGCTTTAGACCTTCATATTATATTAAGTGGTAGAAAGTATCATCACATATCACTCAGTTCCTCACCTGAAGACTTCTTCCTTTGGAGCAGTATTGTGAAACAATGCAAATGTTAGGAGAGTCAACACAGGCGCCAATAAATGGATTCAGATTATCATGCCTAATGTCCCGCATCTAAAAAGGGAAACACACACACACAGAAAAGCATTTGTTGGTCTGAAAAGCATAAGGCCAATAAATGAGAATCAAAACGTTTACTGCCTTAAAGGAGCCGTGTCACGAAATTCAGCCAAATTACGGAAATGACAAAATACCCGTTCAATTAAGAGAAACGTAAAAATAACCGCTTAAAACTTTAAAGGAAGGTTGAAATAACATAACAGAAACAACAGATGCCAGGGATGGGCAAAACTGAAGAAGATTGAAACGGATTGAAATTAGGGTTTTTGAAAACTGTTCAGCTTAACAGGTTTTCAAAGTTGATTCCCTGCTGCTTGCAAATTCAAAAATAATGCTGAGGAGACGTATTTGTTTGTCTCGGATCTCTGATTTTGTCATTTACCTGTAATTTCTTTGCTTACTTTAAGTTCCATACCGATTGAGGGCGAGTAATTGGCAAAATTAAACAAAATGAACTGGACTGCCGTGACACAGCCCCTTTAAGAGAACACCAAATGTTTTTATTGCAGGGTTTGGCTTGAAACATTTAGCTTAGACAACAACGGTAAGCTGCATTCCAACATAGGAGGAATGATTGTACGTTTCCGGAAAACTGCCCACCCACCCCTCCCCTAGGCCAACATTAACACTTACTTAGGGGTATAGTTGGCAGACAAGGACGAAAAATCGATCCAATTATTTTCTGAAGCGCATCCCACTGTAGCATTTTCTAATCTCCCTAATCTTTATCTTCTTTAAAACTAAGATGGGTAGTGAAAAGTGCTTAACGCTCGCGAAATCGCCTTCCCCCTCATCACAGAAAATGGAAATACAGGCTGAGTACGATTTGTAGAACCACTAAGATAGATATTGAGATTTAAGCCGACTAAAGTGTGCTCTCAACGTACATCTGTTCAAAATTCGCGTTAAAAAGGTAGCAAATTTCAAAGCCTTTGCTGTTACTTCATTTGAGATGCCCAGAATGAATAGAGTTAATAAAAGGATTCATGTAAATTCTACTTTGTAAGGCGTATCTCACATAGTTTTTATGATTGATTACCTGTTTGAGTTCCATCAACACAGTTCTTGTCAGGTCAACACTTTTCTTGGCCAACCGTTTAACCGCAACCAAATTTCCCTGCGCCAAAAAAGACAGGGAAAACTTACTTCTAGAAAATAACAGCATTACTCCATGATTTCCGAGTTAAATAAATTGGGTATGTTAGATACCCACCTGATTCTTGACCTGTGAGGAAAGATTTCTTTTTAAATCAATGTGAGTTAAGATTTGAGATTCGTCATGGTCAATGAAATGGAATTCAATAATAAAGAATGACTAGTAAAAGCCAATTATATACGGTTCTAAAATAACCTTTACACTTGCCAAATAACATTTATTTTTTAAACAAAGATAAGTCCTTTTTATTCAATCTGCTTACTAACCGATGGTGGACAATGAACCTTATACTGGTAGGTTTACGCACGAATTGAATAAGCGTACTAATTTTGACAATTATTAGAGCTGGTACGATTTCATTTTGATGCACGTTTAACAGATATTATAATCAAGAAAGGAATCAAGATAAAAACTTATACAATTACCTTGTAAACTGCAATAGCCGTGTAGTTATTGTAAAGCTCCCCATCGTCATCGAGAAGAGGCGCTAACATATCGGGATCAGGATCTTTTTGCTTCATGAAAAGTAAATAATGTTATAAGATGATATAATTAAACTTATGAACGAGTTGATTTTCAGAACATATATATATATATATATATATATAAAAGTCTGTGTGGTATTTTATTTATGAATTCACTAGCGAAACTTTTGTCCGTCTCCTTATGCTAAGGAAGCGTGCACCGCGAGAATCTATCTACCGACAAAGGGTTGGTTGGAGAAGAGTGGGGGCGCTACACAAAACAACACCCCTCCTTCCACCCCGTGAGCCTGATAGACACAAATTTTTAGCCTGATATTTTAAGATAGACTATAATTATATTAAGTAATAGAGACGGGTTAAGGAAATGAAACACGATCTTTTTCACGGTGTGGATGAGAGACACAGACTGATTATAATGAGACCACCGTGTTGCAGATAGCTTCTATCCGAGGAAGATTTAACTGGGAGATTTCTTTACGTCATAGTACCTGTGATCCGGTCGCATTTGTGGTCTTCCCTTGCGCAAATTTCAATTCTGTTTATTACGGCAGTTTTTACACAAACCAAGCTGTTACATGACCACAAACACTACTGACAACACTTCTGAACTTAAAATTAATTCACCCAACATACAATAGCGCCTGAGTTCCGAGGCTTTCTTAAAAAGGAATGAGCGAGCGCGTAGCAAGAGGTCATTATTTCCTAGATGACCAAGGCACCTAGACATTATCTGATTTAATTTTCATTGCTTTAGATGTCAGGTCGATATTGTGGTCACTGAGGTGGAACAGGAGCAACAAAACCACCTCTGGTCTCCTGTGCAAACAACAATAACCTGTTTTTCCACTGATTGAAAATTAAAAATAACGTTTCCAAAACAATGGAAAGGTGATTTAAAAACAGGATAATACTCCCTTAGATTGATTTTGAACCTGTATTAGCAGACATAGTAATCAATCAGTCGAACGCTCGCTATCAATTTTTTCTCAATTTCTTACCAGGTTGCTTCCAAAGGAAGTAACGGAGTTTCTCTTCCTCTCAAAACTGAGCGCATTGTAGTCGATCTTCCACAGCAGACGTTTAAGTTCCCGCTCCAATCTGTACTGCCTACAAAATGGAGCACAGAAATCTCAAAATCTTTTTATTTAGTGTTCAACCTATTATCTGGGTTTTTTTTATAGTATAATTAGTAACTTTGCTTTGTTGTTCGCCAGTTCAACTTGAAAGAACTTTACATGTGGTATTCAAGGTCTCGCTTTTCCTTCTTGAAGATAAGACAAGTCCCAGCGTCTGATTAAGGATCGGTTCACTGTAGAGCTGTAACAGAACGTCGTTCCTTACAATAAGATAGCATGTGCGGGAAGATGAAGTCAGAAAATGGCCGTTTTTATACTAACAACGTATTATCCGTCCTGACGAACTTGGGCAAACATTTTGTAGTTCGTCCGGGTTATGCGTCTCTAGTATAAAGACGGGCACAAGACGCATTATACGTCCAGACGAACTACCTTTCGTAGTGCGTCATTCAAGACTTTCTAGACTTATTTTGAAAGAAAGTTTGTCCAGACGCATAATGCGTCTAGTGCCCGTCTTTATACTTGATACGCATAACCAAACGAACTACAAATGTTTGAACAAGCTCGTCCAGACGGATAATGCGTCCTATAATATAAAAACGGCCAATGATCCTCGAGAAATGGTCACATGATGCCTGCTCAAGGCGTGACTTAAAATGGCAAGGAATTATCTATAACTCCAAAATATAATAAAAAATCCCTGATCTTGCACATTTAAGGCATTTAACCTACATCCTAGAATACTGCTTCTCTTGTGGGGACTTACCTGTAAATATTCAATAGCAGTAGAAGGGCCAACAGGCCCAGTGCACCAGATACCCCAGCTATGATTTTAGTTTTTACATCTGCAGCGAAAAGGAAACACACACACATTTCAGTTAACTTCCCGAAGGTTTTACTGGAACACTGTGCTTGCCTTTCCTCGGCAAGAACTAGAATGAAATTTTCCTTTTAAAATTTGCTGAAGGCGTTCAGTTCAGTGGTAATACAATCGAACCTCCACTAACAGCCACCTCTCTAAAACAGCCACTTTTTTGGCTCACAGTCCATACATTGACCCTTGTTTAAGGCCCCGTCCACGCGTATCCGGAATTTTGAATCCGTAATTTTTCCTGTCCGGATTCTAAGATTTCCACGTCCACGCGTATCCGTAATCAAATCGAATTTACCCCCCACACGTATCCGACACGTATCCGGATTAACTCTTATACCTAGGACGCCTCTGGGAATGTTGGCAAGAGAGCATGCGTCGTCAAGAGCGCGAAATTTGCATCTTGCTCTGCCTTGAGAGAACCTGGGAACGATGTTTCCATCTTGGATACATTATTCACGGTAAAGAACTGGACTCGACCTTGTTACGTCATCGGATATAAAAAAATCCTGATTTAGCGTCCTCTCGATTCCGGAATCATAGCGAATTCAAACATTTCTCGTTCTGGAGAGGGGATTCGTATGCCGGATGCACCTGATACGTGTGGACGGAAGCCGTATCCGGAAAGAAAAAGTTGCCGATTCAAAAATAGGCTGATTTGGCAACAGGACGGGAACGTCATTTGACGACGGGAAAGCGCGCGGAAAGGACTAAACTCGACTTCCGGTGCTCAATTTGCCGCTCTGCCATTGGTCAAGACAGTTGTTTGATTTGCGCGCGCCGTCGTCAACTGACGTTCCCGTTCTGTTGCTAAATCAGCCTAATATCCGGATACGTGTGAACTGGGCTTTAACCTCTCTATAACGGCCACTTTTTTCTGACCCCACGATGGTCGTTGTGGAGAGCTTCAACTGTAAAACAAACTTGTTAATTAACGTTTTAAATTACATTTCTCCTAATAAAAATCGTGAATGCCCAAACTTTGTTATGGGAATTTGTAAGTCTTATTTGCTTGTTCTGTGACGGAATGCCACCAACTCTATCGAGTTCTTATTTTTCAATTTTATCTGATAAATTTCATTTTTTTTTTCGTTTTTGGTATCAGATGAGTTTGAAACAAAGAAAAACATAATTTAAACCAGGAATAAAATTTACCCACGACGTAGATCAGGTTAATTCGAAAATGAAACAGACGCGACGTACTTTGATTACTCTATATACGCTCTCGCCACATAGCTAACAAATATTACCTTCTCCTATTGGTTCTATACAAAGCTCTCCATGAAAACCACACTCAGGGGAGTCCCGTGGGGGTCCGGTTCGACCCCCGGGCCATTTGATAGTAACGCCTGGCCTTGGAACATAGACTTGTTCACCTTCCTTAGTTGCATTGTCAAACTTGATTTGAAAATCGCCTACTGGAATCATCTCATGGCTTGAGCTGTTTCCTAACAAACAACAAAAACAAACAACAGGCAATTTCATTAAACTGAATGAAGATTTTCAGTCTTCTCTCGTAAACGGTTGATAAACCGTCCATAATATGCAACACCTATTGGATAAGGGCTATCGACACTAAAATTGGTGCGCGCTCGCTGTACAATGAACGAAAAACTGCTCTGGGTCTCCGGCTGACTTAAGGGCGCTTACCACATGTCAGAACTGGCCGCAGGACAGAACAGTCCAGTCGTAAAGATCGTGAATTCCACTGACAATCAGGACTACCCAGCCAGATCAAAGCAGAGATGCGTTTTTAACAAACATTTCTAGAGAATTAATATTTATTTCAAATCGATGAACGTCCTTGGTTAAGCCTTACGTGGCACAAAGAACTGAAAGAACACTCGCATACCTACTAGCTGCATGTCAAGCAAGGTCAGGTTAAACTCAGCATCACCATTGCTGTCAAAGTGAATTTTGTAACCAAGTATGCCTAAAAAACAAACAACTGAATGAGCGTTCAAACCATTAACCCTTTCAGTGCCAAGTGTGGACAAGGGCAAAATTCAACAAAAATCCACAAATTTCGTTTTGTAAAATTTTGGAAACAAAAGCACCATATGAAAGTACAGGCAGAGAGCTTTCATTTGAATGGTCACATCACAGGATTTTGTCCACAGACTCAAAAGTTAGAACTACCTTAGGGACTTCAACATTCACTCTGGCAGTGAAAGGGTTAAAGAAATGTACTGGCTTTTTGGAAATGATCAAATGATTAAACTGAAACAGGTCCCTCTCAAAAAACAAAGGACCGTCAAAATATTTTATATTCCTCAAAAACGCACTAATAATTCATTAAAAAAAACAAGAGATATTAATGTTTAATGGGTGTCTTTATATATCAGGATAAAGATACGGCTAAATTTTACGTCCAGTTTTTTAGACCAAAATAACCTTAAATCTAAGAATGAGTTGATATATATCAAAGATTTTAAAGTCGTTCAAACAATTCGTGTATTTAAACCTGATAAAACACTCCCACTCGTTTCTTAAACAGTACTCAATTTATGTCTTTAAATCTACGAATAGAGAGTATGCACAAGGGGCAGTAATTCCAAGTATAAACTATTTTGGCTTCTCCCACTTTTTTGTCCGTTAAAACATCGATATCAACGATACCTTTATTTTAATTGTAGTTTTACATATATTAAGCTTCTCAATCTCAGGGTGAATGATAGGCGTCTTTTAAAATAGGTGGCTCTAACTTTTCAGGTATTGGGACGAAATGCTATACTGATAACATTCAAATGCCGTGATTCTCTTCAGCTGCATTTTCATACGGAACTTTTTATTTTTCAGCCTTTGACAGAATGAGACTTCATCATACCAGTTCCTCTTTTTCAATATTTCTACCTGTTTGCCTGGCGTTCTGTCTAATGGTTCATTTGTTTATCAACAGCTATTCGTGATACTCAGTTGCCGTATGGACCAACAGGAGTTTCAAGCTATCTGATAGCGGGAAGAAGGTTACAATCTACAATAATTCACTTAAAAACTTCTGTTTGCTTTTAGTCCTAAATCTCACTTACTGTCATACTGAATATCTTGCATCTTTTTTGCAATGATTTCACCCGTTACAGTCTGATTCATCAGCATTGTTTTGTTCAGAGCAATCGCGTACTGGTATACAGCATCATATAGATATGCTCCAAACACAGGCGGCTGTAGGAAGGGGAAAAGCGTTAGTTAGTCTCGACTACTCTTATTTAAGGTACCTTAAGATTTGACGAAAAACGTTACTAAAAATCTTACTTCGCGTCGTTTCGAACATTAGGGACTTTAAAATCCAAAGACGCGACGGCAACGAGAACGTCAAAAAAACCAATAGGTTTAATTAGCAAAAAAACAACTTTGCACGCGCACCATGCTTTTTTGTACATTTCTCTGCCCGTTTTTGCACGACTACGACGTGAACATGCCTAATTTCGCGTTTTACGGAAGACGTAAACAAGCAACGACGAAATTTTATTTCTCTTACTGTACTTGGATACAGTGCCTAGGAATTCAACTCCAGGAGGGTTCGCCTACATTTGAAAAAGTAAGTGGGTAGGAATAATTGCGATATAGACTGAAAGAACGCAAATTCACTTTTTAAGTGACGTTCTCATTGCCGTCGCGTCGTTGGATCTTAAAGTCCCTATTTTCTCGATTCAGCCAACTCGCTGGGTCTTTTTTTTAAGTTGATAAATTATGCTGGAGCTGAAGAGAGAGGATCACGTCCGAGCTCAGAAAGATACATTAATATTTATTGCCTTGCTGTTCACGAACGTTCCAAAAGGACTTGAAATGGTATCATTTCACGCCACAGTAGTAGCAGGCAAAGAAATTGACAAAAAATCGTGATGCCTTTGAAGAGTTGTTGTTTTGCTCACTACACCCATTGTGTTTTTTGATGTTCCTGTTACCATCGTAGTTTCATAAGGTCCCTATTGATTCATTTTACTAGTCTCCAATTTAGTTTCGCGGTTACGAGACAAGTTGCAGGAGACTTTGTGCTAAGTGAAACGCAACCCCGAGATGAATATGAGCTCAGCAACGTTTATGTTGCGGTAATCATTAGCAAAAAGTGTAACTTAGGCCCAGTTCAGAAGTCGTGCTTTTGCCGTGCCGAACTTAATTGTTAAACTTAATTCGGTTCGACGGTAGCACGGCAGGAAAACAACTTTGATTCAGGCGTCGTGCCAGAGTCGAACCAAATTCAGGATTTACTGATACCTCGTAACAATTCTCCTCCTAACTCCTCGTGGGAACGCAATCTCGCCAAAATACATTAATTAACAGTTAATGAATGAGGCTGAGTATCTTATGAAGAATTATGGAGATCGAGGAGGGTGTTATCCGTCGAGGCCGCAGGCCGAGGTGGATAACACCCTCCGAGATCTCCATAATTCTTCATATGATACGAAAGCCGAAGTCAATAACTGTTTTATTATTCATTCAAAATAGTTCCTAGTTTAAAAACATAGCTAAAACATGCTTACCTCCATCGATCCATTGATTTTAGTTCATCTTCGATAGTGTACGTTTAGGTTTGTCCAGCTCCGCAAATATTCTCCAAATAGCAGATGTCGCCCTTTGAGTTATCTTCTTGTTGTTCTTGCCATGTTTTTAGCTACTTTTTTGCCTAGTTCTTACTCTTGAAACGAGTGAAATGTCCGCCATTTTTTCAAGTTCACACTAAAACAACTCAACCTCGTAACCAGGTCTTCTCGGTTAACGGTGCCTTAACCTTCGAAAACGCTGCATTTTTGACGTCATTTTCCCGTTAAATTCAAAATTCTTCTAAATTTGGTCATCAGTAACTGGTTATGGTGAATTAAACGTGTGCTTTTAGCCAATCAGAATCGGGGAAATATTTTGCTTAGCGCGGCAGAAGCACGACGTTTGAACGGCTGCCGTGCCAGAGCCGTGTAGCACGGCAGCGCTTGTCGAACTTAATTGCTTGCCGAACTTAATTCAAAAGTTTGATTCAGACGCCGTGCTTCTACCGTGCTTTTGTCGAACTTAATTCCTGAATTTAGTTCGGCACGGCAGAAGCACCACGTCTGAACTGGGCCTTAGTGTAACGCTTGCTAATGTTCACGTTGTTCGTGATAAGGAATGTAACATTGTGCTCTTCATGGTCAATTCTTTCTTGCAACTTGCCTTGAGACAAAACTGGGAAACAAGTTGCAAGAAAACTTGCTTGACGTAACAGCGCTTTAATGCTAAACCATCAAAATGAATTCTTATGTAATGTAAGGGTCAGATTCGACAATGAGTTTCTGGTATTCATTGAGTTACCGATACAGTCAGTGAGGAGTCTTTGCTATCGATCTACATATGTTAATGCCTCTTACCCAAACAATCAGCCCTTTAATTATGGAGTTGAACTTGAGTACCCAGGCTAGCTGAAGTCTCTGAGGCGGCTCAGGTGTGCAATGGCAGTGGCTGGGACTTGGTGACTTTCTTTTGTCCACGATTGTCATTTCTGTTGTTACGTTGTGAATTAGATTTTTCAGGGAACACGGATCTCATACGTAGAGAGACTCTGGTCTTCCTAATTTATTTTTTTAGAGCAAAGTCAAAGACACTCGCTACCGTTGACCTTGTCGCCAACTTTGACGACTTAGGTCACGTCGCTTGTTTGTCAAAGCAAAACGCTAAACTCACGTGGTTACATTCCTGAGCGTTTCGTAGGCTAAGACCAAAAATGGCGTTCTCTGTCAACCAAAAACAGCGAATTTTCGTTCGCGGAAATGTCAATCGATGGAACTCCCTTTGGTTGCAGCTCTTTATGGCTTTATAACTCAGAAGCACGAACAACAAAGTAAGCAATATAAAAGGTATGTGACCTCGCAAGTTCACCTTTTTGGCTTCACAAACCAAGCCACGTGAGCTAAGTCGTTAACGTCTGGCACAAAAATCAACTGTCATGGTATCTTTCTCTACCTGTTTCGGTAGTACAAACTGTGAGGAAATGCATTAAGCACATTCTAACTAAAGAAGGCCCTGGTCATAGCTTGTAAAATCAATATCTTACCTTGGTTTTATTAGCGGGAAACTTTTTATTATCCGTCCACAGATATCCAGTGTACACTAAGCTGTTGAAGGGCTCATCCCGAGAACGAATTTTTAACTCCTCAGTAAAATTCACGTAGCTTTTCGATGAAGGACTTTTGATAGCCAAGACAAAAGCGGCTTGGAATGCATCATTTACGTGATGATAACGATTAAGAGTGTCTTTATAACTGCTGAAAAACCACTTAAAGGGCCGATTAGAGTAAACCTCTACTTGTGCTTGATCCAGTTCGAAAATTATGAAAACGTAATCGCCATTGATCATCTTTTCGTCGTATGCGTGCAGCATTCCTTCCCGAGCTATATGGAGATCGGTTACAAATACTACAACTGAAAAGAAAAAAAGATTAAAAAATGACTTAAATCAGTTCATGTGATGATTTAAACACAAACACTCCAAGAAGCAACGTCTTCTATGGTCGGTAAAACGCTTTTTTAAAACGCAAGGCGTATTAGAATCCATTTGCTTTTGTTTTTGTCGTTTTTGTATTTTTCTAAAGACATGTATTAACATTGTCCTCGAAGAGCTCAACAATGGGTGCGTTCGATTGGGAAATCCGGATTTAGATTTTCAAAATCTAAATCCGGATTTCCCAATCGAACCCGAAATCCGAAAACGGATTTCACCTCCGAGAAATCCGTCCTCAGGGTGGATTTCAATTAAGAAATCCAAATTCGGATTTTTTGGATTTCCCTTTTAGTCGTTCGATTGGGAAATCCGAGAAGGATTTGAAAAACTGTCCTTAGGAACAGCGGTCTTGTATGCGCACGCATAATTAGCACAAGATAGTCCGCTGTTCACGAGAACAGTTTAGCAAATCCTTTCTCGGATTTCCCAATCGAACGACAAAAAGGAAAATCCAAAAAATCCGGATTTGGATTTCTTAATTGAAATCCATCCTGAGGACGGATTTCTCGGAGGTGAAATCCGGTTCGATTTAGATTTTGAAAATCGTATTAAATTTTCTACAGTCACGTAATCTTCTCTTGTTTAAACCAAAAGATCACGCCATATTCGCCTATACAAATTAAAAACATTCCCTATTACGTCAAATACGCATACGTTGATTCATAGATGTAAAGTGCGTGTGGAAATTTCATGTGTAAAATTTACTGCCGTCAAAAACTCATTAATAAATTATAAAGAAAATACAGTGGCAATAAAAAAAAGAAATGAAAAATCGACAAGAAATTAACTTAATACAATTAATAAAACCACATTTTTGTCATGTAAAAGAAATAAGTCTTTAAATGTGATAAAATACAACTTTCGCGACGAAAAGTAAAAAAAACAACAGCAATAACAAGATCGAATAAGGTTCACTTAAAGAAAAAGAATATCATTCATTTAAAATGGTAAGAAAGGTTTGAGTTCACATACAGTATTCGCAGATCGTGTTTTAAAACGTCATAAACACTCCTGCTTGTTTATAAACTAAAAGTATCATAAAGACATACTCCGAGCTTCCTGTTTAATTTTTTTCATGATATCTCTGTAATAATCAGTGTGATTTCCCGGGTTATATTGCGATGTCGCATGAGCCAGTAGTTCCAGAGCCACGGTTATTCCACTCGCCCTCAAACGTTTCACCATGTTATTCTTCATTTCTATCCACTTTGTTACGTTTTCGTAAATAATTGCAACTCTTTTCCAGTCAAAATAATTTAGCAGCGACAGAAGACTTGGAGTAAGTTTAGTATCCACGGCAAACGTACGAGTGAAGGTTGGATACAGCTTTTTGTACGACAGCTCTGGATTACTGCACATCTATTGATTTGAAAGTGAAGGATAAAATAAAACAAAAAATTCATTAGTTCTTTACCGATATGATGTTACCGATTTATCCAATGATTGAGCAAATTTGGCCGTGTTTATGTTAAAGACGTTAAACGCATTTAACGCGGTTTCATGAGACTTGAAAGTCGTGTGGTGTAAAAAAAGGACAACCTCATAGAAAAAAACCCACAGACTTTTGTAAAATGATAAAAAAGACTAAACACAGATTCATCTCAGTCGAAAGTCCCGTTTTTTTGTTTTTTTTACTTGACGCATTTGGTCTGAGACGTTAGCGTCGTCTGTTAAGTCACAACGCCTTTAACAGAAGACGCTGATGTTTTATAATACGGGTTTGAACTATTTGATTAATTTGAAATCGACTTCTCAATGGTTTGGGATAAAAGTTAAAAGATCTGTAAAACAAATATCGGTTTTTTGTGACAGTTTCCCCGATTTGCCGGAGAGAATTTACAAATATTTCCTTCATACAAAAATCCTTGGCAACTCTAAAGGAAGCAGACTTTTTATGATTAACAACTGGGATCCAAGATATAATTTTGCTCTAGAGTAGCGTCAAGGGTTTTAAAAGAGGCATGCCCCGCTAGTAAAGCCTCTAATCATCCAGGATTACACATCTTTTCTGGCTACATCTGGTGTTAAGCTTCAATTCTGTCCAAGATAATAAATAATGAACACTTCATGTACTATGTCATGATACGCTCGTAATATATTGAAGAATAAAACAAAAGCAAGAAATTCAAGGTAAAACTTGTGCATTAATTCAAGGCTACTATTGTTACGACTGTCAACATGGTCAATTTAAAATATGTCTTTTGCAGTGTTCTCCCCGACCATTGGTTAAATGAAAAGCCGGGTAAGTAGTTTAAATTTTGAACAACCGGTTTTCATTGAGACAAAAAAAATAATAATAAAAATAAAATTGCAGAAGGGCCATTTTTGCCTACTTTGAAGACACGATGGTCCGACCGGAAAAAAAAATAGCACTAAATTTTATATTCCTTTTTTTTCCCTTTGTTTTTCTTGCTTATCTGCTCAGTTGACATATTGAGGGTACAGTTTTACTGTCTAAATTTCATATAATAAAACCACGGTGGTCTATATTTTCGGGGATCCTTTTCTACGAGAGACCATAATCGATCGCAAAGCGATTATGGTAATGTCCTCCAATATCAATTTTCATACCGAAAGTGTCGTAAATTACAGTTTAATGAAAGGCGGATCTAATCAAAAGAAAAACAAAAAGTTGCATGCGAAAAATCTGCGCTTGGGATTTTACTCGATTGGTCTCCCGATAGGATTTCGTCCAAATATGTAAAAATTAAAATTAACAAACATTTCTGCAAAATTGCTTCTGAGAATGAAAAGCCTAAAGGGACTCAGATACGGTACTGATCACACACCGGTTATAATTATGGTATAAATAAAGTGACGGAGCTACTTACATACGAAATCATGGTCTTGTTAAACGAGGCGGCCATCCTCGCAGAAGTGTTACAGCTACATCCCGGACCTATGAAAGCTGATACTCTCTGCGTCAGTTGATACACAATCGCTTGTAGAGTCTTTTCCTCCTCGCAGTCTGTGTCATTCCAGATAAACGTGACGTTCTGACCAGGCAACAAGTCGGATCTTCGGTTTATATCATCGACAGCAATGCTCATGGCAGATGCGTAGTATTGTCCGCGATGAAAAGAGTTGCCAAGACGATTGGTGCGTTTAAATGGGATCAGAAGGCCAAGTTTGACTTCCTCCGAGCTCGGCGAAGGAATATGGAGAAGGAACGCGTAAAATATAAACAATCCTAGAGTTCGTAGAGCCATTTGAACGTCTTTCGTTAATCGCAAGTGAACATGATATCAACCTTGAAATATCCCCGAGCTGGCGGAACTGATAACCTCACGGATTGGCCTAGAATATAAATCAGTTAAATTTCAAGTTTCTGGAAATTAACTGTTATTGTAGTGTCGCGGTAAATTACTAGCAAAAAACTTTCAACGCAGGGATTATGTCGACGAAATGATTGTGATTTTTTTTCCTCCTCTCCAAAATTAGGAATTTACTATCCTGGTTTGAATTTTCTTAAATTCGCTTTCTTTTAAAGCAACCGCTTCTGATCTTTGCCTGAAAAAAGTAAAAAATAGTTAAAATTCAATGAAATAAAAAAGATGAAAGGGCAAATTAGAGCCGTACAATTGAAGAAAATATTGGGCACATTAAACATTCCGCTCCCGGTAAGAAGTATGTTAATTATGTTAATTATGTTCAACGCGCTCGCCTGCCGACTTCAAGGTTCTTTATTGCTGCAGCCATCATGCATGTAAATAGATATTAAGTCAGAGCAATGACTGAAAAATCATACCGGATAAAGCACCATTAAATAAACTTCCTACTGAAGAACTATACCTTTGAAAGTACCATAAAACATATTTCCATTGAGATGATGAGATAAAAAAATAACCCGAGGTGACTGAATATTGCTGATGCCGTATCGACTAGTTGATAACTTTTGAATTAGTATTTTCTACAAGCAGATGGTAAGAGGAAAAGCATACAAACAAACAAAGGATAAGCCAAACGGTTCTATTTATTTTCAGAGTAAAAAGTTCACAAAGAGAGACCTCCTTCATGACGGAAAGCAAATTTACCTACAGTACAAAATGTACTGCATGGATCAGCAAACGCAGCAGGAACGCAGTCGAAGATCAGGGGACTTTCCCGGGGGGACATTTTCCTTTTCGCAGTTATATTTCAGAGAGTGCGTCACCTATGTTGTGAAAAAACAACACAAACTTTCTTTTTCTTAAAGAATATTTGGCAAGGGTGGAAATTAGAGGCTCCCACGTTCTAGATAAACTTCCAAATGAGTTTTTTAAAACGTTTAATTGAAAAATGGCTAAGCGGTCTTAACAAAAATGAGAGAAACAAGTAAAATAATTTAGGTAATGGAGATAAACAGACTAGTATTTATATTTTTAGATAACCGGAACAATAGTTATAATTATAAATGGACAAATTTTGCACTTGTCTGCCGGTTTTATATTCCATTGCACGATATATTGAACGACTGAAATATTAAAATGTTGTCGTCACACAAGGTTTAAAAAAAGAAGAAGAAGCTGTTAACCGTTGTATGAGATTCGTCTACCTGTAATATTTTTGCAAAAGTTAAAGTAGTGAATGAAGAACTGTTTCGTGCAAACTCTTTAACGACGAATTACAAAAAGCAGACTTTCCATTTTTCGGGTCTTTGACAGTATGGTTAATGAGCTTCCGTTGCAAATTTTATTCACATCGTCCTCAATACATGTATTCAAAGAGGGTGAACTCCTGCATATGAAAAGCGATGGGATGATGGAGACGTTCACTGAGATGTATACGTACTTGTTTAGTATCATCTCCATCGGTCTTTCTATTGGTAATTTATAATGGTTGTAATTTTCTCACGAAACGGAACATAAGGATCGATACTTCAAGATCGAGACTTCAAGCCCCTAATTTTACTCAATAGCTGCATAGCAGACTTAATTCATTATTAATTTTTCTGCCTGTAATTTAACAAGAGTAGATGAAATTCGCTAAATAAAATAAAACAAAGAAAGAAGAAGAAAAATCTCGAGATTCAAATTACTGAAACTCCAAATCTACTAACACTCAAAAATAGAGAAACTGCATCATTCTATAGTTCTCAAATTAACTTACCGACAAACAAAACACGCGGTACCCAGTCGATCGTTACGTCCGATTTGGCCTGGTCATGTTAAATTACTACGATAAAAAAAATCTCAAATAAAATAAAAAACCTTTCCTGCAACTTAAGTTTTAGAAGCCATATACGAAAAAGAAAATTGTTTTGCCAAAGCCATTTCCCTTAAAGGCGGTGAAATAATAAATAGATCAATAAATTCATAAATAAATTCACCTAGTAAACTATTTGGCGAGGAGGGCCTGAAGGCAGTCAGTGGTGCTATTGTTTGTTTGTTTGATTTGTTTGGTTTCTGTTTTGTTTTCTTTTTTTGGCAAAAAAGAGCTTTGCATTTCTTTAAACTGAGGTGAGGATGGTGATTCTTTTTCCTTCAAAATTTTGTTAATCTTTTAAAGGAGCATGCTGTCCTGACATCAGAGCAGGAAAACGTTTGTCGAGTGTCAAAGATAAGTGATGTGCCGGCTTCTCTTCTTGACAATGATAATGAATAGTGAAATTTAAAATGATGTGTAAAGAGACAAAATGCCCAGGTCTACCATAGTTCCTTCTTTGACCTTGTAGTTTGTTATTTTATACATTTGTAAAGCTCACTCGTGTTTCTCATCTTTCAATGAGATATCAAACTCACATGCTTTTCCCTTCCTTATCACCCCTTCAGCCTTCATAGTATTTTCGCACACCTTTCCTGGCATGTTGTTTTATGATTAGCCCGCCAAGACCTTTGCATAAAAGCTAGGTTGAAAAAGGTTTCTTTTGATGTTGAAGGTCGACCAAACATCACGTTTAAGTTTGGTCCCGCTTTGTGTCTTTCTGTGACCAGAGAGAGTTACGTTTCTCATGAGAATGAAATTTTGTGAAAAGCAAAGTGGGGTACAGTCAGACAAAAGATCGGCCACATCGATCCATTCGATACCAACTATAAAATAAAAAAATAAATAAATAAATAATCATTTAAGGTAGCACATTCATTAACTGGTATGTAGCGTCATCTGTACCAGCCAAGGGAAGGTGATTCCAGAGAAGCAGTCATGCTACATTTACGATGCATTTTTAGGTCAAAACTTAGCTAACATTTAAGCTTATAAATGGAACTCTAAAGGAAAAAAATATGAAACGATTTTCCCAAACGAGAAACATAACATGATCTTTCTTGGAATTTGTCCACTTGGCAAACGTTGACCCATTTTAGACTTTTTTTTTTAAGTTGCAGCCCACTTACGTGGTGACGGTCAAAAAAATGAACTTGTCTTGGTTTAGTAGTAGACTGCAAAACAATCGGTTTTTCAGGGCCATTCACCATCGCTTCAGGCAAAAAAAGGCTGTTTTGCAATCTACTAGAGTAGAGGAGTAAGTCTAAACAAACTTAAACAAACTGTCTTTTAGATTTTCAGGCTTTGATCCAAATGTGTTTGAGGGTCTAAAAGCAATACCAAAGAAAAATTGTGACACAACTCCCTTAATACCGATTCGTCATTTCCTATATTGCACGTAATAAAAAGGTGTAATTTTAAGGAAAAAATAACATTCCTAGAATAAACGTGACTCCCTGCACTGTACTCCGCGTAATGTTCATCAGTAGGCTTTAAATGATCGGCTAAAAGGCGGTAAAGCAAAAGTTAGTTTGTGGTTTTTGTGGCAGTTAACAGAAAAACCACACATCAAGTATCTATGAAGCCTTTATTTAGTTATTAGCTAGCATTTTGAAGACGTGTATACAAAAAGGAATGCTAAGGCAAACCACACAAAAAAGTAATAAAAAGGTCAAGCGTTCTTTTTAATGTAATCTGTAACCTCTGATTGACTTTATACACCAGAATAAGCATTTATTTATACAGAGAAACAGAGTCCTTCAAATGTGTCTTGAACTTAAATTATTTAGCCTAGTCTATTCACAAAGTACTAACTTACGACTCAATTGGCCTTCAATAGGGATTTCTCACAGCCTTGTATGACACGATTTTTCCATAAATCAAAGTCTCACTTAGGACACTTAGGGTCGGCAATGAAAAGAGTTTTTATGACATTGATATTTAGGCCTGGCATTTACATAAAACTTAACCTTATTCAAATACTCACGCTGCTATAAGTTAAACAATACTGAAATGTTAAGTCTGTCAAATAAGTTTACACGAAAGTTCGTGACTTTCAAGTCTAAGTATCTTTTGATGGAAAAAAAAAACCATTAGTGGGAGTCCATTTACGTTAAAAAGCAAAACAATGAAAGTGCTTAAAACGAAAATAAAAGCATAGAAAATAGATACATTTAAATGTGATTGAAACTTAGCGTGAGATCGAGCCAGGGCTGACAGCTCCTCAATAAAAGATCAAAAACAAAAAGGTTAAAACATCATTTGCATAGCAGCACGTACGAAACTTTCAACTCCTTCATCAACAAACAAAATGGAGCGCCATCGGATTTGCACGGACCTTGAGCGCAGGAGATTTCGTATATTTCGCTATAAATGGTCTTGGGGATAATTTTGTAACCAATACCAAAACCACACAGACCCGAACGAACAAAAACTGAAGATTGTTTTGTTATTGTTTTTCGGTTAACACTAATTGACGATGATCTATTTTATTGCAAATGTGCCGGCAAAGTGACAATTCAACGATTGATATGATTAGTCCGCCCAATTAGAAAAGTCACGCCAAGTGTGTAAAAATAGTTCAACGAACACTTACACGTTACATAAACGTTTCAAATTCCTCCTGGGCAAAAGTTGACGATCAGAAGTACCATCAAGCTGAAAGTATATTGTGTTCATGTGTCGGTATTCGCAGCGCGCTCATATCAATTCAAGCTAAAATGTTAGGTCTGATGTGGTACCACTGCACCGGAAATTGAAATTTCAACACAGGGGCACCCCCAACGACTGTTTTCTGTAAAATATCTGTTCGGAGAGGCAACTATTGCCTAGAATTTTCTAAAAATTTCTAGTTGACCGTTCCATTCGAGTACAATTTTATCTGAATTTTCCACATTTTACTCCCCAGGTTAGCCTAAATAGTGTTTTCAATATATTTAGGGTGAAACAGTCGTTGGATGCCCCTGATTGTAGCCCGAGTGGCAGGAGACAGACTCTCTCTCACCGATTTTTTCTGAGGAGAGGGGGACGTCTGTGAGAGTGAGACTTGTACCGAAGCAAAGGTTCTTTATACGAAGGTATAGTTAGTCATTTCAAACACAGGACCGACTTAAACGCCATTAGTTAATTTCAGAAGCCCATCCTAATTTGATTTAAAGAGGTCCATCTTTACTACGGCCTACCATAAACAATGGAAGAAATCATCACAATTTTTCATTTCATTCAAAAGAAGAAGAAACATGAGCTTGACCTTCAAAAGAGCATTAAATGTATGACATGAGCTCAGTTTGAGTCCCACATGAAATAGCATATCAGTCTAAAAGCGAAACTCTACCCACAACGTCTGTTTTGCTAATTATTGTGTGGCTCTTACTTTAGAATTTGTGACCCGATAATATTCTTCAGTTTACTGAACTATTTAAAAGAAAGCTCCAAGAAGTATTTCAGCGGTCCTTGGCGCAAGGTTTCCGCTGCGCTGTTGAGTTTTATCCTTTTCAAACCATATTTAGAAACACCATTTTGAATTATGCTTAAAAAAGAAAGTGTCAGGTTCGCCGACGACACCACTTGAAATAACGGGATTTAGAAGGTTTTATTTCCGATGCAATAAAAAACCTTTTACAGACCTAGATCCGGATACATGGTATGGCAAATGCAAAATAAGATTGGCTAAAGGAGGTTTCGCGAGACTGAGTAACCCCCACAAAACCTTGTTTTCACTTAAACCGCTGGACACAAAACCTTCCCTGGTGGTATAGATAGGGTACCAAGGAAATAACAAAATACCGTCTAGTATGTATCTCCGCAAGCGAAAAGTGATCGAGCCCGATTATTAAGAAATTCTCACAGCTATACTCCTGGCATACTAAATAATAAATACAGCAAAGCTTTAAACTACAAACAATGATATTTTGAGATAAAAAGGGTTGATATGCATTTCTTATGTGAACAAAAATAAATTTCGAAGGCGACAACTGTTCCCTTGTTGCGAAATAAATTAAAGCATTTGACACACTATTGTTATTGTCAATAGTTCAAACTCACAATTGTTTGAATAAACATTTAGTTAATAAGCTAGAGTGTTGAAAATTTGCTAAAGTCTTCGATATAAGCTGCTGTTTTAGCGTATAATCTACTACTATGTTTGTCTCGGCTTGTCTCGTTTGCCGGATCATTAAATTGATTAATGATATATTTAAATCCCGAGCTAACGTAACTGAAGGGAAACATTGACATCAGAAGGACCTCTAAATCCCTTTAGTCTCGCCTCTAGTAGATTATGAAAATAGCAACAAACTTCTTCGTTTCATTTTTCACTTTAAAAACGGTTCGCACAAACAGTTTAACTACGTAAGACAAATGTTCGCATTTGAAATGAAACAAGCCGAGATCTGACACTTTGCAACATGCTTGTGATTGTAAGTTATTAGCGTGTCCTGGCCGCGGTTTACACAAAATATGAACCCTACTTGAACTCAAATTGTGTCTTATATGGCAAGAAAGAAAGCGTAAACAACACTTATAATAAGGAGGAGAAATATTTGGATCCGCGCCGGTAAACTATTTGTCTCGTTCTGTTGATTTATAGTAATGGTAATGATCTTTCCTAGCACCGATTTTACAACAATGTTAAGTCGAATACCTGTGTATTCAGCGAAGCATTATCTCGGGGTGTCCATAAAATCCAGTGAATTCACCATCATGTCGAGAGTCGGGATGTATGTACAGAGATATCATGTTGACGGTTATGAATCGCCAAGCGAGTCATGCGAAAGATGTGTCACTCGAAACGGGAAAACGCTTCATGAAAGATGCCCTTGGCATTGATGACGTCACTCTAAACTAGCTCTATTTAAGACAATTACTTTGCAAATCTACGCCGCTCTAAGTCTGTTTACCATCAACATGATTACGCGAATTAAAATTCGCGATATTGACGGTAATCATTTTGATCTGTTTAATATGATCCAGAGGTGATTTTTATATCGATGTAACCTTGACGTTTCAAAATGACACTGTTACTGTATTGTTTTGGTTTGCCAAAGTTTATTAAATCAGATTATTGATCTAATAAAGTGCTAAAGAGTTCGATAAGTACTGAAGCAACTTGATGCTTCATCTTACGGTGGAACGGATATGTATCACCCAGCGAAGGAAAGGGCCATACTATATCATAACCGACTGAGCGTCTGCGCGTGAAGGGCGCAGATCATCCTAGAAGGGTTCATCGTTGTGATCCACGGCATCTGTCAGGGTCATAAAGATAGACTGGCTCTATCAAAAGGCTATCACCATAATCCAACAGAGTCAAGATTCTTAGAACTTATAATTAATAGCTTTTTGTTGTAAACTCTCAGTCCTGGGTTCTCTCAAAATTAAGCTCTTGTGACAAGGTTGTCATCTCCAGAACTCAAATTTCGTTTGGTAGAGCTTTTTATTATGACCTTCAGTCTTGATCCGTTTTGTCACGGAAATCCAATTTCTTTCTTTCTTTTTCTTTTTTTAGCCATAATCGTTCTTGCGATCAAAATATTTGACATTAGAATGAAATCCCGATTTTTCGAAGCAGGTTGGTTCCAATTATTCAGTGCCGTAGGTTTGAAAAATCGTGGGGAAAAATTACAGACACTACAGTGTTTGACCGGTGAAGTGAACAGTTAGGTTTCAGGTTCGGATTATCGGAAAATTCCAAAAAAACCCGAGTATTCGAGAAATCGGGATTCTATATGCAGTCAAACTTCCCTAATACTGACAAAGCAACAGACCCGGGGGGGGGGGGTTACTCAATAAATTTTTATACGGCGAGGCACCGCCCCGAGGTCCTACCCGTTACCCTTTCATATACTATTTTTCACGAAAAAGGTACTCCTTTCGTATACCTTCTATTGACAAATGGTACCCCTTTCATATACCTCGTTTAGAACTTTGCATCCCTTTTAACTGTTGTAAATGCATTGCCATTTAAATAGGAATTAATCAAACCTGGCCTTTAGCCATTATGTCTTAATTACTTAGATTAGAGCGCAAACAAAAAATTTCTTGAAATGCATTTGAATTCGCATTTCTATTTCTTGTTGTTATTTTTAAACACATCTCACTTTATATTCGCTAAAACTACGTAGCAGTTGTGTATGAAACCTTTGTAGTGTGATTCAAAACACTAGTCATTGAAATGTTCATCCCTAAAGTGCAGCTGATGCCCGGGGGGTACTCCTTTAAAAGGGCTTAATGGGTACGTGCGGCCAGCCAGGGTATGTTTTTCGGGATTTTTGTCTTAAACAGGGTATCGATTTTATCAATTTTTGTCTTAAACAGGGTATCTTTTCTAAGACAGGAGCCTATAACCATGTTCTTAGACGATAAACAGCCTGCGCTTATGTTCTACGAATGTCTTAAACTGGGTATCAAAAATCGGAATTGTTTTTCGGTATTTTTGTCTTAAACAGGGTATCGATTTTATCAATTTTTGTCTTAAACTGGGTATCTTTTCTAAGACAGGAGCCTATAACCATGTTCTTAGACGATAAACAGCCTGCGCTTATGTTCTACGAATGTCTTAAACTGGGTATCAAAAATCGGAATTCTGTCTTAAACAGGGTCAGGGTATGAGGGGCCGAGCCGCACCTCCCCACCCAAGGATATATCGAGTACCCCCCCCCCCGGAGCCGATGCATGTTTCGTGGGGGGAGAAAACAGCTGCTGAAGAGGGTCGGGCAAGCGAAGATTACTAAATAACATGATATCAGAGCGTGAATTAGGGGGGAACCACAATACGATTTTTAAACGGCCCTTTTAGTGATCATGTGTACCACCAAGAGTTGGTGCTCATTGGTACCACAAAAATTTGCACACCACATGTCTAGGAGCATCTTTTGATCAGCTAATTTGCTGAGACCTGGATAGAATTGCGAACCTTCAAGAGCCCCCTCAAGTGCTGAATTTTCAAATTCGCATTCCTTTTCAGAGTTTTCAGACTTAACACTCTTTCCACCGAACATCCGTATTTTCTACCACCCCACCGTTACAGCACTGAAGCCAATCTAGTAATTATCTCTTCTGGTCACGAACATAAATTCAACAGCGATTCAAAACAACAAAAACATTAACCTTAGCCTGTGAAGACTTAACTGAACTGTCAACAGGGAAATTGCATACACATTCAACGTGAGTTAATGCGGTGGTAGATAACTAATGGTCTCCTTCTTTGATTTCTATTTTCTGTAGGTTAATTGTTTTGACGCTAAAAGTACAATTTAATACCTCCATAAGTTTCCAATTAGCTGTTTAAATTCTCATTTTTCTAGTCACTTGAATAATTGAAGTAATTGTTTTAAATATTTTTTCCCTTTGTCTCTCCTTTTAAGCAATATTATCTACCATTTCCATTGGCATCGGCAAAAGCGCGGGAGACATGGTCGATTTTAGCACTTTCAACCCACCAATCCCACATCATGCCCTCTCCATACACTACCCCCTCCCTTCCCTACACACGTACACATATCCCATCTCTCACGGTAAGATAAAAAATCAGTGTGAAACGGTCTCTCTGGGTACTAAGGAACGACAGAGAGCTGCACTTCTAATGTTGATTTGTACGTACCGTGGTGAAGACAGGACTTCTCCGATCCGATCTTAGAGTGAAAACGTAACTGTGTGAGTTTCGTTTTGTCTATTTTGTGAGTGTCTGGGCTGCCTGAAAGACTTCTTTGCCGAACAAAATCTTCTTTGCCATTAGTAAATCTTAATCAGCCTTGAACATTCCAAACACTTAAAGCGGGCAAGGTCAGGCATGTCATTCCACACGCTACACTTCCTTATCTTAAATGAATTTCACCCACATTGATATAAAACCAGTAAATCAACTTTTAATTTTACAAATATGAAATTTATTTTATTTATCTATCCAAGTTAAATGGCTGGGTTCTCTAACTGGATGGAAAATCGGGATAGTCATTAATTTTTCTTTCATATACCGTATTTCCTCGAATAATAGCAGGGGGCGATTATTCGGGGGAGGCGATTAATTAAGGGACGGCTATTATTAGGAGGAATTAAATACGGTAAATAATTCAAACGTTCAGCCGATAAGATCCGAAAAACGATAGGTTAGTCAAGTCAGTCGGCCTGTATCCGGCTTAAACTTGTAAAGAATCTGCAGTCTATAAACAGGCTACACACAACATACATTTTGCACTCAGACTACAGACGTTACCACTCTCAATCCAACGAACATTATGAGGTCAACCCCGGGGGTGTTGCCCTAGGTAATATGAATGGGGCCGCGTGGTCGTCGTAGCAAGTAAAAATTGTGGATTGGTAGCGGTGCACACTGGGTAAGAGACAATGGTAACCTATAGCAGTGAGAAATTTTGGCTCTTACGTGACTACCCGTCCGTCCGTCGGCCGTCCGTAAGTCCGCCCCTACATGTAAGCTACTATGAAATTTCTCTTTCAACCACCAGTACGTTTTGGCGGACCTAGAGACAAAAAGACAAGAAAGCCGAGTCTTTATTCGACTTAGTTTTCATTGTGTCTATACTGACGTGGATAACAGAGAAAGAGCTAAAGCGAGAGATAAACAAAAAGAGACGTATTTCGTTGCGAGAACAACAAGAAATTTTTTGTAACTGCGGTAAGAAATTGTGCAATGCTAGCAACCAGCAGGGTGAAAATGAGTGGCAGTGAAGAACAAAGCGAACAGGAGCACAAACTGGCAACAAAATCTTTTGTGAACACATACGACATTTCATCCATAAAACATGTAACAAGGAAGTTTGCAGTCGTGAAAGACGACGACAAAAAAAATTTATAAAAAAAAGCGCGATGCACGTGCAAAGTTGTGTTTTACCAATTAGACCTAGTGATTTTTTTCCCTTCCTGGTGCCGTCGCCGTTTGGCATTAATAATATGATTTTTGATAAATAGTGCACGTTCCCTTGATTAAACGCGATAAAGTTTAAACACTTGACATATTTATGCTAGAGTGGCTCAGTTTACGTGCACGTTTGTGATCGAACTAATATTAAGCATAGATTTAAAAGATTTCTTCGCAGTGTTTCAAGACTTCTGTCAAGTCTATTTTTTCTTTAAATAAATTGTAAGTATGTAATTCAAGAACTTCGCTTTTAGCCTTGGCACCAGTTTAGGTGCTAAAAAATCTAACATCAGTCAGAGTTGATTTGCTGTTCTACAATTGGTTTTTAACTTGTTAGGGGTAACAAGGAATTTAAGCCACGTCCACAAAACGGTATCTTTTGAAGAGCGTTTTAGAAATTTTTCTGGCAATTCTCCCAGTCATTTATTTCTAGGGGAATTTCTCCTTGGGCTATCAAAACGTGCTTTTTTGGTGTGGAAATTACAAACTTTTGCAATAATAAACCAGCAACTATTTGGAATAGAAGTAACAATTTGAAGAAGATGGCATTTTCTTTTGTTCAAGAATAACACTTTGCCGTTCTTTGCGGTAGAACGGAATTAAAAAAGCCAAAATTTCATTTGCAATATTCTTTGAGACAAAAATAGCCTGAGTTTCCCTCTCGCCCAAAACCCCCTTTCCCTTCCCTTTCAAACGCCTGCCACGCAGGCTAAGACAAAAAATTCATACCAAATGAAAGTGCTGCTGAAGACGTTTTCTCTAAATGGCTGTACCAAAGGTTATCTCACTTCCCCAGTTACAATAAACGTGCGTCGTGTAGCACATCCATATGAGACTGATTTCGTATTAAATTCATATTTTGCCTGGTAACCGTAACTTTCATAATAAATTCGTAATTAATTTTTCTAAAGTAAAGTGAGATTAATTTCACCTAAAAACATTCACAAGTCGGAAGAGATTGATAGCCTCTTGTTTTCGGTTTGAACTGGCGGAATCCGTCCGGTGTCGCACTTAACAAATTTAGGATGTGAGAATTCTCCCTTAATTTTCTGAGGCTAAGATGATCTGCTTCAAGGATAAAGCTTAAATATAGCTGTCACATAGTCGTCGTGCATAGTATATCAAGTAGTATGTAGAGATTTAAAAAACAGTGGATTGAACTCTATTATAAGTGTTTTGCTGAACATCCTGCATGGGTGGTCCTCAATTCTCACAATTATGAATCAAGGAAGTTAATAAAACACTTATATCTAGCAAATGAATAGAACCATAAAATATTTTTCTACTGTTACCAGCTTAGACCCCATTAGGGACCGGGGCTATACCAGCATGGTAGTCGGGCTATACGAGTTTTATTTCACCTCTGTCCCGTGTAAATCGCTATCGCAAGTGAACACCGGGTAACCCGTGATTTGTTTTTCTTGTTCTATCTTTTTTTCCTTTTTTCTAGTTTTTTGTTTGTTTTTTTTTGTTTGTTTTTTTATTAGTGTTTGAGTCGGTTTATAGCCCGTACGTACACGAAAATGAGGACATTCGGCATTAGGCATTCAAACTGGCTTAGATCATTTGTAAAAAAAAATTCTGTGTGAAAAATAGAAATGTTTTATTTTTCAATTATAATACTCTGGTCATGATACCACAGCAATTTATTTATGAAATTTATGAACTAAGACAGTTGGTTGAAAAATGAGTCTATAGTCACTTATTGGAAGATTTACATGCTGTTACCATCAGATTCTAAAAACCTTTTCATCTACATGCCCCTTTAAAGCGAGCGATCTTTTTTCATCCTCCAATAAGGAAGCATGTGCTTTTCGAGTTCGGAAGAAGCGGAAGATCAAGAAGCCATTCCTTGAATAAACATTTCATTCTTACATATTAGTTTCTTATATATAATATTTTTAAATAAAATCGCAAGTGTATTTCTTTTGGAAGCATTCAGCGTTCACCGCGCACCACTATATCTCCCGCCATTACAGCCCGTATTGAAATACTTGAAACACCTTCATATTATTTCATTAAAATAAGTCAAATTTGAGACCCTCGTTGTCATCATACATTCATCCAAACTACTAAAATATTTATGGTCCACGTGTGTAGATAAGAAAATATAAAGGCGAGTACAGCAGAAAAAGATATCAGTTATCCATGCGACATGGATGGTATCGTGCTGACTGACGATATGAAGTATGCTAATATCAATCATTTCTTTTTTACATTCGTTACTCCACCATACTTTAAGTTCAGGGATGCTCTTAATTACACACTGCATTTAATTTTCAAAGTTTGGGTAAGTAAGCTTCAGCATCCGGGTATTAAAATAGTACAGAACGCAGTCGAAGTTTTCCCCGAGGGAAAGCCATATGTTCAAATTTCGGCTTTTATAATATGTTTAGTTATCTTTGTTTGTAGAGATTAATGCGATGCGCAGCGAAGCCGGTAGAGGGGCAAGAGATGCTTCGAGTTTTCTTCTTACATTTTTTGAAAAAGCAATTGACATTTTAAATTTGTCTTCAAGTCTTCATCGAAAGAATATAAACAGAAAAAAAAAGTATTTTATGATTCTAATTTTTGCCTTTAAATTATACATTTCGTGCTATGCTTAATTTACCTTCGATGAATCAGTAATTCAGTAAGTTTTCCCTACTCAGAATTTTGCCTACTGTCTATTTTACTGTCCAAAGAAAAAACCATGAATCTTTGTTCAAAGAACTAATAAACCACAAACTACTATCAGTCCAACAAATCAGAAGACTTACCTCACGAAGAGGAAAGATTGGAGTTTTCCCAGTTTCTCTTATCTCTTTCTTGCTGCTGGAAAAAGATTTCCCCTAGTAAGCGTTAAGAAAAGGAACAGCATGGACATATGGCCGTTCACAACTGGCACTTTAAAGAAACACCACAATGGCAACTGTGTTTACTTGCATTTTTTCCGTGTAATTATACAAGCAAAGCCAATTGTTTTCAAACTTTGCAGATGAAAAATCAAAACATACCTTGTTGCCGGAAATTAAAGGCGCCGTGATTATCGAATAAGAGAACGCTAAACGCTCGCATTGGATCGTTCATTTGCTATTCAAGCTCACCAATCGAGAACAATTCAAATGGCTTCCCCCTGGGGCTTGTTTACTTTAAAAGACTGCGAACAAAACTAAAAGAAATTGTATGTTTTCAAACATCTTTAACAGGCTTAATATACGATTTTGCCCCTCTGACGATCTTTCGCGGCAACCTCATCACTGCAACCCTAAGCTGTGAAACCCCTTGAGGAGACCCGTGTGAACCCAGAGAAAATGAAAAATGTGTGGTTAAGAGGATAATGAAAAAGTTGTCACTTGGTGAAGAGTTTTTAATAATCTTTACGGAAATTAAAAGCGAGAATAAGCACAGAGGAAGCTACTTATTCAGTGAGACAAAAAACAGTATGGAAGTCAGGCTGTTAGAAAACGACAACCGATGTGTTTTCTTTTGTGATAAAACTGATCTCGAATCTTTAATGAAGCGAATAAGTTGTCACTCTAAAACGAAAAATAACCTCCCTAAAAGACCATAAAGACTAGACTGTTGTGAGAAAACTCTTTGTGTGAATATTTGGCTTAAGAGGCACTGAGCACTGTTTTGAGGCTTCCCACGGGATAAATACAGATGAAACTTTAAAACAAGGAAATAAAATTTAAATCGTTGCTTTTCGTAGCCTTAATGAGATGCAAACTGCAAGACTTTTAAAAATGTTAATACGTTCCATGTAGTTCGCAATTAAAAGATACATGTATGTCGACAAAGTACATGTTTGTTTGTTGCTGAATAATTTGTTTGAGACGTTTACAAAGTTGTTTATTATTTTTTTCATCGAATTTGTTTTCAATTACAAGCTCTTTTTCGTCTTTCCTATTTTGCAATTCCTTTTCACTATTATAGAAATCCGTTTTTCATCCTATTAAAACATTTTCACAGTTCCGTAAATATAAAAAGCTAATGCAATGCATCAGCGATTTGCAACACGGGCAAACGTTTCGAAAAAGAATAAAACGATGTGGTGATGACTGATTATTTGATCACATTGGCAGGTGTAAGGGCTTAGATGCTTCAATCAGGAGTACCCAACGACCGAATGTTTCCAAATACGTCTCAGAGTGTCTCAAATAGTTTCTCTAGACTTTTAAGAAGCCTCTTAAGTTAATTTGGAGCTGCCCTAAAAGTTACTCAGTTGTTCGGATGTGTAAGGGGAACTTTGGTCGTCTCAAAAGTTTTGGGTGGCTTTTTCCTCTCGTCCGAAACTTTTACTGACTATCCTGACGGGCCTGGTCGAAAGTTCGATGTCATAGAGTAGCCGTACCTTCGAATTCATTAACGATTCTAAGGGGCGTTTTGTCTTTTTACCGATTTAAGGCGACCTTTTTTTAACTGAATAATCGCAATATTTTGATAATAAATATGAAAAACCAAAACTTGGCACCAAAAATTGAGAGTAAGTTAGGACATAAACTCACGGCTCCGAGCAATGATTGCTCCTTCGAACAATTATTTCACAGGAACTTAAGTCACTGGGTGCCCCCCTAGTGTAATAATGTTTAGAACATGTTGCCATGTTGCCATGTGCGCTTCACTATTAGTCCTTCCCACGGTTTTGAATCACATGGCCTTAATCAGAATCGAACTAAACTAGCAAGTCCTTACACAAGTTATTCTCTTTGCTGTGGTATAATATTTCAACACGCGACGTGTCGTAGGAATATTACAATATGATTAACATAATATTCATGCTTAAAGCTTACGAAAGTTAGGTTCACTTGAAATGTACTAAGTACTTCACATGCCATATTCTCTGCTAAATAAATAGAATGCGTTTCAGAGTTAGAACATGTCTCTCCAAATGCCTCAATCGGAAGATAAAGGAAGGGTGTCGGTATAAGTCTCCACTTCCTTGAGCAAAGGCTTTGAATTAAAAGCCAAGTCTGGAGAAAAAGACTGTCCAGTCAAACATAAGAAGTTTACAATGTAGGTACTATAACGGTGACCACTTGATTATAGCAATGCTTTTGCTTTAATCAAACACAAAGGAAAACCGGAAAAGGAAGTGGACATCACAGATAGAAATGCCAGCTGGCTTTTAAACAAACTCGTCTCATTAACACCATAAGCAATTTACAAGGAAATACAGTAAAGAGTGTTAGTGCTGAAGCATTGGTTTATTAGGACGCTAAATTTCATTCACCTAATCACGTCAATCAAGAAGAGCCCTGCGATGCACATTTATAATTAAACGACATCTTTATCTTTTTAAACGCATATCTTGCCACCTGTTTAAATTTTGGAAGGTCATATTGAACAAAAATATCTTTCTAAACATGTCCTTCATCTAAAACTTCTGAAGGGAGAATTTTCGGAGAAAGGAGCGCTATACCTTTTCTTTTTGCCTACGTTAGCATTTCACAACATGATGGCGAAAGAAATAAGGAGTAAACAAATACAGATTGCAAGACAATCAAATGTGCAATGCATGCTTCGAGACTCGACCTCAATAACTCTACTCCCTTATAATAACACTGACACAGAGTTAAGGCTCTGTTAGGATAGAGTTCTGACAAGCGACATGGCCTGGAAACAACGATACAAGAGTAGATTAAACGGGGGAAAATGACATGAAGATGGGTTAAATACCGACAAGGACATGGCCTACTCCTCAAAATGTGAAACAGCCATGTTTAAAATTTAGACAAGGGACATACGTCGCCCCTCCCCCCCCCCCCCCCCCCCCCCCCACCCCTCCCCCACACCCCCCCCCCCCCCCGCCCCACTCCCCCATCCCGGCACCAAATAATACCCTCCCTAAAAGAACATTATGTAAATGTTACGACCATTAATGATACAAATATGATCTTTGACAAATTAGATATAATAATATACTAAATTATTATTAATCATATTTTCCCCCCCCCCCCCCCCCCCCCCCCCCCCCACACACACACACACACACACACACCCCTCAAGAGGGCCTCAGAGTTCGATAAAAAAAAATACCCCTGTACCAATTTAGAATTCGATATTTCATCATGGTTTTAGTTTGAAGTCTTAAATAGGTCAGAAGGAACGATAAAAACTGATATCGGAATCGTCCGGTCTATATGTATAGATAATAAACCAGTTTGAAGCTGAGTGTGTTGGAATTGCCCAAACTCCACTAAATACAAGGCTACAAATATTTTTCCACGATTATTCTAAGAGTCTGGAAGAACAACTTACCTTTATGATTATGTTTCTACTCAGTTTCCTAATTACATCGAAAGTCTTGCACTATCTTTTACAGCATCCCGGTCATCTTCCACTGAGCGTAACTGAATCTGAAACAACGTAAGTGAAACGAAAATGATTTTAAACTGACCTATATACCAAAACCACTGTCTCTGACACGAGGCGTGTCCCTTTCTCGTTGCATAAGTAAGCAAAGATTTGTGCACTATCTTGCGATTTTTCTTTTCCTTTTATTTGATTTGTTTGTTGTTCCTAAACAGTGAACGTAGCAACATGATTTATTACGTAACATCTAAAATCTCATTGGCGTGATTAACAAATCGATTTAACAAGATTATATAACAGACAGACCCACGTTTACAGCAAACGACTTTGTACACACGTGACCAAGTTTTCTTTTTACTTCAAGAAAATGCATGGTTTTTAAAACAGTATCATCTATAAGAAATATTCAACACAGTAATCATACGCGAATTTCCTAATTTGAAAATAATCAAGATGAACCTGACGTTTTGCCGTTTGCTGCAAACGTTCAAATACACGGAAATAAATAGGCCATTTCCTGAATTTTTTAAATCATTACGATGATATTGCTATAAATGTTACATAACTGAATTAACTGTTTCACTGCCAGAGTGCTTGATGGAGGTTTGTAAGGTGACTCTAACTTTTGAGTCTGTGGATGAAATCCTACGATGTGACCATTCAAATGAAAGCTCCCTGCCTACACTTCCACATAGTGCTATTTGTTTTTCAAAACTTTACAAAATAAAATTTGCAAACTTGCTCGAAATTTGCCCTTGGCTTCATTTGGCAGTGAAAGGGTTAAGTCATTGCACGTGTATTATTCTACGGACCTGTTCATTTGTAATAACGACTACTTATAGGTTATGATTGATAAATGAAGTTAATGATCGGTTGAGTACAACCAGCTCATGTTTCCAACATAAAAATTTTGTTCATCGAAGCAGAAAAATGGCATTCGGCATAACTTAGATATTAAAGTTTGAGCATGTCATTGTTATTTTGTGAAACTACTCATTAGCAAAAAAAACTGCGCGTAGTCTTAAATTGCTGAAAGTTTTTTTTATATTTATAATCATTCAATTAGACACAGTGAAACAACATTGGGAGGGCTATTTCACAAGCTTTTTGCTTATTCAAAGGCCACGCCCATGGTGTCAAAACTGAATAAGGCCCGGCCCACACGTATCCATATTTTTTTGGAAAACGGAGATTTTTTTTCTTCGTTTTCAAAAAAATACGCGTCCGCACTTAGCGTACCCTCCCACGCAGACGTTCTTAGGAACGCGTGACGAACCCCAGAGAACGTCTACGTGGGAGGCTACACGTAGCGTATTTGAATCATTTTTGCCCGCTTACATGGAAACACTAAAACGATGAAAATACGATAGTGCCGGTTACAGAGCAAACGTAACGGTAGCGTTGTATGTGTGACATCATTACATGTGTCATTGTGCTCGAAAACCTCCGTTTTCGTCCTTACACAACGGATAAGTCGGCGTTTTCGAAAACCTCCACTCTGGGGAACGTTTTTGAAAGCTTGCGTTTTTGGTGTCCGAAAACGCCGTTTACGTGTGCGTTGAAGGCTGAAAAACTCTCCGTCTTCAAAAATGTCCGGATGAGTGTGGACGGGGGCAAAGTCCATTCATGCTTATTGGCAAATTTTCGTTAAATAAATGTTTTTTTTTTTTCACTTGCAGATTTTCCTCTAAACTACTTTAAACAGTACGAAAATATCAAAAACAATATCTTCAGTAAGCAGTTTCCCCTTTTAGCGTTAAAAGAGACATCTCGGTCTCACTTTTGTTGCATGATACACAAGGCAAGTCATAAGGAAGTAAAAAAATCAGTTTTAGTCACCAACCACATGACCACTAAATCCTCAGTTAAAACAATTCAAAGGTAATATTGTTGTAAAACAATAAGATTTATTAAAATAGTGACTTGAATAATAAAAATATAAACAAGTATTAATATTAACAATAAAAGGATAAAAGTTTCGTATTAGTGATGTAGTGTTATCAGAATATGAAATGAGAAAGAAAACGAAGAACTGAAAGTGGAAAAAATACCATATGATTTTGCCAGAGAGGTTAGAAAACTGACGGGCTATAAGACTAAAGGTGATACCAGCGACTGGTTAAACTTTTAGGAATAAAAACATTAGTGTTTTAGTTACCAGCTACGAAAATCAACTGACTGTGTGTTTCTAGAATAGTAGTAATAGTAATATTGATATCCGATGACAACTCGGAAACGTCTCCGAAGACATCCGAAAGTACGTCTCTAAACCGCTATTGTTTCCGTTAGACCTTATCGTTTTGTATTGAGATAGACAAACCAACCACGAAGACTCAGTCTAACTAAATACCTTAAGAAATATTTTTCATCTGATGGAAATTAGAAAATAACATGCATTTTTGTTAGTTGTTTAAAACGTCCTGTCAAGTGGAAATCGTAAAAGGCTGTTTATTTCAGCCTATAAATGCAAAATGTAGCTACAACAGTTATTGGGAAAGTTTGACCAAGATTGTGTGGTGTTTGTGGGATTATCTGAACGAAAAGCTCTGTTATCAGTCCAAGCTATGGAATTAAAAGGCAAAAATAGCGATAAATTGAAAAACGAGTGAGATTAAGCTTTCCGACCGAAAACTCAACTTTCTTAGGGGAAAAAAGTTTTCTGCATGAGGACTGTTTAGGAGGTGTATGTGGAGACACACTCATTCTTATTTTTCCCAATATTTTCTGTCAAGTTAGATTGACAGAAACTAGCAGAAAAGCTACTCGGAGTTCCGGCGAAAACGTTCATTAAAACAAAGGGACAAAAAACCTTTGACATCCTTCTGAAACTATTTTTGCCTCGCTCATTTGCGACTTAAATTTAAGTCAACAAGAACTGACAGGCATCTAAACCTCTGCATTAGGCACATATGTAAAGTCAACTGTCTCTTCCTCCATCAAGTTCAACGGCTAAAATTCGTCCCCAAGACTCAAAATATCAGCTCTGCTATTATATTTCAGTAGTTATTTTGACATTTCATGTGAACTTTTCATGCTAAGCCGACACAAATCCATGGCGATAATCGCAGCCCAGAGGCATCTTGATACTTTTCTGGATTTTTTTAAAATATTAAAAAATCATGAACTTAGCGAAAAACAGTTCAAATTGGGAGCCACGAGGAAACAATGACTTTTGGAGAAACAAGACCAAAAAATACGTTGCGTACCTGACTAATAATATCTTTCAAGTAGAATTGCACACGTATTTGGAAAATCTATAACAAGTTGAATTGTTAGAGCAAACGGCTCCGGCATTGATTCTCAAGGATTTGATGTGGTCTTGTCATTAGCGGTTGCTCCTGCAAAATAACTGGTTGAAGAGAAAAGGAACATGATATTCGGCTGAAAACTTACCGATTTTCATGGGTGTGTCGTCAAAATTCTCGAAATGCGCTTTAAGGCGGCAAAACAACTCGTGTTGTTGAGGAACCTGATCAAAGCTTCCCGATCTGATCAAAGCTTTCAAATTTAGTTCCAAAAGTCGAGCAGGTGATATTAGCGGATGTAACTGATAACAGAAGTTGAATGTACACTTTTTAATCACTTAGTTACGATGACAAGATACTTGACCACGCAAACAAAGCTTTGTGGCACTCCTTTTAACAATGACAGACTTGTTGTCGCAACTATAAAAGGATATTCCGCGATGAGAGTTTAAGTGTTTTTTTTAACCTCCACTTGCTCTTTCGGAATTAACGTAAAACGTAGCCTCTGGTGAGATGTTAGTGAAATCCTGCTGCTTTTTAGCGTATATAGATTAAAACTGCCTTATTTAACAAATAAATACTTAAAAGCTCTCTCTATAATTATATACAACCCCAAGGTATAAATCTATTTTCCGTCCAAAGTTAAGGCAGGGAAAGCCAAACGAGAGATTCATCTTGTGCGTTGTGGAAGATGAATAATTCTTTTAAAAAGGGTGACAAGATTGAGATGCATATGGTACACAAGTACGTTTTTCCTCCATCCACAAACAATAAACAACTAGCTAAGTACGTTTAAATAAAGTGTTCATCAAAAAAGTTTAAATTAGTTCGGCTGTTTTCCGTTTTGCTTCAAATCACGTAGTGTTTACTCCGAGGGAGCTAAAACGGAAAAAACAATTTAAAGGGGTTTTAGACAGAATGATTTATCATAAAGTGGCATTTAAAAGGGAGGAGACAGGAGGCGATTACAAATCAGGAATTGAGCAGTGTGGTGTTCTTGTACCCACCCCTTCGGAATGGGCAGTCAAAATAACTCCTTAATCAAAAAACAAAAATGTTAAACAATAAGATATTAGAGGCCATGTGTGACTCAACCTGAGCACTCTACAAAAAAAACGTCGTGGCTGAAAATAATGACTGATAAACGCCCACGCGAGGTTCAAACTAAAAAATGTGTTAGTAGAAACAGACTTAACTGACACTATTTTTCGTCCATTTGTAAGTTTTGGAAAACCTCTGAATTATCAGAGAAGAGTAAAAATTTTGACAGAGGTATCTGTAGCTTTAAATTACATAAAAACATTTTAAAACACCTCTGGCGCCCAGGGTATGGTTTATGAGACAGTATCAATAATCGGGAATCGATCATATATGTATTTTTTTTACGGTATAATGTTAGATTTCGCAAATTTGGGATAAAGTATGTCGGGTTTTAGCCAAAACGGCGTGGAACACTGAAACAGAATGACAATAAATTTCCAAAATTGTATCAGAGGAATCAACAATTATATGGCAAAAAGTTAACTGGTATATTAGAACAAAGTTCCTTCTACTCTTTCATTGGAAAAAACGTTGAGTAAACTTGAATTCCACATCAACCCAGGCAATCCACCTCCGAAAAAAGGGCGTGGCTACAAATTAAAAAGGCCATTTCCGAGTTCCAAAAACTCTCACTTTCAAAATGAGGCTAAGTGCAAAAGCATTCTGGGAAAACTGATGAGTGTTGTTTGCATGAGATTCATATCAACGGCATCGACCTCAGCCTCGCTTTGAAACAGAGGCCACAAGGGCCGGTTTAAAGTGGACTATTTGCACTTTAGTAAAATCCAGCTAGTCGTCTATTATCAATGCTGCGTTCTGATTGGTTGAGCTACTACTAGGCTATATGTTGTAGCCCACTAGTAGCGAAAAGCGCGGGCTTTTTGGCGGCAAAAAGGGATTAAAGTCTAGCTTTAACTAGCCTGATTCTCAGACGTCCGAGGTCGTTCGCGGTCCCTTTCGCTTCCCTCCCTCTCCCTCGGACGTCTGAGAATCAGGCTAAGCTTTAACTAGCTAAATTTTTTTATTCTCGATATTTTTGACCAACTAGTTGGATTTTACTAATACAATTATTCCTCTCGCCCTCATGGCCTCTCAGTCAATAGCCAATTCGGGCTCAGGGAATAATTGTTAAAAACTCTTATCTTTCGCAACATTCTTATTAATGATACCTTTTTGTGTTAGCACAGAAGAACATACTAGAGATGAAGTGACTTTTGTTTTTGTGATATTGTGAGACTCGTTGTGTACATGTATAGTGAATTGAATTAGCAAAATATTGTGGAAGTTTAAGTCGATAATGTTGCATGACAGCCCTAAGTGGAACCACCGCAAGTCAGGAGATTTAATTTAATTACTGGCCCATATTTTCACCAAAAAACGAAACGCAAATATATAAACACTGTACTTTTTAAGCCCGTTATTTAATCCTATTTCCCATTAACTTGCGATGTGTTTGTGATGAATCTCTACTGAAACGACGATAACGAAAAAAATTGTCCAGCTATCAGAGTAGTGTCGAGTTCTTGGAGTTAATGCTTTTGGTCAAAGCAAGAAACTGCTATAATGGCATGCTATAAAGAAAATTAACGTCGAAATTAGACATAGAAGGCTAGGCAACTGGAATTTCTCCCTTACGCGTTAAAAATTAAGTGCCATTCTTATAGGTGAAGTAACTTTCCTGAAAAAGTTGGTTGGAACCGTTGCAAATTTCTTGTCAGTTTTGGAATACATTCCTAATATTTAAAATCATTCAACAAAACATTTTTGTCGCTTTCTCAAGACACATTTCATGCACCGTAGAGTACAGCTACTGTACAAACATCACACTAGCAAATCTCATGCACCTCCTGATCGTCCAAATGTGAACAAACACGGGCCAACTTCATCCACAGGATCGGGAGATATAAGTTGTCCTTTTCATTGCTGTTGTTAAGTGAATTTATAAGTTAATTTCAATTCTTCGTCAATATTAGCAGAGTATTCCTCAGAGTATTAAAAACTAACCTGCCAGCAAGACAAACGTCTAGATTGTTTTGTAATATTAAATTGATAATTGCACTGTATTTAATTTTGTCCGTAAGTTGTTTTGATGTTTTGATAAAAAAAAAAAGCGCTGTATACAAGCTGTTTACAAGAGAGAACTCATTCTTTCTTGCGGTATAATGACAGCCCATAGTTTGTATGCTACGCCTTCTAATGATGTTGATGTCTTTCAAGTCTGGGGTCAGAAATAATAGAAAAGCTCTTTGAGCTGGTTGCTCAGCAGTGTATTCAAGCGGATGTTGTATGGCAAAGATGAAGTACAATGCTCCATCATCATATACTGCCAAGGAAAATCAACATTATAACAATCTTACAGCCATTCACATCAATAGTCACAAAATAAAAAATGTCTTGTTTCTCTTATTAAGAAACATTGCGACCTGATTGTGACTTAAAACGTCTTTGATACGTTAAAGACGTATTACGTTTCTTGTTAAACGTAAATTATTTTTCAAAATACTTGGACGCACTAAATAACACCATTAGAAACAATGAAGAGGTAATTGAAATTCTCTCTTATTTCATTGACTGATATTTTGTTTTCGCTTTAAGCAAATGTAACATTTCTAGACTGTTTATTTACGTCTTACAACTTTCCCACTTACAATTCTTCGTCTATTAGAAATTACGCACACTGCAAGATATTGCGCTTTTTGAAAGGTACGTATACTGAATATATATACGGCGCAGTTTTAATTACAAATTTTGGTATATTGCATTACGATGCGATGCGCACTTTACGCATGAACATCCGGTCTGTGTTCTTCCAGACTTGAACCACCGTTCTGGAGAGGGGAAAGGCAGTGATAAACACAACCTTCCCCATTCCACACGATCTGGTTCCAGAGATACTAAGAAACAATTAACTCTATCTTAAATCCAAACGACTAAAATCTATACCCACTATCAAACCAAAAGTGGTCATAAAACACACCTTATGCTTGGTGCCGCACATGCCTATATATAGTTAATGTAAGGGAGCACTTGTACTCCGGAATTCGAAGGAACTTGTTTACCACGAGGGAATGTCTTTTCCTTTCAATGTTCTAAACAGGTCTCTGATTTTATTACATCAAGGCAAACTACAATTTGTCTAGTATAAGGTTAAGATAGATCGTCAGTGGGTTCTATACGTTGCGGGCACCTTTGAAAAAAGACAAATTTTGGAGAAAGAAAAACATTTATTTTTAAGCTTGTTCATAAATGTAAACTGCATACAAATCTAATTTTCCACAAATACTGAGATTAAAATTCGAATTACGGTTTTTACAATATTCTTCATCTGAAACCATTTTTAATTGGTCCTATAACCAAAACAACGGTAATTTCATTCGCAAAAGGCAACGCAAGATAACTAACAAAACACCTGCAATATGGGGAATATTTTTTTAGGCGAGCGGCGTTAAATATATCACAACAGGGTTATGTGTGGGTGTATAAGGACTTAGAAGTACCTATAAAATGGTATAGGCGAAGTCTACCTGACTTTGTTCGTCGTTTGAGAGCATTTTGAGAGCAAACTTGCCAAAAATATAAAGAAAACATCAAAATCTAACCTAAATTAAGTTGTGATCTTAAATATTTTTCAATTTTCCATCTTTCTAAATAAATGTAACTCCCAGCAGACTTGGAACCAATAATAACCGTGTAAATAATTCGACGATCTTTGTTCATTTTGCTCCTTGGTGAGCTTTGGTATACTCGACGGTTATTCTGTTTACAGTTCTATTAGCTTGAGTAATTATTAAATCGCTTCTCCGAAGCGACGTATGGAAAGGTTGTAGAGCTTGAGTAAAATATCATTTGAAAGATTTTCTTTAAGCTATTTCTGACCTACAGCAGTTACAAATATCTCTTATCGGGCAATGCGGGAAATATTATAATCGTTACCTCTTACGCTTTCCCAGTAATAAATAATATAATTTAGGCTACTCGTTTCTCTCACGAAATCACGCGATTATTATCTCTCTCATGCCTCTGTAACTGTTGACGAAGATACACGTTTTTTAACGCGAGATCACGTTCTCAAAACTGAACCGAGAAGGTTATGTATTTGAAAAAAATCGAACTCCAAGTAACTCAAAACATCGATTCATACCGTTGACAGCTTTACCAACGCAAATCTCGAGAGAAAACATTGAAATTTCAAGCTCTATGATTAAGAATTGCACTAAAAAGCCTAATCTAAAGCAACAAAAACACGACCTAGCTACAGAGTGACAACCGTTGAAGAAAGGTATTTTTGAGTCTGAGGTTTTTGCATTAATACGTAGGAGTAAATCTATAGATTAAAAGCTCAAAAACGTGCATCAGAAAATAATCCTACCTTTCATCTAAACGCGTGTCATGTCTGTGATTTATGTAACCGTATCGTGATTCGAAGTAAAGCGAATGTGAAAAGTATTTGCAAGATTTGGGCATATGTTTATAGCTTATTGAATATTCATAAATTAAAGTTTCTTGACGTAAATGAATCGGACAAAAACATTCTCCATTAAATATATCAGTATCTATAGAATTGTGTCAAACTGACGTGACTTGCCAGCAACTCACGTTCGTTGAAAAAAACTTGTCCTAATCTAATTGCCTTAGATTCGTATTAAGGATAACTAGTGAATATTTCATATTCACATATAATATACTTTCTATATCACCGAGAAGGTCTGTATTTTCTTCAAAAATATCTTTGACGACTCTATCAGCTTGTAGAGCCTTTTAAAATGGAGAAAATCAATTTTGATTATTGTCGAGTTTTGGACGAAAAATTTGAACCACCTAATTCGAACAGAAATCATTTTGCAGCTTCAAAAGAAAGTCATTGATCTTACCGCAGGGTCATACCTTTGACGAAAATATAAAAAAGCTGGCTTTATACTCACTGATTATTTTTTTTATTATTATCCATATTATCCAGTTTTCTTTTTGTTTTTCTGTTTTTGCTTTTTCTGGTGTTTAATTTTTTGTTTGTTTTGTTTTATGCTGACGCCCATTGAATAGAAGGTGCATGGTATATGGTAAAACTAAGATATATGCGCCGAATGATTTTGTTTTCACTTCTTTTGGGCTATTTTTATCATATCTCTCTGAAAAATTAATGAATGAAAACGCTCTACGTGACCAATCAAAATCTCTGCATCAGCAGCTCATTAGTTGCTTCCGAAAAACTGACTAAACTAACAGCTAGTTCCTGTCATCTTAGAAGGCGGTGAATTTTTACGGTACTCTTGACAACAACGAGATAAGTACGGAAAGAATTTTACTTAGAAAGCACATAAAAAATTCCATTTCCATCAACTTCAATGGTGAAAAAGGTCCTGGGATATTTGAAATATTAAAAAATTAGACCCCCACGTGAGAAGAGCAGTTATGCGCTCGGAAGATTAAAGAAGTTCATCAGTAATTTCTGTGAGTAGCGATTAGTCCATTTTTACATTATACGAAAATGTTCCAAAAGCAATGGCCGGTGAAGAATCTTATTGTAAAAGAATAGATTAAGAAAAAACCAACCAACCAACTTTGTACTGTTCGCTAGTTACGACAGGGACCTTACGATCCCACACAAGAGAAAACACTACCTGATTAAAAAACGTACTTCACAGTCATTACAACGAGATCAGTTATCAAAAGGTTGGGAAATTACGTAGGTGCTGAACGAGAGGAAACCGCATCCCAGGTCATGTAAAAGTGCAGTAAAAATTTGATTCCTTGTCGTTCACGTTCTCAAGTAACGAAAACTTCGGTCCTTTCACGTCCTAGTTTCCCAAAGACAGAAAAGAGAAACTCGATGCGCGTGCAGAGTTATGGTTATGCTCAATAAACCTCGTATTTTTTAGACTGTCGTCGTAATTTGGGTCAAAGCCTTTAATACTTGGTCTCCTGTTTCTTTCTAGAGAGTTTTAAAGCTTAAATACAGTGCACAAGACGACTTTTAGTCCCTTCGTATGAGCTGGACAAAAATGATGTTTTAATGGGCGGTTAAAAGCTTAACTCAGGCAAGCTGTTTATATGCCTTAATGTGAAAAACCTCAGATTCACATTCAGGAAAATCTTCTTATAAATTCTAATGGCGAGGACGTAGCTCCACAGCTGCGCCAGCCATGATATTTACACCTTGTCAAAGAGCTTCTCAGCGGTTTACCATTAAATGTTTACATTAAAATGGGAAAAACTCTTTCATGCACGGTAGTGTTTTATAAAAGCAAGGGCTAACATGCATATTGAGAAACGACATATAAAAGATATGTTGGTTACTAATAAAACGATTTTTGTATCAAATTACTAAAAAATAACTGGATATTAGTTAAATATTAATGAAATAGAGTTGGTAGTGGTGCTCTATCAACGCAGTAAAAGTTTGGAAAACGTCGTCAGCCACCAGTTTGTCCTCAGTTTTTTCGCAGTTATTTATCAACAAAGTCAAGCTAGACAGGCCAATTTTTCACCGACGTGTAATGGTGTGTCTAGAGCTATAATTCATAAAAGAAATGATATTTTTCTTATACGTAGCCCCTTGACTGGTTATACACATTTTCGCTTGACTATCTAGGTAGCGATATCTTAATGTCATTTCAGTATTCCCGGTAACATTTCTAATTCACAAAAGCGTGATACAAAGTAAAATAAAAAATAAAACAAGCATTAAAACTTACCACTTCAACGTCCTAATTACAATTATTGTAAAGGTAAAGTTATGGAGGTAAAATGTTCAGCGGCTTGAACAGTCGTCGACGCTCTTGACTCTCCAAGCTGAAGTTCGTATACAGTGCGTGTCTCAGCAGAAAGAAAGAGAGAAGATAGGCTTATTTTACCATGCGTTTTCTTCGCCGTCGACCCACTCCGGGGAAAAAACTTTCTCGCATAAAATATGCTTAAATCACTTTAATTGCTAGCAATTTCATACAATGTTTTTCTTTCTGGAGGAATGAGGCATTCATTATTAAATTTCAAGCGCAAGCGAAAACAAAACGATGCCGTTTGTAGCACGAAAGTTTTTTTCTGTATCCTTCGAATGGGCTACTTTTTCATTTAATTCAAGAGAAGAGCAATTAAACAATTTTTTGACAGTTTTTTATATATATATATAGAAACGCGCCATTAAAATCGGTGAGGAGAAATCTTAAGGTTTCGGGTTCGTTCTAAGAGAAAACAGCAAATACCGTCAAACCAGAAAGCTTAAGAAAATGTAAACAATTTTTACCATAATGTATTTTTCTAATCCTTCAAAAGGAATACAATGAATTCAAAACCTTTTGAAATGAGATATTTAATAGCACATGCATTCAACGCTCCAGTCCGAAGCTCTTTCACCTGGAAGGGTCCAGAAAAACTTTGTGGCTACGAAAATTTTTTCGGGTCTTTCGAGAAAATCAGGAATTATTTTCTTTCTTTCACTTTTCATGCAAATTCTTGGCGGACAGTTATTGTTTATACCTCCAATATAATAGCTACCTTGTCACATGGTTGCAAACCTAAAAGTCTGACGGATAAAACTGTGTTCCCTTTAATTTATGCGCTTTGCGCTGTTGTTATCTACAACAATCATACAATTTTGATCGGCACGGTATTCCTCCATGTTCCGCATATGCAACTTATGAATCAGCCATTCCAAGGAAACATCCAACCATATAATTTCTCCGGAAACGTGTATGCTCGAAGAGGTTCGAGAAATTTGTTGGAATTTGGTAAAAAGCTTGAAAAATCGGAGTGAAACCGGTAAGGGGAGGTCTGTTTTTGTTCGAAAGAAGAATATTGAGGGTTCAAGAATTCAGTATTATATTGTACTTCCTTTTTTTGTTTTGTTTTGTTTTGTTTTTTTTTTTTTTTACAATACTTTCATGTATGATAAAGTTCTTCTAGGGATGTGGCAATTAACGCTTTCAGCTTCCACCAGTTTCGCGAGGTAGAACTGAGAGGTATCTTACAAATGATCTAAACAAATAAATAACATCAACTAAAATTACCATCAGCTGGTAAAAATTTCTTTCCTCAGATATGTACACGAACGTGACGTTCGGTACTTGATAGGAAATGTAAGCTGCAGTCCACAACTTTGTTTAGTGCCCGTAGACATTTTCAACGTTCTTGCTATGCTAGTTTTCTTACAATATACATAAAAATTATAATGTCATAAAAATAATAATTCCATATCATTACTGGGAAAGCTTTTTTTAAGGAATTTAGCAGATAAGACAGAAAAGAACCGATAAGCCGCATTTGTGTGCAACTAAAACGAGCCACAAAAGTGAGCTAAAATGAAAAAGAATCGAACAGTCCTGACCTACCGAACGAAGTTTCCTGACGCCATGATTTGCTACGTGGGTTCATGAAAGTCTACCGAAAGGTTACTTAAGTCAATAAGAAATTTGTCTGTGTTGAAGTTAAAATAAAAAAGGGACTTTAGAGGCAAACTTTTTTGTTTGCACAGGTGACACGACTTGTTTGAAACACCGTCGCGCCGCCATCCCACTCTTGAGTAAAGGATAACAACAGCTGAAGTAAAACTGATTAGACCCGGTTTAAACGACGAACCTTTCAACCGTTTATTTGAAACATGAAAACTGTTTCACCTTTGCTTATAAAATAAATTTGACAAAATTTCATTTTGGTTGACCGGCTCATTCACACAAGAAAACCTGTTTCACCTTTGCTTATAAAATAAATTTGACAAATTTCATTTTGGTTGACCGGCTCAGTCACACAAGAAAACCTATTAAAGACTGGTTTTTTGTCTTCATTCATCGGATAACACGACATATAAGATGTTATAGTGAAATGACAAGAAGCAAGCCCAAAATACAGTTGTAAGCAGGTGAACTAAATTCTAAAATTTCTAAACTGAATCTAATATTTATACAGGTAGGCTATATTGATATGATAAGTACGATCGCTGAAAAACGTCCAGCAAGCTGCAACGTATAGTAGTGATCGTTAGGATACATAGAAACCAACCTTAAAATAGTGCTGAAGTCTATCTCATCGTTCGCTGAAATTTTATTTTCAACATTCTTAGCGGTAACAGTTATCAAAGCAACGATATTAGAACCCGGATAAATACAAAATTGAAGAAAATACCAAATTTCACGTTGTAAAATATTGAAAAAAATAATACCATGTAATATTACAGCTGGAGAGGTTTTGAATGGTCACGCCATGAATTTTCATCAGTCCACAATCCCATGATTGACTGACATTGAATGGGTTTGCGTAAAATTTTGAAACAGACGTCGGGCATTTAGTGCAAAAAAAATATTTTAACTTATTTCCCGTCCACAATGCTCGTTGTCGCCTTTCATTGGATACATTCAAAACAACTTGTCGTCTCAGCGTCGCAATTAATTTAATTAACCTTGCCGGTAGTTGCCGCCCGTTAAATAGAATGGATCCTCTCCCAGCTGGACAAGAAATTTGACGTCCGAATCATCGTGGTCAAACTTTAACTCATTTGGGACATCAGCCATGTTGGACTAGCTTTTAATATCATTCCTTTTGTGCCGTTTAATTGGACGTAAGAGTAATTCATGGGCCGACCCAAGTAAGAGTTTTCTTCAGCATATGAAAAGTTTCGACGTTTGAAACGGAAAGTTGAGTACGAATCACGAAATTCCTTAACTCTGATATCTTGTTTAAAAGAAAAAGGACTATCTAGTGTGACGCATTTTACAAATTATTTAGCGCCAACCGCACAATCGACATTCAATGCCTAGATTTCAGATTCAGATTATTTTATACAATATTACGGGAGATTACTACATAGATTAAAATACATTACCAAAGCACAAAAACAAGAACAACAGATTACATAAATTATGATCAAAGGTGAAATGTGCGCAGTGACTAAAGGAGCTTAGGCTTTCGAGTTAATCAATGCCACGTGCAATTAACTGGCGTATACATTTACATAAAAACTACAAGTAACCTACAACGGGGAAAGAAAAACTAAAGAGCAAGAAGTTGTACTTACGATTTTATATAAAAACAATTATAGCAATCTTTATGATTATTGTTAGTGAGGGCATAGAAATCAAATTACTTATTCGGTATTTAAAAGATCAAAAGTTTGTATTGCTAATAGAAGTTGTTTTATACTGTGGCCCAGAAGGGTCACACATGCAAATTAAAAATGTTGCTGCAAATTAAAAATAGGACATGCAAATTAAAACATTGTACATGCAAACTAAAAATATTATGAACATGAAACATGAATGGGCCGACGGCTGTAAGGCCAGGTCGCACGGCTCGGACCAGGTCCTCATCACTCATTCTGCGCGCGCAGGACTTTTCATTTTTAATTTGCATCGATATGTTTTCTATTTTCAATTTGCAGGTAATATTTTTAGTTTGCATGTACTATATTTAATTTGCAGGTAATATTTCTAGTTTGCATGTACAATTTTTAATTTGCAGCAACGTTTTTTAATTTGCATGTGTGACCCTTCTGGGCCACCGTAGTTTTAAGATAGCTTTAAACTGCGCTATTCAAAAACACGCGAATTTTGAAGTTCAAAAGCCAACTGACGTTTGCTTTCTCCGCTGAGGTCAATCATCTTAGCGAACCTCTTGGGAAACAGAGGTTTACTTGAACGGGTTCAATGACGTTTGAGAAACGAGCGCAGAAATTCCTTTATTATATACATACTGAGAAATACTCACCAAAAAGCTATGTCGTAAATTTTCGTACGCAAATTAGTTCTAGCCAATCAGAGGAGCGAACGATGGTTTTCACACGTGAAAAAAATGATACGTCCAATCAGAATCGCGAACGATGTTTTTTCACGTGTGAGAAAAATGATACGTCCAATCAGAGGCCACAGAGGTGTGTGAGTTTCGCGCCAAAATTCCCGCCTCTTATTGCAGTTTGCAGCGCCGCTTCGCACACATTCAACGAGAAAAATTTTACTCAAAGAGTTTTTCGCTAAAAAAGTGAAAAACATTTCGGAAATGGAGTGGAATAGTTTCGTTTGTTTCACTGTCGATAAAGAAAACGGTAGAGAGCCGGCGAAACAACAGCGGAAAGGGAAAAACAGAACGAGACGTAAGCTTTTGTTGTGCTTTTTGTCGGAGCTACTTTGCCTTTCATTTAAGCTTAAGCTTATATTGAAACCGGCCATTTTACTTAAATTTACTCATTTTCAATTGTGCATTGACAACAAACAGTTAAGATTACTTATAGTTCTTGGATTACCTCATATCCTTACCGTCATTTATGTTTTTAACAAACGTTTGTACTGAAAAGCTGATACTTCGTTTTCTTTGTCATTTTTCGGCAAGTGTGTAGCGGCAAATAAGCATTTTTGAAAGATTTAAAATAAAAAGGCCGCCAAAATGATGAATGTCTCGGTATGTATATAATAAACACAATACCACATGGAAAGTGCTTTGTACGATATTTACGCACTCGTTTTTGTATCAGAAATCTTACTCGTTCGCTGCGCTCACTCGTTCGATTTCTGATACGTCAACAACTCGTGCGTAAATACCGTACGCCAGCACTTTCCATGAAGTATTTTCTATGGATTCCAGATCTGGGTAGTGCTTCTGGTTGGTTGAATCAAATTTCCCACGCGACACGACCAATCAGAAGCATTACCGAGATCTGGGTAGTGACGCGTCATCAGTATGGAATCTCTGAGTTCTTTTGTCAGACGTCATTTGGCGGAGAAACCAGTGGTAGCGTCGCCATATGTCTGCTGTTTGCACAGGCTATTCAAAAGGTCAGACCGGACCCTGGAGACTGCGGAAATCGAGCCTGTGTTTCAAGGTTCGTGCTTGTGATCGTAATTATGATTGAGGGCAGCGAAAAACGCAATTGTGAAGGCGGCTTTTGTACTTCAGAATTCGCGTGCTTTTGAAAAGCGCAGAAAATTCCTTAGTTTTTAATTCGGAGGGAATGGCCGGTTTCCCAGATTTTAGATCCAACAAAAGCAAAAGTGGCAGCTTCATCACTATTGCTTACATTTGGCCGATGAAAATTAGGGTTGCTTACAAATCTGGTGTTGTAAAGGCAATGAATCGCAGAGGCAAGGGTAAGGGTTCCGTTGAATAGATTCCATCTTGACGTAAAAGTGAAATGCAACAACCACGGACCTTTCTAAAGCATTTTCTACCTAACGAAATTCTTCTTTTAGTCCTCAAAAGGAAATTCGTACGTATTACTGTCTGCTCTTCTCAAATTCAAGGGCCATTTGTTATCGCCAAGCTCGCGACTATCACGTGACCACCAACTGTCGACAACTACAACTTACTGTTGATACTGTAAGAAATTTCAAGGAAGTAACTACTCCGGAAAAGAGTGGAAGAGTGAAATTGATTTGGGCTATTAAGAGAATAGGCATCACTATTGACCGTGAAATGAATAAATTCGTGGAATCGTATAGTGACGTTTGGACAAAGTGTAACATGTAAACAGTTCGTAAGGTTCGAACTGGAGGAAAAAACGATCACTTCAACTAAGAAAAACTTCAAAGAAGAGAAAACCTGATTTAATATGTGCAATAACTAATGCAGTGTGGGAAACGTCATAAAGAAAACTTTAAGGTAACTAAGATCAATGCTCACCTCGGAAGTGTCCCAGTGATGGCAACATTCGAAGACAAATTTAAAACCTCGGTGGACAAAATTTCTTTTTTTATGGCAGCATTGTATTAGAATGTTTTAACTGATTCGATGAAGACAAAGTGAAGACGTTTACCCTAAAAATCATAAAATACACAGAAAAGTATCAATTTTTGGTCTTGAAATATTACTTAACATGCGTCCGTAAGCAGACCACTGAAGACTGTTTCGTGAAATGCACTCACCAACACATCTGCTCATTATAATTAAAAGGAGAAATTTAACCGCAGACACAACAGGGAAACTCGTGATTAGCATTGCTAAAATATAAAATAAACACACGGTCTGCAATAAAATGATGAAAAATTTCAGTGAAGGACAACTACGAAATATAATCGCCTTATTTCAATACGGATAAGCCTGGAAAATGCTCATAGAAAAGGTGGTTTCCATATAACATTCAAAAAGGGTATAGCTATAAAGAAAGTTAACATATACTGGCCCTTCAACGCTCAAAACAGCTGCAGCACTTTTTGTCGGGTAGTTTAGTTTGCCGGAACCAATGACAATGACAGCTTTTGAAAGCAATATGCGTGTGCTCTGGCAAATTTAGCAAATGTGTTTCTGTCGATTATTAAACTTCAGGCCCCGGTTGTTCAAACGTTGGATGGCGATATCCACCTAGCCTGCGTAGCAAACGTTTCCGTGCGAGCTGGTCGAGAAAGTTGGACGAGAGCAAAAAAAAGCACCTTTTTTTTTGCTCCCGCTCTAACGTTCGCGCAATAACTCGATTGGAAACGCTTGCTACGCAGGCTAATAAATTAATTGCGTTATCCACTGGATAGATCTTCATCCGGCGGATAGCGTTATCCACCTTTTGAACAACTGGGGCCAGGCGATTAGCTGTTAACAGCGGGTGGTGGAAATTTGGAACCCTTTCGGAACGGATCGGATGTTTAACATGACTAAACTGGGTAACGGAGACTGGGGAACGGGAAAACGAGCACGGTGAACGTGAAAATAAAAATTGGGAATAAAACCTAACTTAACCCTTTAAACCCTAAGAGATCAAAATTTGAATTCTCATTTGTTGCCCCTATTCACTTCCTACAGAAGTAGTGGGGAGAAGTTGATAAATATAAAGCAAATTCATCTTGTGTGATCATGTCCGTAATTCTCATGACCACTCTGTTTTACAAAGCATTGATATTACAAGGAGAAATTTGATGCTGATCACTCTAAGGGTTTAAAGAGTTAAACCCTAGCCCTATCAGTTACTTCATTTCCAATTCTCTGCTTCGTTCCCACTTTCATTTTCTCATTCCCGTTGCTTATTGCCCGCTCCCCGTTCCTCGTTTTAGTAACATCCCTTCCGAAACCGACCAAACATTACATATTTTAATGAAACCTCAATTGCCTATCTTCAGCTTACTCCGATGATTGGAAATAATCGGCCTCCATCCATGAGCTAAAATGTGGATATTAGATATGTCCGTTGTTGTTGTTGTTGTTTTCTCTTCTTTTGAGTCGCTCGCCAAGAGCATCATTTGTTTCGATAGATTCAATGTTGAATTATGGCTCATCGTCGTGTCGGGAGTTTTCATATCAAATCTGAAATTACTGCAAAGTTTTTCTATAAGAAAACACAGTATTCAATCAGCTACAAAAGTTTCAGACGAAAAACTGTATCACTAACTGCAATAACTTTTATGTCAGAGTACAGAAATAAAAAAAAGTAATCTTGTAACAACAATCTTTATTGCGCTCTTGATAAAAAAAGTGTAAATACATTAAAAAAAAGTGTAAGTGTTCAAAAAGTGTAAATACATTAAAAGGAAATAATTGTGAAAAAAAGAGAGAACAGCCACTCAGAAATAACAAAAGCTAATTGCGCTGAGTGGCTTGGCAACGAGATTGGGAAACATGGACTACAGGAACGAAAGCAAACTGAGTGAACTGCGCCGTTACTCTAAGGAAATTTGAAGCTAGGCAATCGAAGCGCGCAAGCAGACTGACGCTCTCCCACAGAAACAGAGATGTGAAGTGCGGTAGACAGGATACATATAGGTGTAAAAGATAGAAAAAAGATACTATGTCGTCATTGATAATGAACAAGTTCGATGCACAAGTATGAATATATAATAAATACATATTTCCGGCGTGTAAGTGGATACAAATTAGCCGGAAATAAAATATTTCTGCGGCATGTGAGCAGTGGGGACTGGGGTGGTTTCAGTTGAAGTGCGGCATGGGTAGAATGAAGTGTTATAAAAGGGATGCGTATCACGTGGAAAAGCATTCTAGGCTTTCACCTTGTTTAGCCTGTGTTATTTTTTATTTGCTTATTTATTTATTTACTTTCCATTTCGGGAGGGTTTTAGCTTGTTTTCGTTATTTTTTGTCTGTTTTCGAATAATAATTTTGAGTTCACCGTGCTTTGTTGGAATACATGCTTAGTAAACGTGGACAGAGACCTTCGATCCTTGTAGCCTTCGTAGGATGGGTTGTTTAGAGCATGAGCCATAGATCCTACCGAGATTTCCCGCCGACTTTTGTCCCTACGGGTTTTTTTTCCGGCAGGTTTTTCTGGCCTGCGTTCTGACAGTATTCTTCGTAAACTATCGCTCAGCTATGTTCTAGTTTATCTACCACATTTTTGACTGTAATAGAAGTTGTAGTATAACACATTGTTTTTCTCTTGGTGCTCGGCCGAAACAGCCAAAATAAACCCGATGGTTTTTCGATTCATGTTGTACTGGGTAGTGGTGCCAAACTGTAGAATCCTTTTCACCGCCGGACAATATGCATAGATGTTACGACTAGGTTTGCGTTGTATTAGACAATTTAGCAAGTTGAAAAAGTAGTACACAGCGCATGTTGTTACCCCTTTTTTGAGCCATGATCCCCCTCTACAGACGTTGGTCTTTGCCAGCCTCAGTATCCGACACGGGATAAGGATTCACAGTAAAGTTTGGCTTTTATCAACTTAGTTCATAAAATAAAATCAGTAGACCTGCACCGTTCTAAACCTCCTATTTCACTGGTCCCTTTAATCTGATTGTTTTCCCAGGTGATCAAATTCGTGCGGGATCGCCCAATAAAATGGCAACCACAGGGGGAGTTTCCAGCGCTAACCTTTCGTCAGAACGAATCAGGGGATTGACAGATTGTGGATTGTGTACCGGTTTATATACCGGATGTTGGAGCTATCATATATTGGTTGGAAAGTGGTAACGTGATAAAACAGGAATGAATTAGTTAAATGAGTGAAAAGCCTTCGTCGATGCCCGGGAGATTAACAATGCCGATTTGAAAATACGATTTTCCTATAGTTTTCTTTATTTTGGGGTTTCGGATGTTGCCATGGTGAATCTCAAGACCGCAGACTGCCATATTTAAGCTGGAATGACTGGCGAGATTCAAATGGTGAGCTAATGGCTGGTGCTCAGCTTCTTTATCCCGCTACGGATTCCAGTCTACTAGTTTTTGTATTTTACACCCTCACCAAAGTAACACTAGAGTTTCTTTCGATACAACCCTTCACTCGTCTCCAGAACTGCTGCTTTTGGAAATAGGCAGCCCTTGTAGGTATAAAACAAGGGTAAAAGTATCCGCCGGGAAAACAAAGTGGCCTTTGTGAACAGGTGGTCGTTGTAGAGAGGTTCTCGTTGTTTCTCTTTGGATGACACCGTTTCGCGAAGCATTTGAGCACTTAAACGAAACCCAAAACACAGTAACTGTCATAAAGTGGTTAGATAGAGAACAGGATTGGCCTAGGCATTGGCACTTAGTCTGTTGGTAAACGATCTTTATTTTTACAAGAGAACACTCAACTACATCTTTGTTAGTTAAAATAAATTGTGACAGTCCTCAGAAAATTGAAAATAAAATTTTAAAAAACATTTACAGTGAACTCTCAATCTCTTAGACTACACCTATCGCCAACCTCTCAGAGATGAAAAAAATGTTTATCTTGTATATTTTTGTAAATATATTTTTTTACACCTAATAGTTTTCTCTAACTCCCTCAAACTTGCCCTTTGCATATATTGTTTTCTTCCACAGTGTGAGGCAGTTCGTAGGAGAGGAATACGGTATCAGTGCGTAGTTGACGGGGTAAAAACATTGCCTAGTGCTTGACAATATCGTCCATTTTTACATTGCGGTGAAGCCAAAACAAGACAATGTAAATTCTATTTACAATAACACTGAAGTCGGCAATTTGAATACTTTTTGCTACTTGTACTTCTCTGTGCTCCAAATGGAGCTCATCAAGGCAGACTACTATTATATTAGTACTGCTTAGAAGATATCATCAACCTTTCACTACCAAAACGTAGGCTGAACGTTACAAGGCGGTTTCAACTGGTAATCGAGCCCCCTCATTCAACGCTATTTTGCCTATGACACTAAGGCAATTCGTTTTGACGTATTTACAAATCAAAATAAAAATCAACTGACTTCCACGCTTTACAGCGCTATATTATTAGAGGCTGTCAGTTGCCTCTTATCTCTCGGACGTGGATGAGCGAGGAAGTTGAGGCCAACTACTCGACCCCGTCCACCCACTCAAGTCACTTAAAGCTGGAGCCAAATGTCTGTACCATGGTGGAACGGAAACCATTTCTAAAATATCAACCACGACGGTAATCATGGCAGTAAAAAACTCAAACTCTAACGTTCGGAAAACTAGAGATTCATTTTCTTCTGATTGGAGATCTGTCGCACAAATCTCACCGTAGAACCAAATTCTTATTATTTTGAATAATAATGATGATGATGATGACTAACCACGGCACACTACGCGCCAGTCAACGCAAACTAGTAAAACCCGCAAGTGAGAGACTAGTTTTTCAGGACCTTTTCGGCTAAAATTTGCCACTTAGACCCCCGTTGAACAGGAACCTGTTTAGCCTTTACAACTGAAAGTTTTACGGATTTCATACGCCCAGCTTTTAAAATCTTTCAATGGTATGCAATGAAATAAAAGCTGATAAGAGTAAGACGCTTTTGATGAACTGCGCATTTTGGGGGACAAATGAAAGCCACGGATTACAAGTTATGAACCATATAAAAACAAGCGATAAACAATGCAACCACTTGCGCTAACTACCGTATATAGAAGCGTAGCTATAAGAGCTTCCCTTCATCGTCCCAGATCCTTGCGGAGAGCCGTGTGTCCAACAACAAGGTCTGGATAGTTTGAAGTAAAAGGAGTGAAAGGAGTTAAATGAATGGGTTGGTTATAATACACAGAGTGGAAAGTTCATTAAGCAACGTATGTAAGTCTCGACGCTTTTGAAGAGCACACTACCATATTTCGATTGAAAAATCATCTTTATATCTTTCGTCGTAAAAGTTCACAACGATCAACGTGAAAACATGAGTTGTTCCACATGACCGCATATCAGGTGACGACTTCTGGGCGACTTGGGCAGTACAACCTGCTTGCTTGCTTCTCCTGACAGCATTCAGATTCTCTTGAGGAAGATCCCACGGGTAATGTTTTAAGAGGGGAAAAAGCCATCTTGAGCATTTCTTAGAAAGCCCATATGCATTAAGAAATCCCTACCATCCCCCAAAATATGCCAAGTATTTCGGTAAATCAGATTTATCTTCTGCGTTGTGATGGAGGTCGATGAAGGACTCGGAAATTCATGCATTTGTCATACTGATGTTTGATTTAACAGAGCTGTGGTTTCGTCCTCAATCGTCACTTTGTGCATATTTTTCTTCATAGGGCTTGGTGAAATATTCTTCCCTCCTCGGCGCATTGAGTCTTGTCTTTTGAGGTTCAGGGAGCTGTTGGAACCGAAATGATGGCCTGGAGTTTGGAGGTAGTTCACTAGCGGGGTACCATTTGGATGAAGGAGCTTGTTCACTTTACCGCTTAGCCGTGGAACAGCACTTATCAGCCAGTACGTCTTCCATGTGCCTTTTCCCTGCAAAAATAAATTTTTACGGAAAAGTTCTAAATTTGCAACTGCACTGTCCACTCAGACTGGCTTTAAGATAACGGCTATGTTTGCTTTTGGGTAAAACGCTTGTTCGAGTTTTCTGTACGTGTGGGTGAATGAAAAAAAAAAACAACGACGACGACGATAAACATTACACACCTTTAAAAACACTTCTCCCCTTTCCTCAACTTCGAAGCCGCCGAGGTCATCAAGAATTCCTTTTGTTGCCTCACTGATGTGTATGCGGAGAGCTATAACAAAACAACAAAGCACTAACTATATTGAACGTTCGCTACAAAAGAGTGAGGTGGTTTTACGACGATCCATGGTACAAACCTTCTCCATTAGATTCCATTCTTGAAGCAGTGTTAACTGTGTCACCAAATAAACAGTAACGAGGCATCGTGTTCCCGACCACACCCGCCACACAAGGACCTGCAAGGGAAAAACACACACCCACTGGTATGAGAAAGTGTAATGACTTTACTAGTGCGTTCCACTCAAGGATGCGCAACTTTATCCAACGTCTCGCCCCATGTAAACAAATCTAAGACAGTCTTGGATTCTGGATTTCACGCCGTGAATTCTGGATTCCAGGTAGTGAATCCCAATTCTCAGTGGAACAGTTTAAATTCCAGATTCCAATCGTTAGTGGGATTCCGGATTCCTTGAGCTGTATTCCGGATTCCAAAGCCCAGAATTCCAGATTCCACGAGAAATATTTTCCCGGATTCTGGAATCCGCATTCCCTTACATGGGGCGAAACGTCATTCACGTGGTTCAAAACCGCCATGCTAGAGAGCAAGACACGCACTGGGACAAGACAAAAGAGCTCACATCATTTAAAATGGTTATTTCCTTTGTGTTTCTTTTCCCACTGCGTCTTCAGCGTGGCGGTTTTGTACCTTGTGAAGCACTAGCTGGAAAGGGCCTATTGCTACACGTAAGTTACCGCTATGAAGTCCAACTCTGAGTTTCAGTTGATGATCCGGTTTGTGACGAACTTTGAAGTCTTTCTTCACAGCTTCTACCAAGTGTAACGCCATCCGGGATATCTCACCAGCGTGCTCATGGCCGTTCCTGATTGGTAATCCAGATACAACCATGTAGGCGTCACCAATTGTCTCAACCTAAAATAGCAATAGAAACATAAAGCAGATTAACTTGGAGGGAAGCAACTGGATATGCTTCAACTGATGACAACATTAATGAACAACTTTTAGCCATTCAATCCTATAAAGCCCTGTGTTTGTGAAAATTTCCTTTATGAAGATTACTAAGGAAAAAAACGTGAGGAACGAATTGCTGAACTAGCTGTTTGCCATTTTTTGGGCTGAAATAAGCGCGTTATAAGGGTTCCTGGCGTGAGAAAATACCCGCGTTTCAAGACGTCACCACTGGTTTCCCCGCAAAATGACGTATGAGACACGAGCACAGAAATTCCATACTCAGGACATGTAACTACACAGGTCTGAGTAATACTTCTGAAGGGTCGTGCCGAGAGGGAAATTTACGTCAACCAATCAGAAGCACTTTTCTCTGGATAATAAGCCACCAGATCAATTCGGGAAATATGGAAGAACGAGGGTGATAAGTGCGTGGTACAACTCTCCCCAGTTACTGTGAGTATACAAGGACTGTAAATCCAGAGGGTACAACATGCTATGTTCCTGCCCAAATCGCACAGAAAAAAAGCCTCGAGGGTGCTGGAGTACAGCACCGTCATAAAATCATTGCTTTCTTGCAAGCGACAATAAGTAAAGCCCGAAAGAGATAACTAACGAGGAAAGAAGTCCTACGTCATCAGCTGCGTTTCAACCACTTACTTTGTACACGTCATATTCTTGGATGATGTCATCAAACAGTGTATAAAGATCGTTGAGAAGGGTAACAACCTGCAATAAATAAAAACGTTTCAGTTCAAATGTCTAAATATTTGGAAAGTGGTCAAACCAAGTGTACTCGGGGAGGATCCACCTTGGGAAGACTATGCAAGACATCTCGAAATGTTTTGAGAAAAAGAAATTTGCCTTGCCAGTTACAGGGGTCGAAGAAAACTCTTTGCTTGCCCGGGGCCACTTCTTGCTTACAGGGTTCGTACCCTTTTTTGAACAAAAAATTCAAGGACTTTTCGAGGACCGTCAAGGACACATTTAGCATTTTTAAAGGACTCCATTCAGTGCAAAAAAGAGCCTGGAGTCTATGTCTTTTTTAGTTCTTCTACAACATGAGAAATTTTATCCCGAAGGTCTTTCCGTGTTTTCTTCTTTTCCTTTGCAGTTCTCCTTAAACTATTAATTTAGCATTGAAATTCAAGGACTTTCCAGCACCGACTGCAATTTGAAAGGATTTTGAAGGTGCGTGTGAACCCTCGCTTAAGTAATGATTTTATTAGAGGATGACTTGCCTGGACCCCTGCCCATTGGGTAGGTAAGCTTTAAATGTTACTTGCCCAGCAAGAAAATCTACTTGTCCCGGACCACCTGACGGGACTTTTTCCTAGCCCTTCAGACAAACAGCACGGGAACGTTTTCTAGCCTCCTGCTTAACAGGGCTTATTTTGGTTCGACCTACTCCCCCAGAAATTGCAAGTCTAGTATACTCGAGTGATTGACAGAGGGCAAATAGACACCATCTTTTTATTTTTACAATGGCGGGAAAAGGAGTACACAAGTGGCAAAACACCACAAGTCTTCCCGTTAAGCGGTGGGACCAACCTGTAGACAACAGTTTTTACCACTTCTCTCCTGATGCCACAAGGAACGAACATGTGATAAAATGCGACAATGTTGTACCTGCATTGGTGTACTCCCCGACGACAGACTAGTAAATCCTACAATATCGCTGAAGTAAATTGACACTTCATGGAAGCTCTCTGCTTCAACTGTCTGTCCTTTTTTCAACTGCTCAGCTACAGGTCTGTAAAGCACGCAAAAGCAGAAAAAAATGAAGGGTGCTCTTCTTACCACGCAATGAACTGGAATATGAAATGAGTTTGAAAGAAACAAAACTCACCCTTAAAAAGGACTAACTGTCTACCTCATCTACCAGATGTGATGCACATGTATACCTTGCACTAGTTATTCCTTCCTTTTCTCTATCAGTCCAAGGACGATTCATTCTCACTTGATTTCCGACATCAAAAGAGTGCTATTAAAAAAACCGTGATAGTGCAAAGGAAAACGATTTTTCACAATATTGCTGTTGTCTAACAATCGCAACAATCGACTTGACCAGTCAACGACATGGCGAGAAGGTAGAGCTTCCAGTCCCGACACCAAGGTACAGTTCGTTGTGGTGAGGGGTCGGGTAAATCAGAAAAACGTGATTATTGATAACGATAATCATGAATACCGCATTCGCGATAAGCTCATAAACTGGTTACTTGGGCTTCCTGTGGAATTCGCAGGTCTAAATAGTACAGCTCTTTTTTTCACTGAGCCTCAGACCTGTTAACGGACTTTAATGGGCATATGCCTTGAGCCGCTGAGTCAAGACGAGCTCAAATTTCGAATTGACCAGCGGTTTCCGTTGAAATAAGGGTTTTGCGAGGGGTGAGTAGGTGGGAGGGAGAGCTCACTCTTGCGAGTTCATATTAGTTAAGAATAGAATCCCCAACTATGCACATGTTTTCATTGCACGGTCAGTATTGACATATTCTCACTAAACAAAATAAAAATAGGCTCTAAGCCAACAACGACCTATGCTTCAAAGTTCCTTCTAAATTTTCTAAGCCGACGAACCCCAGGTAAACGCAATAACAGAAACTTGTCAACTTGGCTGTGATATCTGATGCCTGCAAACAAGACTGTCAACTAAAAACTGCAACGTGTCTCAGTCCCGGTTTTATGGTTTTCGAGTCGGTCTCCCTACTTCCTATTGGTGCACTTCTCTCTACCTTCCTATCTGTATTTATTTATTTATTTATTTATTTATTTATTTATTTATTTATTTATTTATTTATTTATTTATTTATTTATTTATTTATTTATTCATTTATTTATTAATCTTAATAATGAAAGAAAGAAACCTTGGTAGCATCCTTTCCAAGAGAGCGTCTGTCTTTTTCTTCTCCTCGATCAGTTGACCGGTTCTTTCCATGACCAGTTCCTCCAGATTATCTGCATACTTCTCCATCATGTAAACTATGTTATCAAAGATGTTGGTTTTCCTTTGGAGAGAAACAACAGAAAGGAAATCTTGAAATCACTCAGAATATCTCAAGCCTTGGAATTGAGCCTTTTAAATGGTACAGTTTATAACTGAACATAATTTTTCGCTTTACCTGCACTTCAATAAACAAGCAGTCTTAACCCTTTAAGCCCCAATATCCACATACAAATTCTCCAAACTGGTCTTTATACATTTCCTTAAGGAATAAGTTGAGAGAATTTGGTAGAAGATCAAAGCATTTTCTCTTAGGTGATCATTTTATTAACTCTCATAACCATTTCTCTTGGTAACATATGGATATTGTTAGGAGAAAATTGATCTTGGTCACTATTGAGACTTAAAGGGTTAATCAAGTTTAAAAATCTGTTTAGCCAACTGGTTAAAGCCCTGCTGCAACAGGCAGGTTCAACGCTTGTGCAACGCTTGCAGCAGCTAAAACGTCGCAGAACCGCAATTTCATAGATATGGACTCTAAAAACAAGGTAACCACACTTCACTGCGAAAAGAAAAATGACAACAAAAAAAACACATTTAAAGTCGATAGGTACTTACATTCCGTTATTGACTAGCACCTTGTGCATGGTCTTCTTGATCTCATGGAAATCTGGTCTTTCATCCGGGTTCTCAACCCAGCACTGTTTCATGACTTCCCGGATCTCCTCAAGGCCTGCTATCAGTGTTGTGACTGTTGGCCGAAATGGTGGGAACTCGGCTTCTTTAACTCTACGTATGATGTCTACAGAGATCAAAACAAATAATTTTAAACAATTCATACGAATGAAATAGCACGTGAACAATAATAGAGCAGTGATTTTGTTACAAACAGTTATGGTGGGTCCTGGAACTCAGCTTCTGAAAAATCATTAGTCCCAGTCCAGAACTATTGCGTCCCAGTTAAAAAAACACGAGTACCTGGGTCTTTATGTAACCACACAGTTAATCTTTAAGACAGACCCCAAAACTCTGCATTACAGTTTACTGAAAAAAAAAATAGACTCCTTCTGTTGTGAAGAACAACAAAGACTAAAACAAATATGCGCCGTTAAACAACAGCCACAAGAACAGCCACAAAAATCGCACAACACGAACAGAATATTCTACGCGACGCATACCACAAATTATTTTGCGTCTTTGAGGATTTTTATGCGTCAGGGACGCAGGACGCAGAGGTGACAAAATCACTGATATTAGAATAATTTTACCTAACTCGTGAAACAGACAGATACTAACAACTCATGCCAAATAGCTTCAAGTGAACAAAACAAGACAATGGAATTGGTGCACAACTGTACGTAGTAGTCTTCTACTTTCACGGATTACATAGCGTCAGTTCCCAGACGTTTTCTTATCAGTGATGTCGCCAGCTGGAAATACTCTAAACAGATTCTTACATGGTGTTAAAGACGTTGTTATTCATCAAGAAAAAAGCGGAACGTTATCAAACTGAATAAGACAATAGAAAACGTGTTTTTGAAACAGCAAGAAACGCTCGCTAAAAGCTCTCATCTAGATCAGGACTCTGCGTATGGGTCAACTTAAGTAAATTGAGGCGAATAACCAGTCTTAGCTACTAGAGAGTCTTAGCATCCTAACTACTAATAGTAACAGACAACTTACTAAAAATCAAATCAAGATAAAGTTAAAGGCAGGAAAAACACCTTGGCATTTTGCCAACGATCACTACCAGCAAACCACTAACAACAGCAAAGCATAGGTGACTTCCCTTTACACTCAACATTTAATTAAAAACCGAATAAAAGTTGATGAAAACATGAATGACCTAAAAGCCCCCCTGCCACTTTTGAATTTTTTTTGTTTGGCTAAGACAATTTTAAACAGCTACCAGCCTACCTTTAGGTTCCATGAAATTAGCGCTGTAAGGCCCTTCTCTGGTGTGGAATTCTTGTAAAATTATAGCAAAGCTATAGACATCACCTTTCTGGGTTCCCTTCGGAGGCCGATTAGGGATCCGCAAAAGCTCTGGAGCCACCCAGAGTAAATCTAAAATCAGATGAGGGAAAACGATGAGCCAATTACACTTTAGTACCACAAGACGTCGTTACGCCTATAATTCGATTGAAAGAGTCATTGAGGAAGGAGAGCTCCTTTGCAATTGAATTTGGTTAAATGTAACCACCACGAGCTTAGCGGCTGAGCATTTCACAAGCATAGCGGTGAAGCGGTTCACGAACTTAGTGGTCAAGCCGTCCACAAGCTTAGCGGTCAAGCGGTCTACGAGCTTAGCGGCATCCACCAGTCAATCCCATAAGTGCAGACTCACACGGTACGTGGTAGCTTTGTACACTGCTAGGATTTTTGAGTTCTTCATTTAGCGTTTTTGGAGGGGTCTGTGGAGCGGTTGCTCTAGCGTCTACCCTCGTTCCCCCCTCCCCCCACCCTCACTGTTTCATCAGTGTAACGGGTGCGTCGAAAGAGGGCTCATGGCTGGGTTGCGGGGATTTGCCAGCCATGGGGGCAGTATTCTATCTAGGGGCTGGCTGGCCACAATGGAAGCCCCTGGGTATCCCGGGCACTCACCTTCCACTTAAGCAAGCAGTTGGTTGAATCTTTTTTTACAATTTTTTTCCTCCTTAGCATATATTGAAAGGGACAGTCTTTCTTTTTAGCTTTTTAACCCTTTAAGCCCTAAGAGTGATCAGCATCAAATTTCTCCTTGTAATATCAATGCTTTGTAAAACAGAGTGGTCATGAGAATTATGGACATGATCACACAAGATGTATTTGCTTGATATTTTATCAACTTCTCCCCACTACTTCTATAGGAAACAAATAGGGGCAACAAATGAGAATTCAAATTTTGATCTTAGGGTTTAAAGGGTTAAAAAGATAGCAAATAACGTGACATAGACTCTTTAGTGTAATGAAATCCCACTGTGTTACCTCGGTAGTAGGCGTAGTCTTCCCGGTTCTTTTTTATTTTGGCTCTAAACGACGGTAGCCCATAATCTGTAATTTTCAGAACCCAGCGGCTGTCCACTAAACAATTCGATGATTTGAGATTGCCGTGAGATTTCACGTCAGTGTTGTGCATGTATGCCATCCCCTAGAGGAATATAAATAACAGGTTGTAGTAACAACAACAAAACAGAGCAGTAATAATAGTAATGGTAGAAGTAGCAGTACCGAGCAAAAACATTTGAAAATCACAGGATGCAACGACAACATACCTTGACTATATCTGCTATTAGTGAAGCCATAAACATGTGATCCAACTTGACGTCTTCATTTTCTAAAATGTCCTGATAGAAACAAAAATTAACTCTGAAATTACGCTAAGTGCATAACAGGCCTTTCGAACCATTTTGATTGACCCTAACAATACACGGGCCCTTGAGGCTTTCATCATGACAAACAGAGTCCTGCTCCTATAGCACATGGCGAAACTACGTTCAGGTTGAAGATCCATGGGGAAACAGGAAAACTCTGACTGGACACTCAAATAGTATTTTTTAAGCGAAAAGGCAGAGCCATCGCTCACTTATTTCTATGTGAGAAGTGGCCATCTATGGTTTCGAAAGCAGAGAAAAGAGAACTTAACCCTTTAAGTCCCAGTAGTGACCAACATCAATTTTCTCCAAAGATATCCATACATTGTCAAGAGACTAGGTTATGAGAATTAATAAAACGATCACCTACGAGAAAATGCTTTGATCTTTTATCAAATTCTCTCAACTCATTCTTTAAGGAAATATATAGAGATCAGTTGAGAGAATTTGTATGTGGATATTGGGGCTCAAAGGGTTAAGCAAAGATGACGAATGTCAACCGGAAGTGAGGCCTTTTCCCTCTCAGCATGCCTTGATGATATAAAATTTGTACTCCTTTGCTTCTTTACTCTTATAGAGACGATCTGACTGAAAATTTTCGGCGAAACCACCGCTCAAGAATGTAAAGAGTCCACTTCCGGTTGACGTGCGCCGCTTAAGCTCCCTAAACTCCACATCCCTGCCCCATTCCCCACCGGCGACACACACACACACATTCCTCCACTCCATTCTGAATCAAGTTCCTGTGCCCAAGCCTCCCTTTGAAAACGACTGCACTACAAGGTACAAGCAAACGGCCACGGATTTTGATGGCTACCCGAGAGCTACAAAAAACAAAGAAATATGCTGAAAACTAATTGCGGCTGTCAGCGATGCCCCAACAGAGACTCTTAGAGGTTACTGAACAGCGGCGTGACATTTGAATTTGTAAGGCCTTTAGCTCCTGGATGAAAGGCGAGCCTAGGTCGCCTGCGTATCTGAATTGACATTTGACTGTTTAGGAGAGAAAGAGAAGACTGCAATGGTTTTTTTTACCTTAGGTTTTGGGAATTGTAAGAACTCGTCTGGAAAGGTGTAAAACATGAAGCTGAATTAAATCCCGAATTTCAGTTTCTTAACAGCAACAATCTGGCAAGCTAATGGCTTACTGCTGACTTATGCTAATCAATGCCGCAAATGGAAACAAGACGGTTGTAAAAATTTCCTTTTATAAATTCCCGTTACCTGTAGACTTCCTCTGGAACAATACTGCATAACAATGCAAATCTCAGGTTCCACACAAGCACCAATAAATTGGTTCAAATTATCGTGTCTTATGTCGCGCATCTAAAAGACAAAAACAAGAGCTCAGTTAAGTACTCAGATCTGGCCAACACAACAAACTGGGAAGCTAATAAAGCACTAAGGCTCAACATGACACTTATCAAATACCCCTAAAATCGTATATGTAATAAAATGGTGACAAATGAAATTAGGGAATAATTTCACGCGCGTTTTGTCCAGATTCACAAAAGTGAAATTATTCCCTTATTTCACCAGTTTTCAATTTCATTAGGGATGGAAGGGGGAGAGAATTGGAGTCAATTGGGTAGCTTGGGAGGGCGAGTTTCAACACTGGCTCTAAGATTGGAAGGTGAGAGGTAGTTAATCGCCTTTTGGTTGGAGTATAGCTCGTTTATTAAAAAGGAGTTTCTGGGATTTAAATGGGGTTGGTGTTGTTACGGAAGGGTAGCCAATGTTTCATTATTATTAATATTGTATTATTTTGGAACTTAGTGTAACACCAATAGGCCCTTTGAACGTGGTCAGTCACGCGGCCATGATTTACAGTACAGTCCCAAAGCGTTTCTAGCATACCCAGGATGGTGATTTTGTATCACGTGACTAACAATCTGCCAAGCGTCTATTCCGAAACGTTGCTGATGACGATTTTTCACTAACATGCAAACCATTAAACCAATACCCGGACCTGCGTTTTTGGTCATACAAACCTGTTTTAGCTCCAAAAGGACTTTCCTCGTCAGATCTATTTGTCCTTTAGGAAGTTTGGCGATTGTCACCATATTTCCCTACAGATATAAATAGACACACTTCACAGTCAAGAAGCTAACAAGGCAGAGATAGAGTACAGACCATGGATAATAACTATACATAAATCCTATGAGAACAAAGCAGAACCTGTGCCATGTCATCACGCAAAACACCTTCGATCAATTACGGAAGATCACAAATTTTGATGGTAGATTTAAGAAGATATATCATCAACAGTGAAGTTAACAATATTTTATTGGTCACAAATTTAACATTACAACGTACTCAACTGTTAGTAGGGTAGACCACTTGTCAAAAGTACATTACGCTCACAGATGAATCGAATAGATTTGTAGCGAAGCAAACTGTGCGATACGAACCCAAGAGCAGAATGTCCTGTAACCGTAGCAGCTCTAGGTTTGTCCTTAGAGGGCTTAACTGTGCACCCTGCTTTAGGCGCACTCGAGAAAGACGCCGCATGAATCGAGTAAGATCTTGAGCATGCGCTGCACGTTGCTAAGATACAGACTAGCACCCAGGCCTAATAACCGTGCGCTTGGTACTGCGGGCTTGGTTATGACCATCAATAAACGAATGCTCGCACTCGAAAAACCAGTTTGACGAAGAAAACAAGTTTGACTAGTCCAGAATTTCGGACTGCGGCTTTTTCAGAGGCTTGATGGGATACATGCAGAGTATCCATTTCTCATCCTCGGTCTACTCAAGACGAAGCCAAAAGACGGCTCTGCTCCCACGGTGGCTGAACTGCAGAGTGGGAGGTTACAGGCTCGATTTCCGCACTAGTCTGACCCAGGCCTCAAAATAGTAGAGAAAACTGGGGCCAGGGGGAGTAGTAAAGCCTGTAAGCATTGTTTTTACTACGTCATTCCAGTATACCAGCTCCTGGCATACCCTATGATTGGTCAATTGTAACAGTTTACTTCAACACTAACGATAATCATTTGGCTTCGCGAGCGCAGAGTCTAATAAACACGTTGTGCAAGCGAAACCCTCCTTGACCGCACCTTTTCATGTTTTGACATTCGACAATTCGACATAAGAAACCGTTTTTCAAGAAGTGGGCGGGGAACCGGGCGGATTGAGGTATTTGAAAAGATGCTTACAGGACTCCCCCCTTCTCTCTTCCAGCCGTTTTTCGCTCCTTCGCTATTTCAGTGCTCGCTCGCTTTTTTCCTCCGTCCGCACTGACCGACAAACTCGAACAGGCTATTTCCGGACCGGATCAAGACTCGGGGTCTAAATATAACTCCCAGGTTCAAGCACATGGTCGAACTATGCGACGAAGGCAGACAGCATCTTACCTTATAATAACCAGCGGTTGTAACTTTACCATCACTGCTTTCTTCTCTCATAAGCGGTACATTCTCTTCGTGATCATGCGTGTCTTTCTGCATGAAGAGAGGGAGTTGCAAAATTCATCAAGTCAAGCAAATTAAACAATATAAAGAGTAAGAGTTTCAAAGTTACAAGACATTGTAACTTAAAGATATTGGAGAGATGTAGGGTCACGTTTACTGCAAACGGCAAACGTGAGTTGCAAGTTGAGAAATTTCTCAAAATGCAAAATGAGGTAATAAAAACTGTTCAAAATATATCTGATGAATGAACATAAAATTAAACAACTGTTTTTTTTTAGGACTTCGCTAGAGAGGAGTTCTAACGTACTACTTACATTAACAATGGCACTTGCTAAAGAAGTATTGGAGGCTCTACGGTCAAAACCCAATTGATTATAGTCAATTTTCCACAGCCTGTTCTTCAGCTCCCTCTCTAACCTGTAATTTCTGGAAAATGAGATCAAGGACAATGATAAGCTTTGCAATCAAACGTACAGAACTAATAGGTAGCAACCGGCATAACTACAAATACCAGCACATAATGCAACTGTATCTGGCCTTCTTGGGCGGTTAAACGATGCCCCAACGTTAAACAACATTAGCCATATACAGTCATATGAGGGGGCCATGGAACGTGTCCGTTTTAACGGGGTGTCCGTATTAAGGGGATTGAATTTAGAGAAGATGTAAAGGCCTTCTTTCCACAGGGACAAAGCTAACTGTCCGCAATAATAAGCTGTCCGTATTTAGCGAGGGTCCGTAAAGCGGAGTTTGACTGTATTTGCTGAAACCATAGTTTCAATTTAATGGTTCGCATCGTCTCGATCGCCCAAGACGTCTCTAAATGTGAAAATCACGCTAAGCAAGTAATCAAGGGTGCCCCCTACCCCACCCAACAAAAAAGAGAGATCATAGCGGAGCTCTGGCGCGCGAAGCGCGCCTGCGGAGCACCATGGGTAAGTAAATCTACCCATCCCAGAAAATTTGGTAATCACGTGACCGTACACCGCCCTCAGCCCGCCCGTCCGTCCGCACCACAGGGCAACCAATGTTCAATCACACTTTCTAGTTTGGGAGCACAGGAAGACTGATATTGCAGACATATTGCACATCAATCTTGTGATCAATTGACAGCTGTCAAAACAGGGTATCCGCTGACCAGTATCACCTGATCATATCGCGGGCTCAGGTGTCGACCCATCGAGGTCGAGTATCTTTTTAAAGTTATCCGCTGACAAGTTACTAGTTTTCAAATGATTGCAGGCTCAAGTTTAATTTTTCAATTCATATGAATTATGTTGTGTTTTATATGTGCCGCACAATTAAAATTTTGATTTCAAACTGACCTCGGAAGCTAAGAATTAAGCCAGTTTTTATAGGCAGGGAGGACATGCTAGTTGCTTTTGACTTTTCTCACCAAGGTCACGCGTTGGTCACGCTCTACGTCCAATTTTTATACTCTGATTGGTCAAAATTTGACAGGTGAGTTCACGCGGAAAATTTATGCAGCATCTTGAAACTTGTTTACTTTGACAGCTGAAGCTGACAGAGTTTTGTGTCAACTTTGTGATGTTTTTAACTGTCTTTTTCCACTAAATGTACAAAGTGAAATTCAGCTGCTATCAAGAGTCTTCTGTTATTCATGGCTAGTTTGTTTATTGGGTTTTTGGTTGAGAAATACGTCGCTTTGGCAAAGTCGGAAATCCGATTCGGATGGCATCGTTTTCGTTTTTCACCTTGCTTGATGCGTAAGACGGTTGAAAAGTCTGAAGCGGTTCTGGCCTTACTTGATAGTTTTCAGTGCATCTCAAAAGGTAAGCCTGAGTAATTATTGTATTTGTTTGTTTTTTATATCTAATTTAATGAAGTCGAGCGTAGTTTACGCGGCTATTTGGTTTATGCACGTTTGTAAGATTTGAGACAATGATCTGACCGAGAGTGACCGAGTATCAGGTTTGATTATCAGCTTATGGAACTTTAAAAAGCCTTTAGACATTTTCTCACCGCAAATAGAAAGAAAACGTTCCAAAGAATATTTGGTTACAATTCTGGCTGTAAAAGAAAGCTTTGAGCGATTTTCTTGCCTCGAGTTCGTCTTTGAAAAAAGCAAACACCGGGAAGCCGGCTTAAAACGTAAACAAGGATTTTCAGAGACACTTTACATGTGTAATACTTGTCTTCGTGAATGAAAATTGTTGTCTCTGTATATGTTTCACCGAATTATTTTCCCTTTCTTTATTGATTGTAAGTAGTCTCTTTTGCAATTTTAATCGCTGTGCCGTTTGTTTTCAGTCGCTCATGAACATCGCTTGCAAGAGTAGTCAAAATGCCGCGCGTATCAAACGCTTTTGAAGATTACAGATCTTTATAATAAATTCTTTATTGTGTTGAAGCGTATAACTATATTAATCTTAATTTAAACAGTCGACTTGTCAAAAGTGAGAACTGGCTAGCCGTATAGGTGATTTTGGAAATTTTTTTGACGATTTCGCTAAAAGCCCACACGTGCTTTGATCGTCCTGAATATTGAATGAGTGCAATTTGTATTGCAAAATTGTGAAACACTGCATTCTGTCCGAGGTCTGTATGATGAAAACGGCGCAGGTGTTTTCCAGGCCTAATCTACTGTGATCAAGAGCCATTATGGCTCTTAAATGTGATCGAAGATGATTGCTATTTTTTGGGTGTACATATAAAGGCTATCAACTCGATGTAAGATGAAGTTCACTCTTATGTGCTCTAAAGTTAACTGATTTGTGGAATACAAGTTTATTGTTTGATTTGAATTATAAATTCGAGTTAATAGGAGCTTCGCTTTTAGCCCTGGCTAAATCTATATATTAATTATTGACAGAGGCATATAAGTCCCTTGTTATCCTTACTAGAGCGAGCGAAATACGCGGGCGCGCGTGACAAAAGCGGCCCCGCGCGAGGTAGGCCGTCCCGAACGGCCAATTTTACGCGCCTTTGTTTATTTTCGTATGCTCTGATATCCCAGGATAAAAACAAAGGGTCTACCCGTAGTCTAGCTTTTTTTAGAATTTTGTTATTCTTTTGTATTCATGATGATTGGCCCCCAATGCCTCGTTTAAAATGAATGTCACAGAAAAGAAACGATGCCACCATCTTGGAATAGGCTGTATGGTTCACTAAGGTTCATAACAAATACCGAGTAGTACCTGACAAGGTTAGTTACAAGGAGAATTGCAAGGAAGCCAAGTCCACATGAAACTCCCGCAATTATTTCCGTTTTGTTGTCTGGAAAACAAACAAGGGCAAAAAGCATTGTGAGCTTCAGTTACTCTCGATACAGTCAACCAAATAATCAAAAATCAGGTAAACCACACAAAGAGCCATGGTAACAGTTCAGCTGAAAATGTCCTTGAGTTTGAGTTAGCAGTGTGGGGTATAGAACGAAGAGATGGCTAGAAAGCGCGAGCAGACAGGAAGGGGAATGGGGGTGGATGATTCACCGCAGTCAAACAAGAGTAATTGACACAAATTAAGCAAAGTACGTATTACACCCACTGTCAGACAGTCAAACCTCTTTAATACGGACACCAAAGGGACAGAACTAATAGTCCACTTACAGAGGTGTCCGTATTAAAGAGGCAGGGAATGTATGATTTTTGGCATTCCTGGGACCAAACGAACTGTCCGTAATAAAGAGGTGTCCACAAGGTGAGATTAGACTGTAATCAGAGACCTTAAGATAGACCGTTCCCGTGTACGGGTACGGATAAATTAGCCGTACACGTAGCCGTAAATAAGGGTAGATTGCCTCTTACCCGGGGTAAAACGGGTAGGCTACCAGGTAGAATGGTAACGCCACTAACACATCTGCGAAATGATGGTTGCCTTTTATAAAACTACGAGGTAAACGTGTTCGCTTAACCGTACCCGTGGGCTGAAACGGTGTATCTTAAGGTCACTATTAATACATGTATACTACTAACACGCCGCTAATTTACTAAACGTTTTGAAGTTTCCTAAAAAAAGTTCTAAATTTTGACAATTGAAACTGGTAATACGTACTTTGGCACTATTTGTCAACAAAACTTTGCACGAGCGAGAAGCGCTTTCAACAGAAAGAAGCTAATTGCTTTGAGAAAAATTCGAAGAAAGTTGCTTTAACTTAATAGGGCCTGTTAACAAGGAGGGTTGATAACCCTCGTGCTAGGGTTACCGTTTTATGTTGCCAGTTAATGTCTAACAAAATAATTCAAAAAACGCCTCTGACGTTTGACCGCAGTGGAGGTGATCCCTCACCTCACCGGTTCCACCAGTAGCCTGTTCCTAGAGCGTTCTAAGAAGCCAAATGATAAGCACAATGATAGGAAAAAAAGACAGCTAAAAAGAAACTAAGTTAAAGAAAATAACTAAGTTCAAATCATGCAGTACAAAAATTAATGTTAATACACCTTGAGCCCTTTTTCTTGAAGAAGGGCCTTGTATAAAATTTCAGAAGGGGGACATGCGGCCCTCATTAGCCAGATTTTTAGAGTAGCGTATAAAGGATTAAAAAGTGTCATTATCAATAAACAAACCTTCCTGCTTCTCTGTTGGAGGAGGACATAGTTCATTATTGAAACCGCATCCTGGACGGTCTTTGGGCGGAACTGTACTCCCACCAACCCAAATCTTGGTCATATTGTTGCGAAACACAAGCCGAGGAAAAACTTTCTTGGAACCATTACCCGAGGAATTTCCATAAGTGATTTGGAAGTCTGCAACTGGTATCATTACTAAAGGAAGGAGAAACAAAGAACCAACTGAGAACGATGGTTTTTCAATCAGTGATACAGGCGGCTCGGACGAAAGAATCCCAGTACTCCCAACAGGAGTGTGATTGATTAAAAAATCATCTTTCTCATGCATTCACCAAGCTCAAAATTCACCAACGTATCTCTATCAAAGAACGAACTGTTGGCTCCAATTTGCTTATGCACCGCTGCATTCTTACTGGAGACGTTTTTAAGCAGTGAACTAAAATAAAAAAAATTTACTCTGACCAATCACAATGGGAGCTGACTTCAAATGGTCCAATCAAATCACACACAAAGTGCGGCAAAACGGTGGTGTGAGCAGCTCATGATTGTTTCAGTTTTCGGCCTGTAGATTGAGAAATGACGCAAGACTTTTAAGCCGGCTGAAAATTTACCCAACGAATTACGAATTCTAAACCGCTCTGAGACTTCTGATTTCAAAGATAATCCAGCCCTGTTATGGGAAAACGTATTATTCCAGGTTCTCATTGATCACTAAGGGAAAAATTCTTTGATCTTTTATCAAATTCTCTCAACTAATTCTTCAAGCAAACGTATGCAGAACAGTCTGGAGAATTTTTAAGTTGAAAACTACCCTGTAGAGAGGATGTCTTTGGACAAGGGTAAAGTTTAGTTAAACTTCCTCCCACAATTGGCTGTCGTTTGCAGCTCTGTTTGATTGTCTACTGCCTGAGGCTGACTAGCTAGCCACCGACACACTTCTGTTCAAGACCTGGCCCTGTATTCTGTAGTTGCTCCCAAGAATAAATTAGCTGAAAGAAAAGCGTTTGTTGATTCCGTGGCGACTGAGAGTGCCAATTTGAAATACAACTTTTGGCTGTGGATTTCTTTGGCTTTCTGTGTCACCTTGGTGAAGGAAGAGACAGCCGCTTTCAGTGGCCTACAGAATTATAGGGTTCAACAGTTACCGGTCGTTTTGATACAAAGTCGTTCAATACAAGTTTACTCAGTTGAGGTGTAAATAGTTCAATGTACCTGACTTAAAGAACAAAGAATATCCACCCAAAATGTTTTTCTTGTTCACGCGCAAACTATATTCGAAGTGAAAAACAAACGACTTGTATCGAAACAATTCGTTTCCGGGTTCAACTTACAGGCTTTGCCTTGAGTCTTTCTTACATCCCATAACGTCAGCTTAAAATCAGCATCACCATTCTCATCCAGGTGGGTTCTATAGCCCTGAATACCTGCAGCAAATTAGTGAAAAGTGGTGAAAAAATTGCAAATACAGGGTTGAACCTCCATTAAGCGACCACAGTCGGGATTACGGCAACTGCGAGTGGCCGCTTAGTAAAGATTGGCCGCACAGCACAGATTCGTCTTAAATAAGTATTAATCTATAGAAGAAACATCACTTTATATTGAAACAAACGCCTGATGGGAGCAGCATTACTGATGTCGAGATTACGGCAACTGGCCGCTTAATAAAGATTGGCCGCACAATACAGATTCATCATGAATTAGTATTAATCTATAGCAGAAACATCCCTATTATTGAAACAAACGCCTGACGGGAGCAGCATTACTGATCCACAATCAGTCGTCAGCTTCTATATCCGACTGTATTTTCCTTCATAACACTCTTGAAATGAAGTGAAAATAAGTGTATCAAGCGCTTGATAGCCTCTTAATAGAGGTGAAAACAACGGGAAAACTCTCATAAGGATGACCAAAAGGTGGCCACAACTGCTTAATAGAGGTAGGTTAATTCCCCATTCCCAGATCTACAATTATTTAGGGACATTGATTACTAGATACTTAATAGAGAGTGGCCGCTTACAGTTGCTGTAATAGGCAAACACTTGGTCATGCACATTATACACATGGCATGGCAACATATGGCTCCTGGTATCATAAAACATTTTCCATAGGGCACTAGCCACAGATCATTTAGAGTGTGCGCCTTTCATGTTCATGTCAGGTGGTTTTCATAACTTTCTCCTCCAAGGACCCAGTTTTTCAGAAGAAAGAGACCAGGGACTCCCAAGCCAAGTAAAATTCTTGGTAAGAACACTTAAACCCCTCTTGGCTGGAGGCAACTATTTGGCTATTTAAAGGCATCAGGCTAAGGATCCGAACTTGATAGTATATGACTCCAACTAACAGTAAGAGCCAAGATCACCCAGTTGCAATGCTGACACCCTGACCAACCACCCAGTCACACTACCCCCTGTGATCTTCTAAAAATCTTCAAAATGAAAAGATTATTACACATTGGTGGATGCAGGGGAGAAGCCCGAGGAGCCCCCCCACCCTTATTTTTAGACTAAACTACCTAAAAAATTTGGGGGGGAGACCGTCCCCTCCCCGCCTTATCTAAGGGTCTTGGATAACCAGGCCCCCAAGCTTATCTCAAGGTCTGGATCTGACACTGTTACATGACTGAAATTTTAAACCTTCAAAACGAAATGTGGCAATAACATTTTAAATGCTTGTAACTGTTATAACTTTCATCACTAAAGAAAAGGAGAGTGTTGTAGTTATACAGCAGCTGAAGTAGTATCAGTAACTTCTGCATGACTACAATAGGGTTCATACTCTTTTCAGCTTTCAAAATTCCATAACTTTTCATGACTTTTTCCAGTCCGTGACCTTAAGAGCAGCTGTCACTTTCGAAAATTTTCAAGCCCATCCTTGTTTTAGGGTGTTTTGCTTACCTAGCCCCTTTCAAAAAACACAAAAATTCTTGTGTCCACCAAAACGTGAGCTGTTGCCTTGGCACAATTTAATTATTGGTCTCTATTTTCCTTTGTTGTTGCTTTGACATCTACCATAACTAATTACTGAATATACTGGTAACTTTGATTTTCCAAGACTTTCCAGGCCTGGAAAATGAAATTGGTAAATTTCATGACTTTCCAGGTTTTCCATGACCTGTACAAACCCTTTACAGATAAAATACACTACACCAGCACTCACTTTCATAGGTATAATCACGAAGTTGTGAGAAAATCTCCTGCCCTGAAGGAGTCCTATTTTGTTCTGCAAGAGGTAGTTGCGCAATGGAGATATTCAAGGCTACAGCAAACTGATAAACAGCATCGTACAGGTAGGCTCCATATATTGGAGGCTGCAACATAATGCATGTAAATAATGGGTCAAATGTCATGCAAACTAAACACAATAGCTATAATCAAACTGTAAAATGGCACGCCAAATTATGATGCTGTGAAAGTATAGTACACACTGTATAACTGACAATATTGGCCCTAGTAGCATGTTTAGAGTCAATAACTTACTTTCCCCACGAAAACTTTGCCAAACACATTTACTAAGAAATCATGAGCCCAGTCCAGAACAATAATATTGAATCCAAGTTCAAAAAAACAAGGAGTCTTAAATTTCAAATGCTTGGGCCTATATGTAACCAGAGAGTTAATCTGATGACCTACTCCAAAACTCTGTATTACAGTTTACCCCAGGGGGGGTACTCGGGATTTCAAGTGACGGGGATGATCGAATGGAGCCAAAAGTCAAGACCCAAAAAAATCCCTAGGGCTTCCAGCAAAACCCAAAAAAATCCCTGGACCAACTGAATTGAATTGAAGCTGTTGAAGTCTTGTACACGGCCGGACACCACGGGACAATGCAGACTATTGTATAACACGTGCGATGTAAAGCGACACCATAGTTAACTATTAAACAACAGCAAAACACGTTTGTTTGTACTTTATTCGCAGAACTGCGCAGCCAGGGCACTACTGATTCTTTTTAATACCCCAAAAAATCCATACTCAAATCAAGCTACCCAAAAAAATATTTGCCACATTTTCGTACCCAAAAAAATCCGGGAATCGAAAATTTCAAACCCAAAAAAATCCTTCGATCATCCCCGTCACTTGAAATCCTGAGTAACCCCCCTGGGCAGTTTACTGAAATAAAATATACTCGTTCTGTTGTAAAGCACAACAAAGACTAAAAGAAATAACCTGTCATTAAAGAACATCATCGGGTATATTAAAAACTCACAATGCCTTGCTCTCCCATTGGCTTGATTAACTTAACCCATTCGCCCCTGAACCACCTGTAAAGGCCTGTGCGGATCCATGCCCTTTCTACCTTCATGACGTCATCAGTTTTACCGGTCAAGGATAACTTTGTCCACTAACTTGTGCAGAGTGAAGAGATCTTTCAAACCATACCAGAATGAGCACAATTCAGTCAAGGACACCAGAGAAAGAAGCAAAAAACCATGTCACATTGACCCGAAAATCTCAAAGAAAATCTTGTTCCATTGCTCACCTACCTTTCCTTTCACCTAATCCTAAGATTCTAAAAGCTTTCCTAAAAACTCTTCCCACCAAAACGAAGCCTACCAAATGCCCAGCAAGAGAAAAAAAAATGAGCCAAGAAAAGCAAAAAAAGAGGGGAGGAGAGAAAGCGAAAAGTAAAAGTCAGGACGGCTGTGTCACTTTTAACTCGAAATTTTGCTTTCTGCGCATGCCCGCACTTCGCAAGCTGATATTTAGCATCTGGATCAGAAAGCTGTGAAGCGTACGACCTGTAAACCAGTTTGTGGTAAGTTTAAGCTCTTTATAGCACGACAGTGACCAGAAAACCACTCGACTAGCTTCAAAACACATTTTTTGGCAAAATCTCCAGGAGCGAATGGGTTAATGGACAGACCATAGCTTCCAGTCATTGCAAAGATCAGGGATCAAATCCTGGTCAAGCATGAGTTTTTTTCATGTTCTTTTTCAACCACTTAGGTTGTTCATTCAATGGCACGGATCGTGCTCAATTTCATAAAATATAGCTATAGCATAATATTTATACTTACACGATAAGCCCAAGCTTCTTTACTTCTATTGTACTGCGAGCTGTTGAAAGGGCTCTGTGATGTCTTGAGCTTCAACTCTGTAACAAAATCCTCATAGCTCTTCCCTTCTGCAGTTTTCACAGCAAAAACAAGAGCAGCCTGTGTAGCTTCCTCGATGTCCATTTTTGTCTTGCTTCGGTTTCTTCATTAAGGAAAAGCAAAGCAAAAATTTTTTACAAAAAAATTTGTAGGAGGGATCACATGAAACCTTCATTAACACTTTTATGCCACATCACCGAGATAAAGGAGAAAAATTAACTCAAATTGCCAAATTAAAGCCAACTTCAGGCCAGACAAATGACAGTTTTTAAGCACCAAGATTTATTCAATAAATATGCATTCTGTTATCCCCTTTTGAACTTCTGGTTGGTAAAAACAATCAATGGACAGTCATCTTTGATTTTTATTTCTTCAGCCATGGTTGATCACATAATAAGTACTTTTCAAGGACGTTAACCGAATTCAAGGACTTCAACTTTTCAAAACAACTTCTAAAATTCAGGACCTTTGCAAGATTGTACAAACCATGAAAACCGTGAGCTGTGCTCTATGCTGACAGGGGATGAGAGATTCAAATTTTCCCAAAATCAAACAACATTCACACTAACTGTCATTTCTGTCAGATGACTTTTGAGCATCTTACACTACTGGTTAAGATATTCGAGAAGCATGCATAGCAAAGTATTTCAAGGAATGTAAGACTATCTACCATAGGTTAGCTTTTGCATTAGAACTCAAGTGACTTACGATATCCCTCTAAAGCAGCAAGTGTTTCAATATATTTGACATTGTTTGGGTAAAACAGGTATTAAAATGAAGGAATGACCTTTCAGACAACTTAGCTCCTAAAGCTTTCCCATCAAGGGTAGGGCCATGCCCTCATCCCATCCCCTATCCCCACCCCCAAGGAGAGTGCGCTTCTAGTGCTTCTTTTTTCGCCTTACTGGTCAAGAGTGGTCCCATTTCATTCTTGGGTTCTGTTGGAAGTCCTAGGAATTTTTTTTGGTTTTGATTTTTGGCCTCATTCTAGCATCCTCGTCACTTGAAATCCAGAGCACCCTCCCTCCCCCCCACCCCCCTGGGCAGAGGTTACCTACCTGTACTGGGCATTCAAATAATTGAGAAACCAGAAAAATTCCAATCCACGAGTTGTTGCCTTCCTGACAAAATTGTGATCGAGAAAAAATATAACAAATGCAAACTTTCCATTGATCATTTCCACTTGCTTGGCAAGATAAAGGGTCTCCAAACCAATAAAGTAATCTCCAATAACCAACACAACTATAAAAAAAATTAAATGTCCAGGTCAAAGAAGTGAGCACATTAATGTATAAGTAAGACTAAAAAGTCACAAAAATTTTACTTGCGAGTGAATGAACAAGTGAATGAAATTTCGTGGATAAGAGGACAACAGACATGTCCTCTTGACATCTGGGACCTTAAGATGCCCTGGACGTGGCACTGAAGAAAACGTGGGTTTGCAGAGATAGCCTGGAGTGAGGATGCCGCCACCTTGGCAGGAAAACTGCAAATTAAGGTTGAGCAGGTTGCGTTGAGTGCTCGCCTGACAAGAGAGGATAAAGTGACGCTTTCCTGTGTTAACTCCATGATGTCTTTTAGAAAAACTCGTGAAGTCTTGCTTGATTAATACCTTAACAATCTTTTATTGGAAGAAAAATTTGTGCTGCGCGCTATGACTCCAGTTTCTCTAAAAACCACCGAATTTCTTCGAGGGAAACTGGAGGGCATGATCAGAGTTCAGGTTATCAGCTATTTGTTGCCAGACGTTCCCCCTTTACATTGTTCTTGCTTTAAAATGATATGGTTCTGTCATGAGAACTTCCCACACTAAGGCAAGATTTTGATCTTCAGACCCCTCCATCGCTGAACTGAAAGAGAACAAAAACAAATTAAAAAAGTTAATAAATGAACCATGGCGTCTTGTTTAAGATCTCAATTTTCTCCCACATGTTCAAGTTTATTACAAGCCTAGATTTTTGTTTTTCCAATAATTTTTATTCTTCTCGTCTCTTAACTTTTTCAAATACTCTCCTAAAGCAAGACATTGTGCCCTTAAAAAATAATAAGCAGTTATAGTGTTACATTTGTGTCAAAAGACTCTGCGCTTTCATTCTCGGTTGCCGCCAAAACACTGAACCCAAAAGGCTTGATAGCAAAAAATAAGAGTCAATCTTGAGGGAACACCACACTAAAAACACTTCAATGTGTCTCTTGAAGTAAAATGGATTGAAACTCCTGTACGAAAAGCAATTTCTGCACTGAAAACAAGAAAACCAACTCACCGTTTAATGAGGCAGCCAAACTTCTAGTTTTCACCATCGCGACTTCAGGTCAACACTGTGACATTATGCTAATTAGTTCCAAGAATTGAACATTTCACTTGCAGTTGACGTCCTCCTCAGCCACATCCAGAGTATCTTAAGGTCCCTATTATATGTTGACATACAGTTGTTGTACAAGGGCACCACTGGCTGAGTCATTATCAGTCCATTAGACCATTAAATAGGCTTCAGGAGCAACCCTTAACCAAATCCTACCATAAGCCATAGAAAAACCCAAAGTTTATGGCATGAGGTTGTTGCCTAAACTAATAAAGGTTATCATGAAGTCATGTACTTACTTCTTGCTGTTTGCTTAATTTTAATCAGAGCTTTCCTAAAATCCTCTTCAGCTTCAGGGTCATAACTGGGAACATTTGCTGCTTTAAATTTCATGGCCACAGTAATACCATTTTTCTCAAATTCCTCTTGCAGGTACTCTGTCAAGGACGTCCACCTCGTAATATTTTGGTAAATGATAGCAATTCTAGTCCACTTATATGTATTTTTTAGAAGGCTGATAATACTTGGTCCAATTCGTGAGTCCACAGAAAATGTGCGTCCAAATGTGGGAAACTCATTTTTGTCAGACAGTTCAGCAGCACTGCACATCTGAATACAAAAAAAGGTAGAAACTATTAATTAAGGAGTCCATACACAGCACTATCATGGTCAGCATCAGTAAAACAATGCAATTGTCACTAGGCCACTCCCAGGAAAGAAATGAAAAAAAACCCCTACCTTTTGCTAAAGCTCAAAGATTCCTTTTTGTAAATGCCTAGCCTGGAAGGGAATTTTGAACAAGTGGCTTTGGAGTAACATTAATTCAGAATCAATGTTTCTATTATAACATTCATCTGAATCAACAAGGAACACCTATATTTCAATTTGGAATGGCTCAGTCATTCTTCCTGCCTAGCCTGGAAGGGAATTTTGGACAAGTGACTTTGGAGCAGCATCGATTCAGATGCTAAACTCTTCATGTGCTGAACCTAATGCATAAATAATGGCAGGGCAGTCATTACGAGCCAGGGGCCAGGGATGTCCCCCGGCTACTTTCATTGGAAAATAGAAGAAGAATAGAATCATTCTTGTTGTGTTAACCTGGCAACTTGAAATCTTAGTGACAACCCTGTATTATGACATCTTTTGTCAAGCAGTTTCACCAAAATGAGCATTTTTCTCCTTTTGAATTGAGTTTGCCCAGAATTAAGATCGGTGTCAGCAATCAATTCAGCTGGTCTAAATAATTTGGGTCGGCCTTAATTCAGTTTAGTTGGGTGCCTACAAACAGGGATTTTACCTTCACCATACAGTGTAGAAGAGGGTTTCTATTTCATAGAAACCCTTCATGAGTTAGACACCTCTCTAAGGCAGAAAGCTGTTGCTGGTGCCAAGGTTACTTGGCTCAGGAACGTGTTCCTATAAGATTCTTCACACCAACTCCATCAGACCCTCCCAAGCAGACATTCTTAGGGCTTTGTCATACGTTTATTCCCCTTTGGCAGTGTTCTCTTTGTCAGGCGGTAACCGGTAAAATTTACTGACTGAAGCAACACTTCTTACCGCCTGCAGGTTGTGATCCAATCCGATAGGGAGACGAATGAATATATAGAAGAGTACTAAAGTATACACAGCTTTTCTTTTTGGGGGCCACACATTTTGGAAAAAGAACATTGAAGTCTGTGTAAAATTATTGGAATCAAACGTTTTAAATTGTCGTCTTTATAACAACGGCCAATTTGCGTGAAATAGGTCTTAAAATGAGGGAATGACGTTTCCAAGAACTTAGTTTACTCCAATACCACCCTCCCTCCCCCAGTAAAGTGCACATTGTCTTGCTGGCTATGAATGGTCCCTTAGCTGTTGAACTAAAATTTAGGGAGAACACTGCTTTGGTGGGGAGGATTGCATGATGAGCGAAACGAACATCTGCAGGGGAAGCTAACTCCATCAGCCCTATGAGTATGTCAGCGGCCTTATAATTATAGGCATCCCTCTAAAACCTCTCCTAAACATAAAACAAATAAATCTGACATATTAAAATACCCATTTTCAATGCCATTTTATCAAAGGGGAAAGAGAGGAAAATACAGATAACAAGGAAACATATTTACAGTTAAACATCTCCACACCAGCCACCTAGGAAAACGATCCTCGTAACAAGGTTGTGGGTTATAGGGGGGTAGGGTTATAATGCTGCAGAATTTTTTTTCTTTTTGGGGGGGGGTGGGGAGGGGGATAGAACATTATAATTTATTCTAAAAAAAATGTTCATTCTGGCACACAACACAATCAACACACCAAAAACCAATTAAAATGTTTGACCAAAACAAATTCAAAGGAAAAAGAGCAAATATAGCGGTCAGTGATTACATCATTTTGTATTAAATTTTGCCTTCACATGGATAAAATGGTGGTGAGGGTATTTTGGTAGATGGGACCACAATAAATATTTCTATATTTAGTGGACTTTAGGTCATTTTGAAGAGGTGGCTGTTGTAGAGATGTTAAGATAAGACAGAATAAAGGGGTGTACTTTGCTCTAATTACAGCGGAACCTTGATATAACGAAGGGCCAAGGGACTGGTAAAATTTCTTCGCTATAACAAGGTTTCGTCATATCAAGGTTCTTTTTCATATATCTTACTATTACTGGAGTAAAGAAAATCATTCGTTTTTCCGAGGACTTTGTAATATAGAGGTTTGTTATATTGAGATTCCACTGTAAGAACATGGCGTGATCTGATGTCTAAACATGAAAATTTTATGCCCTGCAGTTATTTAATATGTATTATCTATAACAGAACACTTGAACATCTGAAGAGCCATGTGTTGGACATCTTCCAAATTTCCCTTTATTTTCAGGAAGGGATATTTTTACTCAAGTGAGATTATAAACATCACTGTGTGCACTGTGGTGGAGTGAAAAAGTAAAAATTGTGAAAGCATGGAAACATACTATAAAATATCTGATTAACAAGTTGAATAAATTTGACTGAAATTGGTGAGAAATGTTTAAAATATCTCCCTGATCATGAAATGAACCACAAAAATAAACATAGGGAAGGTCAAGTTTGCAAAGATTAACCAGCAGATGGTATAAATCGTTTTCATTTTTGGCTGTGAGACATCATGTTTTAATTAGATATTTGACCACTATAGACAGCCAATCCTGCTATTTATAAGTTTGCTTGTTTGCCTATTTGTTTTTATTTTTCCATTTAAAAACTCAATGACCCCAAAAGTACTACAGCCTAAATCATACAATACACCTGTCATGCAAAAAGTTTTTGTCAGAGGTTAAAATCATTTTAAAGTAACAAAAAATGGTGTGTTGAAATTAATATGTCTTTTTTTTTTTTTTTTGCGAAAACCCAAATCAGGTCAAATATTTATTTTCCTTTATTGCAGCTTTTCGAAGAAAGGTAAAAATACGGACAAAAAGTTGTAACAAAAAAATAGATAAATTGTGACTAAAACATTCTATTTGACAATAACCCTTCGCACATATAAAGCTAACAAATGCGAAAAAACTGTTGAATTCTATTCTGAAAAGTATTTACCCTTTACATAAAAGGATCAAGAATACTCCGATAATGATTCATCTCTGTTTTTAGCACAAATCAATAGAAGTCCAGAACGTAAATCATACTGACAGATGCAAATCTTTTAAAACCTTTTTGTTAAATGCAAAGTACGTAATACACATTACACAAATAAGGTGCATTTCCTTCTTCCATTCGCTTGTTCAAAAGACAATCAAATGCGTACAGTAATAATAAAGAGAAACCTAGCTACAACCATTTGCGTTCTTGAATGTTCACAGTATCTTGCCTTTGCCCATAAATTGCGAATTAAAAGGACAAAAAAAAATTTAAAAAATTCCCATAAAAATTATGACCGCTTATTTTTCCAGCTTTCTGCTTGCCGATGTACAGTTTAACTCACCTGTTATGCGTATCTCAAGCTTAATCGCCGCTTGAAAGTGGGATGTATCTCGATCGAGTGTTTAGTTAGCATAAAATCGTTCAGTTGAAACAAAAGCGGGATGTAAACGAGCAGCGATCGGGACTGGTAGTCTCGAACAAGTAATATTATAAATCAAATACTATATCAAATGATACATCAAGGAGGTCGAGATGAAACAAAAACTGAGCAATTAGTGCGTTTGTAATACAAACTTCTCGAAAAAATCAGCTGGAAAAAATGGAAGACATCAGTCCAAATATCCAACAAGATGATTAAGAATTATTATTTACTGTTGTTGAAAAAAGACCTTTGTAATTCGTTTCTGATTTGAACTGTTAAGAAATACATTTTATGACTAACAAAACAACAAAATTTAGCACAAAACAAAATCATTCAGCGTAGAAAAGCCGATATTAAACAGCACAACATGAAAGATTGCATACTCACGAAGGATATCATCGTCATATTGAATGCCGCAGCATTTTTCGCCGCCGTCTGGCAATAACAGCCGGGTCCTATAAAAGCTTGTACTCCAGAATTAATTTGATTTAGCTGCTCGCGAACAGCAATCAGTTCGTTGCACTCTGTGCCTTTCCACTCAAATGTCAAATTATAATCTGACAAGAGCGTTGGGTCTGCGTTTATTCGTTCCACGGCGATTGTCATAGCGGCTGCAAACGACTCCCCCTTGTTGTAATCGTTCTGAAAATGTGGAGTGACTTTCCTGTAGGGAATGAGAAGGCCTAGTTTGTATTCCCGTTTCTTCTCTCCCAGCACTAAACAGTTAACCACAACAAGGAAAACAATAATCCATGCTGTTGCCGCCATAACCCCAACAAACACTGAAACTAGTTGGTTTGGACGTTCGAAGGCAACATCTAACCACGAGTAGTGAAATTTAACATACGGAGCGGAGATTTCGTTGAGATAATCCGTCGGTTTCCCAAAAATTAGCAGCGTGTTGGGCTTTCTCAATCGTCAGGTGAAACCAACTGTCAGCCAAGAATACAGTCTTGGCCAAGGGCAAACTGGTATCTTCCGTAATATTAGGCTTGTTTACCGCAAAATTACGAGATGAGGCTTGTCCGGTTTGAGGTATGACAAAGTATTCCCATTGTTCTTACTTCCACATCCATAAATTGCAGCGCTGAGATTCAAAGGACCGCCCGTCGATGTAAGTATGTGACTAACTTCCCAGAGAGTTACGGTTCACAGCCGGTTTGGCTCATTTGAAAGACAACCAGGCAATAAATGCAAGCTGATGAATAATGCAAATTTCACCAAGGTGAGCCCGTAACTTGTCGCCGGAGCAACAACAATCAAAGAAGGCTGTCCCGCAGCAAGTCAGGATTTGTCTGACGTGAAGCTCGCAGCGTTTCAGCAACAATGATGGTGAGACGTTTCACGCAAGCTGAGTATTTCTACCTGTGGAATATGAAAAGGCAAATCGTAAGTCAACTGAAACTGATCTATACCGCAATTCCTTTGGGGCAGCAAAAGCACGACACTTCATCTTCGCATACACGAATAAAATACAGAGCGTTAATAGGCACTTTGAACTTCCTTCCGAAACTAATACATTTTCACTAATACGTGACCGCGCTGGCTTTGCGGCCACAATGTTATTTACCATGCAAAATGAAAACAGAGCCTGACATCAATACTGCTTCGCCTGCAAATTTCAGGACTACCTTTTTACCACAGGCAAACTGACAAAATCGAAACAAAAACAAACAAACAAACAAACAAAAAGCCTGCGATCATGTTCTCCTTTCCTAAAAAAAAGCGGGGAAAGAAAGAAAGAAGACTGGAAGCACGATACAAGCTGTTGACCCTTTTGTTTTAGAAACCTACTTCGTAAATGAAGTCTTTTAAAAATAGCCTTGACCAAGAGAGAATGAAATAAGAAGCCAGTCAGTGCTAAACCATGTACACCTCTGAACATGTACACCTCGAACCTGGTTTCAAGAGTTGAGTTTCCCTGCATTAAAATTTTAGAACTCACGAGTTGGACGAGGTCTTATTTCTCAAGCGATATGGTTTTTGTATCTCTTCAAGCGCGGTAACAAAGGTGGGGCCCCTGGGTGGGGCTTTAATTTGTAGATACCCAAATTAGCACCACGGCGCTTATTCGAGAGCGGCGCTTATTAAATTATTTTCGGTAATTCGAGTAGCGGCGCTTAATCGGTCATTTACAGTACTTCTCTAAAGATAATTTCCCGTGTTAAAGGGTTAGAAATGTCTCGAATTAAGTTGCAGTTATCTTAAAAAGGTCGAACAGCTTTCTTCCATGCATGCTCTTTATCCACGCGTGAGGTCAAAATGTCAATATCATTTTCCTGTTCAGTCTTGGAGATGTTATTGCGTTTTTATTCAGTCGAGGTCCGACAAAACTAAAAAGGAAGAGAAAAAACGTAGAAACATCCGCAAAAGATAGCGCCTCTGGCTGATGCACGTGTCAGTTACAGTCGTGTGAGGCTTGCTTAGATGACGTAAGACAAAGAAGATAACTTTGTACGTGTTAGAGTTTCATCGCAAGTGAAGAGATGCAGAGAGAATTTTAAAAACGGTACGTTGGGGACAAAGTGTGTTCTTTTTTTGGTTGCTTCTTACTTCACTCAGTCCTCAGTTGCATGATCGAATGAACAAACGGCAGCTGAAACGGTGACTTGAGCACCAGCAGTTTGAAAGAATTCGATTTAGGTTTCTGGGAAACTGACCACCTACCCCTCCCCTAAGCCAACATTTTGTCCTAAGTGAGAACTAAGTGATAATGTTGGCTTAGGAGAGGGATAGGTGGGCAATTTCCCAGAAACCTTAATTGATGATTATAATAAGCCAAAAAGCACGTAAAATATGCTGAACGTTTTGTATTCGTATCATCTTTCGAAAACAAATATCTCATTTATTCGTGTAATTTCTCTTTTCCGTAAATTTATTGTTGTTGGCTGATATAAATTCGTTATTTTATAGCTGACACGAATTACTTTGTACTAAGTAAACATAACCAGTCAGTGGGATTAGTTTTGGTGATCAAAAACTAAAGCTGTTTGTTAGTCCCTCAGTAGTCCCTTAGTCACGGGGTGGATCTTCAAAGCTACTGTGTATGGCAAAAACTTGACATTGTTAGCCATCGAGACGTTAGAGAATAAAAAACAGACATTTTTTTATGGCTTAAAGATATGAATTTTGTTTTCTCGCCAGCCTTAACAATATTAATTCCCTGACTCGCTGCGTTCGCTTGTAAAATATCATAGGTCTTCATATGGGTATTCCCGAAGAAATCGACGTCACGACGATCGCCACGGATGAAGCGAAGATCTTAGAGAGTATAAAAGCGACGTTCGCATTGCCATTTCAATCAAGTTTGACAACGTTAATCGAGCAAAGACGGTAAAGAAACTTGACAAAAATTGTCTGCTGCACGTTCAGAGTTTTTGTTTTGCTTATTTTCCCGTTTTCGTCTTCGTTGTGGTTAGTGCCCTGAGCAGCTCGTTAGTCAGCTGGTTAGGAGCGTTACCACGTAAAACAGTTCTTGCTATGAGAAGATTTCGCCTGAAAATTCGACGCGGATTTGATGAGAAACGCGCCACGAAATATTGTCGTCCACATACAGGAACCCATCCAGAGGCTCAATCTTCAACAACACCAGTGTTGAAAGTAAAATCGGATACATATCCTCCCGCCGCTATATATTCTCTAACCATGAAAATACTTAACAACATTTGTTTAACACGTAGTTTAATAATATTTTAAGAAAGATCTGAGCCTGAAATCCCTCCAGAGATAAAAGCGTTCAGTCCGGGTTAACCCTAAGTTCAAAATAAAACGATCTTCTAAAAAAGAGTCAGTGCTTCATCCTCATTGGAAAGTGCATGTGATCTTGCTGATCAAACTCACAGCAAAAAAAAAAATGAGAAAAGCAACGGAGAGAACAATTCTTTAAAAAGAACTGAGAATCCATTAAAGTGCATTAAAGTGCAGTTGCCAGTTTCTCAGCAGCGATTGCTGCCTCATGAGTTGACACATACTCGGGTTTTCAATTAAGTGTGATCCCAATGCCTTAAATGGAACTGAGCAAGGAAGCTGTAGCATCCAATAGGATTCAACATTTAGCATTAGCTGTATTTTGTTAAAACTGTTGTGCAAGACACAACCACGACTTTGCCCCTAAATGCAACATGTAAGTGGAACTGACACATTACGATGTTCCGTTAAATGCTTTTCAAAAGAGAGAAAAAAGCAATGTCAAGATACATTTGTACAAACATACAATTTATTCAGTTAAGAACTGCGCATCCGCCGTCTTTTAAACGTTAACAAAAAAATAATAAATTGAAACAATTTCCTGTGTCATTGTGATATATTATTGCACGGTGTTGCAAACTGCTATACTATTAAGGGTTGTCGAGTTGTTTTGATGTTGAAAGACTTAAGTTTACAGACTGATTGCCTAACCGCTACGAATGAAGTGCGCATCGGGAGTACTCGGATTGTAACTTCTGAGCCTCCTTTGTCACCAACTGAAAAATCTTTCTCGTGTATTCAACAGGCTTAACTAAAATTCACCATCACGTCCCTATCGAGAGCAAATTTGTTTCGGTCCATACTTATCCAGCAACATGAGCGAGGTGGTCATAACAATGTACGGCGCCTAAACCTGTAACGTTTCTAAAACCTCCGGGTGTAAATTGCTATTATTTCACCTGCATTTCGACTGCATCAACTTAAATCTAAAAATTGCAAACCGGTTATTTCTCCTTTGGCAAATGTATGCCTTAAGAAATTCTGTCAGGTTCATCGAGTTTGTTGTATCTTCCTGATCGACTAGCAATCTCGGAAGTATCTCCGGTTAATAATTTACCACCTTTTCCTCGAACAATTTATGACCACTAACAATTTCACTGACAAAGTCAGTATAAGTTTTTAAAAATGACACTTTCCCCAGTAACTGCTCCTTGGTAAATTAACTGAGCTAAAAAGCTACCTTATTTTCTCCGCTCCCTTTGTTTATTTGCTTGGTAATTATTTGTTTCAGTTATTTCATAACTTCGACCTTGTTCACTTTAAATTCATCGCCGATTCAAATTTTCCCAGAGGATCTAATATTACATAAGAATTCATTATGATGCATAATCGTTTATCGCTTTTTTTACTTCCCGAGGTCTGTTATGGTAATTTAGTCACATCGTATAGTACTGAAACACTGATTTCTATTGAAATAACCACTGTCGATGTCCTAGACAATTGAAGGTAATCTGAGATGGGAAAAAATATAATGTCATCATGATAGATCTGATTTAAAAATCTAAGAATATTTTTATCACTGTGTAATGGATAAATATTGCGAGGGTTTATTCAGCTAAAAGCGCATAATAACAATAAAAAAAATATTTTTTGTTTTTCTGTGGAATCTGATTGGATTTTTGTGAAACTGATTCTGAGGTACGTACATATTTAGAGTCTTTGATTTATTGTCTCGCTAACACGTTTAGACAACACGCACTTACATGGATTCATGATCCGCACAGTAATATTCATATTCAAATCTCTGGCTTTTAAAAACGAGAAGAGGAAAAAGCAAAAAGCTAACGAATTAACATTAAACCCAGTAGCATTAAAAGGCATAGAAGCAACAATATTGATAACAAAGAAATGCCGCGAGTTGAGTCGTTGAACACACGGAAACAATTGTTACCCAGTTACAATAAAGAATCATTTCGCATTGGACATTATTAAATAAATGTGTCTGGCATTACCATTATTTGCCTTTAGGGAAGCGACCACAAGAAACGTTTTAAACCAAACAGTTCATGTTTCATGTTTCAAATCAGATTGATTTCCTACGCGCGCGTGCTCGATTGTAACAATGAAATAAAGAGCACTGGATATCAGTTGGTTACAAGACAGAAATGTCGGTTTGTACAAAGGCGTAATCTATTAACAAGACTGCTGATTTGAATCAAAAGTCTAACCAAACTTTTTTCTTATTAAAATTTCGCAATATTCGTACGCGATATTAAGCAGTATCGACCTGTAATACGGCTAAGCAGACCAGCCCTCGAGTCAACT